GTAGCAAAGACATTTGGTCCCACTGCAGTTGTCGTTGTAGTTGCGGAGGGTACCAAAGCGGTTTCGCATGATGGCCTTTTTGCTGCTCCGGGTGATTGCAAACTGTTCTGCGTCGCGATGTACCCAAAATATGTCTTTGATAATCCTGTTTCAGTACTAGCCAGTCCTTAACGAGCAAGAGGCATATCATAGCTTTTCGAGTTGCGATGCCCGCAGATTGCAGTCCCTGGTTTGACGAATCCCATCGCACTCCAGGGGAGCGGATGCATTCGGCCTCTGATTCAACTCACAGTGGGTAGTCACACGCCATCAACATCGCCGAGGCAAAGCCTGCGTCAACTGAGGAGCGTAGCTTGGAACTGCAGGCGACCCAAACCTCGACATTCTCCGGGTGCTAGAAAACGGATCCTGCGTCGGCCAAAGGCTGGTTGGTGTACCTGCGGCTAGTGGTGGAAAATGTCTGGCGTCTAGACCACCTCGTAGAAACGTTCCAGTGCTTCAGAAATTCTCTTCACAACATTCCCTTCCCGTGACAACTACCGTGATCTTAAGCCTAGACCAATGTTGAGCCACCGAAACCATCGGCTTTGTGAAGACTTGGTGCCAAACGGCGTCGAAAAGTGTTGCGCCGGCACGGCCGCTTCGATATTTTAGGTAAAAGCGCCGGTTAAGACCGCACCGTCACAACACGGGCCGAAGCCATCGGAGATTCTCTTAGCGGCTGCGATCTGTCCTGTCACCGACCGCGTCTTGAAGACAGTGATACTGCTGGACTGTCTTGAGCCGACATAGTCGTTTCAGTGAAATATCTCCGAAAATGCGGCGGGGTATCCCCAATACGTTAGGTCCAGTTCACGGGTTAAACTTTTTTTCCCCGGTTAACCTGCCCTTGATTAGTTAGTGAAGAACTCAGCAAGTATCAGGGTCAGCAAGATCTTACCTTGCGCTGTTCAGTAATGTCCGGTACATCGCATGCACTGGAGAGAGGCTGTTCAGACTTGCGTGACCAAGAACATCCACAGGCTCAAGACTCCTTCGACTGACATCGTGCCAACCATGCCCAAAGGGGCTTGTGCTGAAAGGCTGGTCGAACAAAGCCTTCGAGATTTTGAGCTCGCCACTGCTGCATTCCCACATTCCGGAGTACAATCTTGTGTCACAAGGGGGGGTGAAGAAGCTTGCCAAAACCCGCCTGGAGCGTCGTCTCCGCCAAAGAGAAATTCTGGGTTTTGGCGCTGTAATCCAACGGGGCTAGCGATTCCGGGCTCTTGTAAGGAACTGGTCTTCCGTTTTTGCCATGGTTATCCGCCAAGGAGATATTGATCTCTGATCCGGCCGAAGGACACATCTGCTGGGAGCGAAACTTTGCAAAGATGCCTTCAAGTAGCGATCATAATCGCAGCTTCCGGAGTAGCGTACAAGATGGGTTGAGAGGCTATGCAAATCCGCAGTCAATGGAATCTCGGGGCCAACAAAGGTTGTTGCGTGATGATGGTTGATCGGCCCCTCCTCGCAGTGCACCAAGGCATCAATGTTGAAAGGATCATCAAGGCAGCTTCACAGCGGAGTGAGCACTTAGGAGCAGTGTGGGATGATGGCACGTTTCTTCCAGACCAAACAGAACCAGGGACCACTGCCATACTCGCCTCTCAGACCTGTCGATAGACTGTGGCGTTGTTGCGAACGCTGCTGAATGACTGCCACCTCGTCGTCGGATCCTCGATCACCCTCTTTCGAGTCGAGGGCTTCGACGGACGCATCCAATTCCGACGAAAACTTCCACGGCATGGCCCCTCTCCCGCTCCCTCACTGTTTGTCTCCCCAGAAGATCTTCCAACCCTCTCTTGTCAGAGCCTCAGCTCGTTGATTGGCATCCCGAGGACAAATGACACGATATAGAGCATTCAGACACTGGCAAACTTATGGGGCCAGGGGATTCGCCGTCGGCGTCGCTTCTGCGATTCGCCAGTCAGATGTGAGTATCGTTTGGTTCACGCCGGCGACTCTTGGACCAATTCTTGCTTGGAATGTCGGCACATTGGTCGTCAATCAAGTAATTAGCATGAATTGGAAACAAATGTGCCTCTCGACCCCTTGTGTAGTGAGCTGCACAATGGATCTTCTTGTGGTCAAATGCATGGGCATTGAAGGTGTCCTTCGAGGAATTCCGTCGCCTGAGAAGGCATGCTGTGAAGAGATCATGATAGTTGACGAATCGCTGATCGGTAGGCTAATGGCCATCATTTTCTTGATGTGCACAACTCGCACCCTGAAGTCATTCGTTTCAAATCCAAGCCCTGTACTTCCAGTAGCGACGAGGACAAGCCTCCGTCACAGTGGACCTACCTCAGTACACAGGTGGCCAACACCTTACGAGTTCCCTGAGCATGTCCCATCCACCAGAAAGGCGTTGAAGTTTCTTTCTTTCCCACATTCGATTCGATGGAAAGTTCGGTCAGTTTATGACTACTCTTCACAAGGAGATTGGCCTTGTTTTTTCTTCGAGGAGGAGAAGGGGGTTGCGGCACCGTATCAAGGTGAGGCCTGCCGTGAAATTTCAGCCCGAGACGATTACCAGAAAGGACCACATGGATCTCTCTTCGAAGGAAGTGGCACCGTTGAGGCCCCGCAAGCATATGCGAATCCAGAAATGCTTCTGCTTTTTTTTTGCTTAGTGGGCAGATGGCTTGAATGGAAGCTCTAAAACCTGGAGGAAACCAGTGCTCCAGTGGCCGAGGAGCATCAAAGATGGCTAGTAATTTTGTGTAGCACGAGTGCCTCCGGCGAACGCAGCCTATGACTGTTGCTCTCACCGAGACAAGGAGCCGAATCGGGACTTATTATCGAGCTGAGGGCTGTTGGCAAGCCCACAGCCCTATGAGACGTGGACAGGGCACTGCTGATACGTGCGGTACGCAGGCGGGGCGACCGAGGCTCAAGAGCCGGAGAGGCTCAGCGAGACAACCTACGGATTGTCGTCAGCCACCTCGTTGCAATTTGCTGACATCGTCATTGGCTGTCATGCCGGTGATCCCGGGCTCACCAGAGTGTTGAGTTCAGTGAAAGTTCATACAAGGTGTGGCGCCTTTGAGGAAGCTCGTTCTTTTTTTGGCATTCGGCCCGGTTGAGCCTGTGGACTCAACGCTCAACTCGCAGAGAGCAATGTGACGATCGGGATCAAAGGTAACGTTGAGCCGAGAGTAGGTGATGCGTTGTTCCGAACCATCAATTGTACCACGCTCCGAATGGAGCTGTCATCAGCCAGTGCCAAGGTGAACAAGCGCGTTGGCTCACAGCAGACATGTCGACCGACACGAGGTAAGGTCTCCATCGTCGACTCGGCCAAATGGACTCGGCCGTGATCGTATGCGAGGGTGAACGTTGAAAGGATTGACGATGGTGACAGGTCGTCGATGCTAGCCTCCTGGCAGCTTGCAAGGATCCCCGCTCCGTCTGCACAGCACTATCGCCATGCTGCAGGAGCCCTGTCTCCCAAAACCGAAGTTCAGAATCGGGTCTAACCAAATGCCGGCTTCCTCGGCTGACAGTTGTTCGAGGATTTCTCGTATTTGACCTGGACGATAAGTTACCTCGACACCATCATCGTCCTCTGTGCACTACATTTTCTGCAGAGAGAGCTGTCAACGGTACCGGCTTGGCGTCTCCCTCTGCCTTGGGACGGAAAGATTCCAAAGCCTTCTAGCTCTCTCGCGGGATTGTACGTCACCGAGTGACCCAAAGGGCGATAAGGTGAGGCGAGATGCGACCTAGGCGCGTGCCATCGTCAACTTTTGGGTAACATCCGCCATGGAAGCTTCCGCCGATTTGGGTTTGGTCTTGACACTTGCTGTGGGACTGGCAGCTCTAGAGTCATCCTTCTGGGAGCATTTCGGAAGGCTCGTCACGAGTCTGTTACAACCTTGACAGTGAACCATCAGAGATGTTGGCGTCCACGTTACCTTGGATCGCAGAAGACGGTGAAGCACATAGCAGGGTCATTCCGTCGCTGTGCCAATTCACGTCTCGTCGCGCAAGTGCTTCGCAAGCCGTCGAGCTGCGAGATCGCGTGGGACAGTTCCCGCAGCCGTTGGAAACTGGAACATGGAGGTGAAGGGACCTCGGGACACAGAAGCAGCGAGCAAAAAACCCGGTGGCCAGTGGCTGACTCCAGAATTGGATGATTCTTGACGCCGATACGCGCGATACGGCAGAAGGCGGCTGACCTCTTCTGCTCGCCTCACCACTCACTCTTTGGGGACTGGACCGTCTACGTCCTTTCCTTGTTTGGTCTCTACGAATTACTCATTGGGCAAGAGAAAGGCAGGCAGGCAACCAAGTATGCAGGCAGGACACGACAGACATGGTATCCATGTTCCTTTCTCTCTATGTGTGCCCGAGTCCAGCCATCCAGTGGCTTCCAAATAGGTGGTGTTGCTTAGTGAGGACGACAGGCCGAGTGCGCCTTCCTCGGGGTTGGATGTGTCGAGCGCATCGTATCGAATTGCACCGCGAGCCTTCACCCGCTCCTTCCGTGGCCGTGTTGATGATGATGTGAGCTGACTTTGGGCACCCACCTGCTTCTGCGCCTGCACTCTTGCCCTTCTTGCCACCACCACCACCATCACCATCACCACCACACTCCGCAGGCAGGCTGAATCACACCTGTGCCTGGTCCCTGCAGATTTGGGAGTACCTTCTTGTTGCTGTAGTCACTGCCTCTCTTCTTTCCTCTGTTGATATAAGTCAAACCTCTCACCTGCATCTTCCTCTCCCACAACCTCCTTCTACCCTCTCATCCCACCTCTCGCATCTCTTTGCACAGTCGTTATTGCACACAAGCACATCGTTGGTCTTCACCGACTCTCACCTTCGTTACTCGAAACAAGGTCAAGGCCAGGATACAAGTACACTCAACCAACACACCCTCAGGACAAGCACATCGCCAACCCCCAAGGCTAAGACCCTCGCTGCTCTCACCAGACAACCTTCGTTCAGACAAAATGAGACTCCTCCAGATCACCTCCTTCGCCGGTCTTCTGGCCTCTGCTCAGGCTGGCAAGCATTGGGGCACCGGCACCGGCACCCCTTCTGGAACCGGCCCCTCGGGTACTGCTCCTCCCACGAGCACTGCTTGGACGACCGTCGTCGTGCCCACTTACACTACCTACTGCCCGGTACGTTTTTCCTGTCTGAGTAGCTTTGCTCAACCACTCCTGACTGACATACTCTCCAGTCTCCTACTACCTGGGCTTGGAACAATGTGACCTACACTGTCACTTCTGCCACAACCATTACTCTGCGTAGGTCACCACTCTCTCGTCGTTCTCTCTCTTTCACACCACTATTGGCACCTTCCCTTCTTGCCTCTCTATTTTGACCGGTTCGGACAAGAAAACTCTCTACGACCAACCCCATTTTCCATGCACGAGGCTGACCATCTTACAGCTTGCCCATGTACTATCTCGGTCTCGACTCCTCAGCCCATCACCACCACCTCAACCTACACGACTGAGGTGCCTTGTGAGACCACAACGACTCCCTCAGGCGGCATTCCCTACCCGAGCGTTAACTCCACCGTCGTGGTGCCGCCTCCGCCTGTCACCCACTCCACCACCCCTGGTGGCCCTGGTGCCCCTACTCCTCTGCCGGGATCCTCTAGCACAGTGACCTCGACGACTGTGATTGTTAGCACACCTCCACCGTCGACCTTCCTGTCAGGAACCACTTCCATCGGCGGCGGCGGCGGCGTCCCAGCTCCGAGCCCTACCACTTTCTCCACTAACGCACCCACGAACACGCCTGTGGCTCCGACGTCGTCTCCTGCCGGTGTCGTCACTGCAGGTGCGCCCAAGATGGGATCTCCAGCCGGTGCTCTCGGCTTGATCGCCGGTATCGCAGCCTTCATCGTCTAATGTCTGATTGATTGATTGGCGATTGGGGGAATATGTCTCGAATGATTCTTGGACGATTTTGGACGTCTCATGATTGAGCAAGCTAATGATGGAGATGGATGCAAACTGTTTGTCATGACGTATACCCTTCTAGACTTTCCTTCACTGGACCAAGCGAAACGGCTGTCATTTACCAAAACCATGTCGGGAGTAATGGACTGGCGAAAATGGCGGATTTGATGGATTTGCTTTGGTAGCTTAGAGGCTTGACCTCGAACTCTCAATAGACCTTAATATTTGATATCAACCCCAGACCACAGGAGCTTCTCATTAAGAGCTTGTAAGCAAGACAACTTCTCCCAGCGGAGCACCAAAGAAGTGACCCGTAACCAAGCAGCGTCTATTCTCGTGACTAGGCCATAAGCAATGCCTTGCTACAAATATTCCCACCTTTAGAACCACCTCACTCTTCTCTAGTGGTCGGTCGTGGGAGGGCCCCGCCCGATGGCAGCTAGCCCCTGGGAAGACAGTGAGTGTATCCCAGAAAAGTGCCAGCACTTAGTTCAGATCATGCAGATCAATTTCTCTGCACATCTGAATCTAGGTCAGTCACTATCGGACCCATTTTGATAAGCTGGCTGATTTTCATGATCAATACCTATGAGATGACAAGGCAAAGAACCAATTGTGTCAATGTTGGAATGAAGTGTTAGTAAGGCTATGACTTTGTGCAACTCAAGCTGCAGAGCCATACAGACAGCACTCGAAGAAGGTAGCGATATGCTCGCGATGCCACATCACGCCCACCCAAATCCCACAACGAAAATCGAATGCGACATGTAAGCAATATCCACCCAGTCAACCCAATGACACCGGTCCACGCCGAAGCACATCGCATGTCAATACGAGGTTTCCCGGCCCGGGATTTGTCGGTCCCCCAGGCGCACGCTGTCAAGGTGGCCACCCCCACCGATCCTTATTGCCCCATTCGTGCATGGCACCCTCCCTCCCCATCAAGCCACTACCGGTTGGAACCGATAGCTTCTTCGCTACACACCATTCGCAGCCGCAACGGGCTTCCTGCATGTGTAAGCGCAGTCAATACCATCACCGACCATATAGTGTGCAGAGATCCAGAGCAGCGCGGCACACGCAGAAGAAGTGCGGTCCCGCTGGCCCTATGCGAGGCTGTGGCACCCCTGTCGATATCGGGGCGCATAAGCGTGGTAGTGCAGATCTGACTGCACGTTACGCCGTTCTGCTTCTTCTCACCGCGGGGGGTTTCTTTCTGTATTCGCTGGGTCCGGGGAGTTCTCTCTGACGCAGAGCAACGTGCCGGCCGTCGAGTGGTACACGGGCGCCATGCGGCCAGTTGGGCTGATGGGCTCATGCCGCTCGAAGGCGACTTCGGCCATCTCTCGCATAGCCGGAGTTATGAATTGTAGAGCTATTTGCCTTGTCACACGTGAATCTGCAGTAGATGTGTTTGTGCCCGAGGGATGGTCCACTCGCCGATTTGTATCTCTTTGTGCCACAAGAGATATTGGCACCGGAAGAAACCCGTGAAACAACTTTTTCAATGAACTTGTTGAGCATCCGGAAGAGCAAGTAATCAAATGAATTTCGAGCTCGTGCCGTGTTTAGGTATGCTTCGAGACTACCCAGTTCCAGTTTGCCAATCTGTTTTTTTGCCTCTCTCCATGAGTCCTCCATCTCTTGACTGAGGGTAGCAATCAAACTGATCCTTTGGAACAATAGCGTGTTTGCTTTGCTTCCAATTTTGGAGACAACATTTGCCTCAGACTATTTCTCCTACAAAATATTTGTCTTTTGAACTTATGTTGTTTGAAGTGAGATGTAGATGATCGCTAAAAGGTTTGTACCTTTGCTAACAAGTTCAGAACAAAGTCAGTGAATTCTTAGATTTATAATCGAAGATAAAATGAAGATTTCTTCGATACGGAAACACACGGGGACCAATGTGTAAAGGTTGAACATGATCAACATGACACCCCAGGTTTTGAGTGAAACAGCCCGGAATACTCTCAAGCCCTCTCTAGAATCTGAGCTTAGGCTAGCAACACAAGCTTCCTCATGCAATTGTCCACCAGCATAGCGATCTCCGCCTATGTAATCACCTGTCCCTTACATGGTCCATTCACTAGCCAGGGAAAGCACTAAAAAGTAATGATTTCAATACCATAGGCTTAGTGAGGTAGAGAAGCGCATGGGTGAAGATGTACCTGAGCACATCACCAATAACATCTCGGCCAAGATGAGTAGCGTACTTGTGGTTGCTAAGCTTCTTTGTCCCTTGATTACCCTATTTTTCTTGATAGCACAGGTCACTGGCAACATCCTACTCGGTGCTTGCCAAATTATGATTCGGAGAAGCATCGCGGAATCACAGAGGCACAACTGTGATAATTTTAGACCACGCTAAAATGTCCTGTGAAACTACCACTGACCAGAGATTCCAAATGTTCTAAGATCCCCTCTCAAGTTTTCATGCGTGGAGAGTACTGCACGTTTGCTCAGTCCCGCCAATGAAATTTCTTCCGTTCAGAATGGTATCCAGGCCCACGTTCTGGTTATGCAGCGTGACCTCCTGCGTGTGGACAGATCCGCAGTTCCGCGTGTCCCCGTGGTTCCTCTTGAACCGGATAGTTCCTTTCATCGGGATGCAATCGGTGTCCTTGAGCGCGACGTTGGGGTCGTAGTAGTTCTGGTTCACGAGCCAGCACCCGCCCCAGGTCACTGTGGCCTCAGAGTCGGTGATGTCGGAGACGCCGCAGCCACCCTCAATGCAGCGGATGTTGTCCTCGGTGGCGTCAAAGGTCAGGGCCTCGATGGAACACTGACTCTGCTCGTCCTCGTAACTGACCCTGACCAGCCCGTCGATGGTCTTGACGCCTTCGAGCCTGCCGCCGGCATCGTCGGGCATGTCAATGACTTGCTACAGTCTGTAAGGGAAATGAAAGACATCAGTTCTCCCGTGCGGCTTCGACCGAGCTGCCATCTGTCAAGGTCTCCGGGACGTACCTGCAGTCATCCGTGGTCTGACCTCCAGTGATGAGTTCTTTGGCTAATTTGACAAAAGGGTTTCCGCCGAGCTGAGGATGAATCGTATTAGAAAGTCTTTCCTTCAGCACCAGGCTTCAGCAGGCTGTTAAACCCGCATCGTGCCAAAAGCTCTTCTGCGTGCCAGAAATGCTTCCAAACGCAGTGTAGTAGATTTGTGATTGGGTTCATATACAGCACAAGTCGGACAGGTCCCACTCTGGCGTTTAGCGAGGCTGACGCTAGGTGCATCCATTAGTGGGTGAGGACTCGCCACTACTAGCTCGGTGGCGGGTGTGCAGTCGAGATCATACAAAGCCCCATGATGTGAGGGAGATAGCTGACTTAAGTGAAGGTGTGCTTCTTATTCCAAAGAGTGTGGAGTTGCTTGCAAATGAATGTAGAAGAGATGTCTTTGATGTTGGAAATCCTCCAAAACAATGAGCGAAGGCTCATCTGTTCAAGAAAAACTTTTTAAGTATGTACACGGCTGGAGTACCACTTATTGTACCAGCATGAACTGAGTCACATTCTTAATATCACAATGTCTCACGATTCTGGGTTCATTGTGTATTTCTCAGTGCCAACCGTGCATTTGGTAACTTTCTTTCTCCTAGTTGACCTGGGCGTTTCTATTTACAGCCCTATGAAGTGCCAGAGCGAGAAACATAGTTCGAAAAATGGAGTATGCCAAGTCCAGGCGGTTTCACAAAGCCTGGCTGTTAATATCAGTCCAGACTCCAGCTTCTGAATGACCCATATTAGTTGGAATGGTCCTGTAGACCAAGAGGAAGGTTTCATTTCAGTCCTATTCAAAATCAAGTCAGCTAAGTCCATCGTATGGCATGCGATTACCTATGTATACGTCCATTAGTGTCTTCCAACCCGCCTTGAGTCTGCTAACGATGTCATACTTTTGTCTGAAATTACAAGCCCCTTGTGAGCCCTCTTGGTGTTCCATTCGGCCATCCATCTCCAACCCTTGCTCGCCATCATCGGAATGTATCAATGGCCCGAGCATACTCGATGTCGCTAGTGCCTCGACTCTTCTAGCATAAGTTGCACCCGAGACTCGTGATATTGTCTCTCTTGCAAGCTGTGCTCCTAGAGATACGCACAATATCCGGATATTTCCGTCTTTGGTCTGTAGAAAGGCCTGATTTGTGCCGTGGAACTATACACAGCTCATAGGCGGTGTTACGGTCACCCTCTCCTCCTATCGAGGAGGCACATTGTCGCCATATTTTGATGTGGTATGCTTCAGTCCATTTTCGTCTCACTTTCTGATTTGTAGCTGGACTCCAGGGAACGATAATCCTGCTCGTCTTGTCGAGAACAAGACTGATCGTCACAGCGTATCCGGTTGGCTGGGCTAAGCGAGTATTGTGTGTAGATGGTGAAGGTATGAGGAATCTCTTCCACGAGGCATATACGGTTGACTGGTAGCTCATTTTAAAATGGGATCAGACTGGGGTAGCCTGCAATATCAGAAGCCTCGAGGAAACATTGCATATAGTTGGTAGTAATTGAAGATCCGACCTTGGCGGTAATCCAGGAAAGTCCGCTATTCAGCCTTTGAGGTTCCAAGTCTGTCAGATAGCGAAGTTGTCCTGAGCAAGAAAGAAAGTCAGTCTTTGCTCACAGGTCGAGGGCATTGTGTCTGGGATCTGTGCCAACACGTGATTGAATCTTGTGGACAGCTTGAGGTCCATAGCATTCGTGAGCTCGTGCCTTGACCATCTTGCTGAGTACCTGTCTTGTTTTTTTTAGCAGATTTTCCAGGTATCCCTATATATATCTACTATTCCTTGGCCTAGCAGCCCTGGTGCTCACTAGACCTGTTGGGTCGGTAGGAAAGGTGGAAGCAAGAGTTGATGTTGCAAACATTGCCTACTTCACAGGACTGAGGGCGCCTTCTGACAAGACCCCCAAAGAAGTTATTTAATTATACGCTAGCGTGGTCAAGCTCTGGAATTTCCCGGCAGGCAAAAAAAGAAAATCGAGAACCAGCTCTCTCTTTCTCTGTAAGTCTGCTTGAGTTTTCAGCAACAAACACCTTCACCCCGACCACCTGGTTCTGACCCAAACCTCAGCACGGTCGGCCTTCCCTCCTCCTCGCCACATCCTCCTCGCCACATCGCAGTATCAAGAACAACGATGGAGCCAAATGACGGTAATCCTGAGGACAGGCGCACTATTGGTGTGACCTTCAATCCCATTGGCAACGATGCCAGTGTTGCGCAACTCAACAACCCTGAGGTCTAGCATGCTTTGGAGGTAGGTTTGTCCAATCTGGTGATCTCAATACAGCATATGTTGACATCTTCAGGATGTGATGATGCGCAACGCGGCGCGCGACGCGGCGACTCAAGATGGACGCGACAACACCGCTGCTGTCGACCCTGGATTTCCAACATTCCCAACTACGTTGATGGAGGTGGGTCGACTCCAGTCTTTGGCTCAGGCAGCGGGCCTGGACTCTGTTGATGAGGATGCTCCAATTTGGAACCGTCGTGAGATGAGTATTGGTAGCGGCCCTACTTCTTCTATGACAGCCGAGGCCTCTACAACCACTGTCCCTGAGCCTGACAGTCAACCTGCCACGAGCCTTGCCCCTCGTAATACGGCGCCAGGCGGCAACATTTTCGCTCCCATGCCGGGAGAGCGTCGACTGAGCAGGATTGATCGTCTGCGCACGTTTGCGGCTGAGCATTACCCCCGGATCTCCCGACGGGGCCGCCAAATGTCCAACAACACCACCGAGGCTCGCACCCTTCCCCGTGCTTCAGTCAATGACACTGCTTTCGTGAGCGGTGCTGCCGGAGTTGACCGTGTTCCGGTCAACAACAACCTCTCCTTGAATAGCGCTATTATGGTCAATGGTCCTCCCCCTGTCAATAGTACCGCGTCAGTCAACGACATGGCCAATGTCAATGGGGATCACATCAATGATTACTATGCCACTACCCGAGTCAATAGCAACACCCAAACCGCTACTGGAAACAGCATTCATGCCAACCCCAACGTCTATGCCCACGGTCCCATTCGCTCGGCTTTCGCCTACCGCAGGGCTTCGGCCAACGCCAGGGCTTCTGCCAACCGCACCATGCCCTCCGCCAGCACTGCGCCGCCCACCAGCTCCGCGGCCCGCGACTCTAGCACGACCAACGGCAGAGCTCCAGATGCTATCATCGGTCACGTCACTGGAACTGGCCGTGTCAGCGCGCTCGGCCGTGTCTTCGGTCCTGAGGGTGGCACCAGGGGCGGTGCCATCCCCGTCTTCGGTCCCATGCCCGCAGCCGGCGGTGCTCCTGTGGTTGGCACTATGCCTGAGATTGGTCGTGTTGCCTACGTCACGGTCCAGGCCCCTGATGACCGGGTAAGTTGCCCAGGCCAGACATCAATAATGACAGCGTTGGGTTGTCTTGCTAACTGATGTTTTGTCCAGTTCTACACCCTTCGCATTGATTTGGTCAATGCTGCGCCCCAGGCGACTTACAATTTCTACATCCAGCTTCCGCCCTCTTCCTGAGCGTTTGGCCGACACTTGGTGATGCTTGGCTGGCATACAACTCTTGCCGTGGATGGATTTGGTGGTAGTGTGGCTTCTGCGTGTCCTTGGTTCACTTAGCTGGTTCTCCTTTCAGGATAGCAGCCAAAGGCTTTGGATGAATCCTGAGAGGTCGTACACTCACGAAGTGGGAGGCGAATCATCTTCTCTCGGAAAATAGTGCATTTGCGGGGCACGAGCACTTGGTCTATGGAATGCACGGTTGAATAATTGGTTTGAGCTGATGAAGGTTCGGCACGAGTAGATGAATTGGCACGATCAAAAGACCCAAAGTGGCATGACAGATGAGGAGTTGGCATGATTGATGACACCTCACACGAGCAGATGAGATATTGGCATGAGCACCAAAATGAATCTCACATTCTCGTGTGTTTGAGAAAGCACAGCTGTGCAATTACCATGGTGCCTCTCTCCTCTTTGTGCCTTGGTACAAGCATGTTACCTTGCAAATATTGAAAAGGCTCAAGCTGTTGATTATGCGCCCTGAAAGACTTCAAAATTGACCCCTTGTCAAAGTCCAGACGCTGCTGATGCCGTAGATCAAATACTCATGATTCGGATTCACCAGTCTTCGGGGCGTTTCATAACAATTTTCACGACGCGAAATGTACTGTACTTACCTGCATGCCGCATCCGGAGACAAGATAAGCCGTAGTGATATGAAAAGCAGGAGGTTGTCAGCATGTTGATAGTTACGCTCTGAACTTCTAACGATTGACATTGTGAAGCGAATCACTATGGGCAAGAGTTCTCAAAACGTAACAAACAATTTACAACAAGCCATGCCATTATTCATGGCCAATTGATTTTTGTACTTTGCGCTTGTCAGAAGATTCAACTTTGATTGGGTATCATTTTTCGTGAAGTGATAGTCTCGGCTTTTATAGTCCATCGTGCTCCTCACCGGGACAAGAATCCGGGGCGCTGCCTCTCCGAGGCCAAACCCGAGATGACTTGAAGGAGTTACCACGTCCAATAAACCATGTTCACCTCCTAGAGTAGGCTGTAGGCTGATGTACTGTCAGACATGGACTAAATGACAACATCCTGGACATGCTCTCCTGCTCCAAGAAGCCTCAAAATACATCGCAAACCCTAATAGAGTCTCTCAGCTCAAGGCATACCCTGGAGTCTCGCCCGGGAGTGCCTGTTGTTCAGGGCAGCAGGCAGCATGGACGCTAGAAACGGCCCCTAGCCATCAGACCCCCTGCCGCCAGGAGAAAGGTCCAGCCTCGAACGCGCCTCGCGCATGATGGCCTTGGCCTCTTCCACGTCCTGGCCATCCTGGCAGAGCTCATTCGCCAGGCGGTTGGCCGTGTCGAAGTCGGCGTGTCGCATGGCATACTTGGCTAGCCACATCCTGGCCCTGCTGGTCACATTTGTGACGCCTATTCCTTGGTTCTGTCTGTCCCGCTCGTCGTTGTCCTCGCCCTCGTCCGATAGTATGTCGCTGTGCTTGGTTGCGTTATCGCCCAGGTTGTCCACGTTGCCGTCCTCCTGGACGATACACAGCTCCATGTAGGCCCTAGCTTCCTCTTCTTCGTCCAGGCTGTCGTACATATGCGCGATCTGTACCAGCACCTCCGTGTCCAGGCGGCCGAGCGCCGTGCGGTCGAAACCTGTTGCAGCGCTGCCAAAGCTGCTGGCCGAGGATTCGTAGTAAGTGTCAGCCAGCAAAGCTCGCTTGAGTGCCTTGATACCGTCTCGTTCGCGGCCCAGCTTCTGTAGACACGTGCCGACCGCCATCCACATTTTGCCGTCCCAGGGTCGCAGACCTGCCGCCTTCTTGTAGTACCAAAGAGCGTACTGATACATCTCCAGCATCTCATACGTTTGCCCAAGACCATACCAGGCCCGATAATCTCTCCGGTTGATGTCCACCGCCCGCCGATAGGATTCGATAGCAGCGTGCGTGTTCTTGAGTTCCACATATTCATGTCCCATCAGAGTCCATGCGGATAAGCATGACCTGTCGAGCGCCAAGGCTCGACGAAAATATTGCACAGCCTTCTCGTGTTGCGATAGCAAGGAGTAGTAGTTGCCGATAACAACGCATGACTCTGGTCGGAACTTGTCGATGCTAGAGCAGAGGTGAGCTAAGAAGGCCAGCTTTGGCCTTTCATTGAGAACATAGAGGATGTTGGAGTAAATGTCAAGACTGTCCAGGCGATGAGGGTGGAGGGAAAGGAGATGACTGAAACGTGTTGAGGCATCTTTGAGCTCTTTGGTATGGTAAGACAGGAGGGCTGAACACGTGAGCAGAAATGGGGAGTCCGGGAAGATTGCTAACAGCTGGTCGAGTGCTGTTCCCAGCTCATTTGTTGGTTGATAAAGCTCCAGCGATGTGTGGATATGGAACATGTAAGAGACGATGTGTTGTGGGAGGCGAGGCACGATCTTGTTGAGCTGTAATAGTTTCGTTAGAGAACGAGCCTGTTTTCAACCAATGTGTTCATGAACTAACCATTTCGACTCTGGTGATGGCAGAAGTCATCTCAAGCCAGCAGCCCCAATTCATGGGAAATAGATGAACACTCTTCAAAAACCATGCCATCGCCTCGTCAGTATTCTTCTCTTTCGCCAGGATCATGCCATAGCTGTGGTTATGTTAGTAATTTCAGACGCCCGACTTTCGACACCAACACATACAGGTATTCCAGCCAGCCCTGGCTACCCTCACCAGATTGATCTTCGTTCCGCTCCTCGAACCAAGTCTGGAGATAGCGGCTCACAATCGGCAGCTGCTTGTTGCCTACTGAGCCGAGGTCTTGAGGGCCCATAACCATCTCCGAGTCCTCGTCTTTCCTCTTCTCTCCGGAAAGCATCTTTGCATAGAGCGCCAAGAACAAGCTCTTCTGGCTCAGCTCCGGGAGGATACTGGGCTTGAGGTTGAATATACTATGAGTGGGGATCATGGACTCTTTGCCTTTGGTGGTCTTCAGTTGAGAACTTAACGGTGAGTCCTCGCCTTTTGGAGACAGCACGCTAGATAAAAGGGAATCTGGCAGGAAGACTGCAGTGCATCGGTCGAATTCCCGACAATCAAAGAATGACTTGGCGAGCAGGTACTTGTTGAACTCGCGAGCCTCGAGCTGGGCCTCCTTCTCATCGGGGTTTGGAGTCAAGATTGCAGGCATGTAGCCTCGAGGGGTGTTGTTCAACTTGGAGCCTTCATCCTCAGGGGTTGACTCTGGAAGCACATCCAGCAACTCAGCAGCCCTATGATCTGTGGTTAGTGGTTGTGTATGGCTGACCTGGCAGATGAGTTCTAGGAGGACGAACCACTTTGCTGATTGATACAGACATCTCTCTGAACACTTGACGACAGCATCCTGGAGTGATGCCCGCAGGTTGATGATGTCCTGCTGGGTGAACACCATCGTGGTAGAGTAAAGGGTGTGACCCAATTGGGTCAATGTCAACACCCCTGGCACTCAGGTTGATGAGATGGGGATGACCTCAACCCCAGAAGGACACGGCTTTGGGCGAAAGTGAAGTCACCACCTTTCTTCAGCTTCTGCCAATCCTTGTGATATTATTCTCGGGCTCTCCGACGCTGGGATGGATGTTGTTCGAATGCACGCAGCAGGTGAGGTACACCAGGTCAGGTGCAGTTGATCCACGGTGGTGGTATTATTCAAGCGTGTAACGCGTCCCGCCCTGAAAGATCGGCCAGCTCTTTAGCAGGGGGTGCCCCTGCACCTTGCCCTTAGCGGGCGCAGAAGAGGTAGTCTAACCCCGCCAAGGGACTTTCCATAATTTTGTTTATCTTGAATTGGCCGCGGACTATAACCTCCAGGGCTGACTCCAAATGACTCCTTTATTTACTCGGTGACATAAGAAACGCCTTACTCACTCACCTCCCCTCACTTGCCAGCCAGTAGAACCAGCCGTGGCACGCAAATTCGTCTTCGATTATCACCACCACTCCCGCCTCAACGCAGCCACGACCTCATAGGTACCCACAGCAGCCATGGCGCAAAGAACGACCCTGAAAGAATTCGAGGCTGTCTTCCCCAAGTTGGAGGCCGACCTCGTCGAGCATGCCCAGAAGTACAACCTGCCCCAGAAGCAGCTTGACTGGTACAAGGCTGTAGGTGTCCCAGCGCATGTGTCGTGATTATGGATGCCGCACCTATCAAAGACACAATCAAGTCTCTAATTTACACTGTCTCGTCTTCTACAGAGCTTGGAAACCAACGCTTGCGGAGGCAAATGCAACCGCGGCATGTCTGTCCCAGACTCCGTGTCCATGCTACTGGCCAGGCCTCTCTCGGAGGACGAGTACTTCCACGCTGCCACCCTGGGCTGGTTGACCGAGCTGCTCCAGGCCTTCTTCCTCGTGTCCGACGACATCATGGACACCAGCATCACGCGCCGCGGCAAGCCATGCTGGTACCGGCAGGAAGGCGTGGGCATGATCGCCATCAACGACGCCTTCATGCTCGAGGCTGCTATCTACACCCTCCTGAAGAAGTACTTCCGGTCCCACCCGGCCTACGTCGACCTGATCGAGCTGTTCCACGAGACCTCATACCAGACCGAGCTCGGCCAGCTGACCGACCTGATCACCGCCCCCGAGGACAACGTCGACTTGGACAACTTCTCCATGGAGAAGTACCGCTTCATCGTCATCTACAAGACCTCCTACTACTCCTTCTTCCTGCCCGTCGCGCTCGCGCTGCACCAGCTGAACATCGGCACGCCTGAGAACCTGAAGCAGGCGGAGGATATCCTGATCCCCATGGGGGAGTACTTCCAGATCCAGGACGACTACCTTGACAACTTTGGGCTGCCAGAACACATTGGCAAGATCGGAACCGACATCATGGACAACAAGTGCTCGTGGCTGGTCAACCAGGCCCTGGCGATCTGCACGCCCGAGCAGAGGAAGATCCTTGACGACAACTACGGTCGCAAGGACAAGGACAAGGAGGCTGTCGTCAAGAAGCTCTACGACGAGCTGAAGCTCGAGCAACGATACAAGGAATATGAGGAAAAGGTTGTCAGCGAGATCAAGGACAAGATTGCCAAGATCGACGAGACCCAGGGCCTGAAGAAGGGAGTCTTCGAGGCCTTCCTGGCCAAGATCTACAAGCGCAGCAAATAAGCGTGAACTTTTGGCCTCGCCTTGGTAACTTAGACGCTACATAAACGCAGAACGTCGGTGCCGGGTTCCAGGACATGCTGCTCTGGAGGCATTTCACAATAGAGTTGTAATAGACGTAGCTCACTGAGCCTAATACTTCAATCTTCTGAACACAATGACATCCGCCAGCCTAGATGACCAGAGGCTCCTATTTCCCATTTCATGCTTCATCAGTGGAACGTATTGTACAATACACAAAGGGAAAGTCGACAGGATACGAATGAACCCAAACTCCTGGCAAAGGCAAGAACCATTCTCCCAATTGAAACCCCTCTACCTCTCTCCAAATACCAACACAGCACATGCGCTCGCCCCAACCTCCCCTATTGAGCCCACCCATCACCCAAGCGCCCCTCACAGCGCCAAGTTATAGCTATACTCATCCTCCATATTCTGGCTGACCCACAGCACGACACTGCTCAGGCCAACCAGGGCGTTCGCGACGACGTTCTCGACGCCCATGCCCATCATGGGCCACTCGACGCTGGGGACGACGAACTTGAGCACGAAGACGGTGACGCCGCCGGCCATGCCGCCGGCCAGGGCGGCGAAGCCGAGGAAGAGCACGACGCGGGCCTTCCAGGCGACGCCGGACCCGCTGTACGAGAACGAGTCGGCCGACAGGCGCTGCTTCTCGACCGAGTTGATGATGAGCATCCCCAGCGACGAGAAGATGAGCGGCAGCCAGTCCACGAACGTCACGTGCACGTCGGACCCGTTCAGCGCCGACTTGGACCACACCGAGGCGTCGAGGAGGACGTAGAAGGCGAGGGAGAACTGTTGGGAGCCCCCGGCGTGTTAGCTTTTCTCGCATTTCTTGTCGGATATACGTTGCGGATGGGGGTTGGTATCAGTCGTTGCCCCCGATGATGCAGAGGCCGCGTGGGGTTGGGCTTGGCTGGGACGTTGCAGGACCTACCAGGGCGCCGGCGCTGTAGACGCCTGCGTTGCGGGCGTAGACGCTGTTGAGCCACTCCGGCTTGCGGAACTTCCAGAGGCGCTCCTCGGACATGATGGCGAGTGTGATAGGGTGGGGAGGGGAGGTAGATAGGTAGGTTGGTGTCTCGAGTGGGCTGTGACACTAAAGGTCGTATTGGGTGTCCCTTTGATCGCGGGAATGTGCGGCAGATTCGTAAGTCAAGTCTCGGTGCAGTGGTGGCTTAGGAATGCGGTGAAGCCAGTATCCGTCGGGGTATATTAGGACTGATTGTCGGCGAGTCGATGGCTGATGGGTTGGGACGTCTAGAGGGCTGAGGATGACGACGAGCTTGGAGGAGCTTCCTGAGCTGCGTCAGGCTGCCTGCCGGTTCGACCTGAACCCTGAGGCGTGAGGACAGGGGGCTTTAAGGGCGCCCAGGCTGGGGTATGTGCGCGGCTCAAGACGTCTTGCACATGCAAGAAAGGGCAGCCAGTCCATTAAACCTCACTCTTTAGCATTTGGTGTGTAGGACAGTGTTATACATGTCATGTTGTGATCTCACATGAAACTTTGAGCACAGGATACTGTACAGCCTCTTTCTAGTCGACACCAACATGACGACGACTGCTTGAGCCCTGGGTTCCACGACACCTTGAGCGATTGCATCCGATGACAGGTGACGATGATGCATTGATACTTGCTCCGGAGGTCAGAATTACAACGGGCAAGCTGCAATGATCACAGCCACGAAAGAACGTTCTAGTAACAGCGACTCCTTTGAGTACGCGTGATATAGTGATGTGACACGGGCGGTGGCCCAAAGAGCCCAAGGAAACATTGCAAAGTCAACAGTTGAAGGCTCCTCAACAGGGCGATTTATTGAAGTCTGGCTCAGGCCGGCCCGCCGTCACTCGCAGGTGTAACCAGATGGAAAGGCCGTGTTCGTCATCTCCATCAGGGCACGCCTCTGACGTCCCTCGGCATTGTTCGTGAGTCCTCCCCCCGTCATTGCTAGAGCTTTCTGATGTTTTCTTCCCATCCAACAATCAACCACAAACGCCTCAAGCAGACCACCTCCAAATCTAGAACACACGAGGTCAGACTACCGCCTCGGCCTTGAATGCGTAATTAGTGAAGAATATTCGGTTCGACGGTCGGACAGCCCCCAGCCTGGCGGTGTTGAGCCCTTGTCTATTCCGCCAGAGTAATATACACAAAACAAAACCCCACATGGCAAAAGAGGTAGAAGACGGGGTTATTAATTGTATCCTTTCGCTTCCAAAACGGCCACCAAATGCTGGCCGGAGCTGAGGGAGAGAGAACGCAAATTTCGAATGTGGTGTTCGTACAGAAGGCGTGCCAGAAGCCAACACAACCTAAGCCGTGGCCGTAATGGCGAGTGTTTGGAAACAAGCCGCGAGTCTCTTTGACGATGGCCTATCTCGGCCAACGGTCGCGCGAGGATGACGGACGCACAAGTGGCTGAAGGAGAGAACGGTTTCGTCTAGGGTCGAGGCTTCGTCAAAACGCCGTAAACGCCAATCCCCTTGTTACGGGATATATATGCTCTTCCCATTCGTTGCAGGTATCATGTTCTTCATCGCGGAATTCCATCAGATCTCAATCTCTTTCATAGCCTCATCTGATACCATGGGCTTCTTCCCGTTGACCTTGGCCGAGGAGGGAGATTCGGATTCCGCGCTGTCTGAAGTCTCGCCCTTGGTCAAAGCTGCAAGCCTCGGTGCGCTACTCTCCTCGCCACTGACTCTGGGGGTCTCCACCTCCACGAGTTTCTCTGGCTTCGTAATTCCAAGTCCGTTGGGGGAATCCTGAAGCGCGGCCTCCTCTGTGACGCGAGCCAAAGGGCTCGCCTTGCCATTCGCCCGCATGGGACTAGCCAGAGGCGAGCTGCCGCTGAGCCGGTGGAGCGAGCGTCCACGAACCTCACCGTTGGGTTCCGTCGGGCTGGTGTAAGGTGAGCTTGGTCCCGTCGGGGTGCCGGATCCCGGAACGCCTGATTTCCTCTTCGCAGCTCGGGCTGCCGCTCCACGGCCGTACTTCTGGTCCATCCTCCACCTCAAGATGTCGAAGTAGCCCGGCTCAACGCGAGCCGCCTTAAACTCACGCAACTTGAGCTCCTGGCTGTCCTCGTCGATGAACCACTTGCCACTGTTCAGATCGTCCGCAACCAAGGCCAGGAAATGACCCCAGGAGCGGGCCACGACGTACTTTGTGTCGTAGTCACGGCCGAAAAGAATGATTTGGCCCCAGTTGCCCTTGGGTCCGGGCGCGAGGTCGACGGCCAAGTTGTTTCCACCCCAGTCTCTGACCATAGGAATCCAGGCGGGGTGAGCATAAGCTTTGCGGATCGAGTCCGGAGGGACAGATTCCTGACGAGATATAAGGGTCTCCCTCCAAGCCGCCTTGTCCTGTGGGTTCGGGCTCGGGGCAGATTTCGAAGACGAAGCCTCGCTGCTCCCGCCAAAAGCCTTGGAGGGGACCACTGGCTTCACGACTGCCGTGTCAAGTAGAAACTGTTGGTTGACCTTGCGCCACTGATCCCAATCCTGCACCATCTCTTCGCAGTCGAGAAGCATGTTGCTGAAGATAATACCGGTAGGCATGCCGCCCCTCTCCTGACCATCATGGACCTGGAGGGAATCACGAACATCGGGAGGAAGGGTGCAGTCCAGCTGGTGTTCCAGCTCGTTCAAGTCGTTGACAGTGCATCCCTCGCAGAGCTGGTCAAAGAGCTCGGGGTAGTTTTCTTCGGCCCACGAATCGATACGCTGCCACGAGTGGGTCACGGGTGGCGGAGGAGGCATGCCGTCCTGGAACGACTGCATAGGGATCTCGCCGACAGGGCTCTGCATTTCGAAACCGTCGTTGGTGTTGGCACGAGCGAGCTGGGAGCGCATTCCGGGCGAGTATGGCCTGCTTCCGCCTGGGCTTTGAGGAATGGCGGGCGAGACCGGGGCGCCATTGTACGAGGTCGAACTCTCAAGGTGGGTCAGGGAGCTTCGGCTGTTGTAGTCGGCGTAGGGGGATGTTATGTCTGCTCGAGACTCGGAAGCCGTCGCGACTGATGTGAGGCCACCCTCGCCGAGGGGGACGTGTCGGCCAGATCGGTATGGAGAGTCGTGGCCGGAGTCTGTGATGATTTTCAGCATTCATCGGTGGTGGAGGCACGAGAGCAACTACGCACGTCTGTCATAACTGGTCATTGTATGCCAGAAAGACTTGAAGGCGGAGCCGAGTCTGTTTGTGGTCAATGGACCTCGGTCAGCCTTTGTTTGTTCGCCACAGCGATTTCCTCAAGATCTGGGGGATGAACGTACGGGTTCGCCATCCTGAGCAGCTGTTCAGCAGTGATGCCACGTCGGACCGGGTTGCTGGACAGAAGAAGACGCGGATGTTTTGTCGTTTGCAGGAAAAGGGGGTTGGATGGTGGTGGTCCAGGCCCAAGGAGAAAGGAGAAGGAACCTAAAGAACGTGGGTCTTTTCGTCACCGTTGGTTGCCCGGTGGAATTTACCCGACAGAAGTCGCAGCGACCAACGCGGTCAGCAGGGAAAGGAAACGAAGGTTGTAGAAAAGTTGCCGAGAGATGCACCGCAGAAAGTTGGCTGGAGTGTCAAACTGCACGATCGACAGGTTCGCGGTAGAAGCTGTGAATTGAGTTGACGCCTTCTCGTGTGCGGTTTAGTGTTTACCGTCCGTTGGTCGGCTTTTTTGGCGCCCAGTCGGCGGCGGGCGTGGGCGTGGGAGTGGGCGGCGGGCGGCGACTCTTTTCTTGTGTGTGTGATTCTTTGTCTAGCGGAATGTCGCAGCTTTCAAATCATCCATCCATGCCAGGGCCCAATCTAGGAGCGAGTCAGATTGGCTTGGACTTGGGGCTTGGTTGTAGTTCCGTTTGTGACTGTCTGTCTTTAAAAAAGGAAAAAGAAGTCCAAAACGAGTGTTGGACGCTGACAAGTGGCTGGGCAGGACAAACGCACACTCACGCACGCACACAATCAGTCAATCGGTCCTGGAAGCGACGGTGTGATGTTGGGTGTGTTGTGACAAAAGAAGATAAGAAAGAAGCTGGACGGATGAGGACTCAGTCGAGAGGCGGCGAGCGAGTGGCCAAGCTGCTTTGCTTGGACATCCAGGGCAATTTCACGGAAAATGCAGACTGCAGAGCCCTCTCTTGTAGTCTTCCAATGAGTGGCCGAATAGTAAAGCGGCGGTGGTACCTTGGACCTGGACCTGGGAGCACCAGTACACCCAGGCCAGAGCTTCATCCCTTAAAATGGACGCACCGTGCCTCCTCCCCCTCCCCCCTCCCCCCTCCTCATCAATCTAAATTTCCCTGCCCTGCCGTTAGTTAGGAGGAAGGGGCGTTGTGTAGGTGTGCCCAGGTGGTACGGAGCACAGTCGGACAGGTACTTGCAGTACAGTAGAAACCATCTGGGATACCCGGGTACTTTGCTTTTTGCCCAATTTCCGCCATGCACTCCTGTCTCTCCCTATCATTCATTAGCCTACCAGTCTCACCACTCCCCATTCCCTTTCTTCAGCAGCCAATCTTGATCAACACCTCTCCACGTCTCTCTCAACCCCCTCTGTTTTTATGTGTAGGTGTGTGTGTGTGTTGTGGTGTGTGATTGTAAGCTTCGTCATTCCTCCCTCCCGCAGGCCTCACCAGCTAGCGCACTGCACGCCTACCACAGTAGCAGAAGCTTGAAATCCCACCCTGGACCACCTCAGATTTCGACGATGCCTATCAGCAAAGACTGCCATCCTGCTGCTGCCAACTTGCTTGGTCCAGTTCTCACATGCAAACATACAAGGGCAATGCCTGCTGTGCGGCCTCTCTCTACTGCGCATACGAACCACAAGCACGTCCTGACTCTTGCCTCCATGAACGTCGTCGCCACGAACACGTCGTTCGGTTCTTTGTCTTCTTGCCCGCCCATCAGCCTGCCTGCTTGTGCGTGCAGTATCGAGGCTCAATATCCTGCCCGCGAGGAGGTTGAAGATATCCTCACGGGCAGCTGCTGCTTGCCGTCCCCCGACTACCCCTAGCCCCTGTCTGGATCATGGATCCGGTCCTCGTCTAGATGGAGCGTTGGATGGGAAGTGGACACAGCATTTATTGGACAACGCGGCCTGGCCAACCACGGCTCCATTTCGACGCAAATGCCGTCAGGGGCACCAGGGGGCTGGAGGAACCCCCCAGCAACCCCCAGCCCATGCCACTTCGGCGTTGCCACACTGCACTACCACAGCACTACCGCACGACTAGACGACCACCACCTACCACAGAATCCGTGATCGCCCGCCGTCGCGTCTCCTTTGGGTCGCCTCAGCTCTGAGTCTCTGGTTCTGTTACTCTGCTGCGCCCTGGGAAACCGCATTCCCGCGTCATACCGAGACACTCTGGGCGGGAGTTGATCTGTCGCCACCTCAGATTGTCTCGTCTCCAATCCGCAACCGGGCGGGAGTTCACTTCGTGTGAGCTTGTCCATGGTGTCACTGATCGTCCTGGTGCGCCAGCCATGTCATGAATATCACGAGATATAAAAAGACACATGCAGGATCGCCCACCAGATAGACGAGCTTGGAGCCGGAAAAGTCTTGGTAAACGGCTGCCTCCAGAAACATCAGACAGATATTCCCTGGACGGCACCTGATACCCCGCATTCCGCGATTAGCAACAACCTTGGGACCTCGGACTGACCCTTCTGACTGGGACAGTCTTGTTTCCGCTTCGGTGACAGAAAACGTGGGCTAGCTAATATGCGACGACCATTGCAGCTCCTTGTGTGCACGCAAGGATAGGCTGGCAGCTCCCGGCAGAGCCAGCCCGCAATCAAGCTTGCTTGTCAATGCAGAGTTTATGGAACGCCGTTCCAATGCCGTTGTGCCCAAAATGAGGTTATCTCACTGCCAAGTTCTTTCCATCCTAGCTACATGGGCAGGTAATATCCGGCCTTGCAGAAGACTTATCTTTCCGTCAATGATTGTGACTACCCAGCATCAATGGCGATACCGAGTATCTTCGAGTTTCGACTACAAAGTCTATGCGAGTGCGCTCGGACTTTCATTCTTCGAAGTCCAGATCATTGCATTTCATATATGTAGCTTCAGGGTGCCCCCAAGCCATTTCGAAGTACCGTGACCACGGTTATAGTTGCTATGAGCTAGTAGCGACATGACAGACACTTTCTTCTTCCAGCCGCCACAGCCCCGGTTGGCGCAAGACTTGCTCTAGCCGCCGGAGAGATAAAGGCTCACTACGTTTCAGAAAAGCATCCCTCGGGGCAGCCACTTGGCTGGCAATGACTACCATTGAAGCAATAGATCGACATAAAAAGCAACTTGGGCAATGAGGCCATGGAAAGTCCACAAGTAGGGATTTCTTCAAGATGAAATACTGGTTTGTCTTGTTGAATAGCCTCGATGTCGCCTGATTCCTTCCACAAGCAACGGAACACGGCGTTTCCCTCATCGCGGCTTGAAAGTCCCGGAACGTCTCAACAACACTGTGTTTAAGTGAATAGCCTGTTTCAGTGCTATTGCTCGTTCACCGTGTGGTTGGTGATTGTGAGAACTACCCGATCTAAGTAAGTAGGAAAGTATGTATGACGGGGTCGAGTGGAATGTCTGACATTCTGGCCCTCAAATTGTCCAGACTCGGATGAAAGTTTGAGACTGGATATCAGGGGCTGTCCGTCCATTGACAGATGTACATAGTGTCCATGCAGTATTGTTGATGCTTCTTTCATTGTGCTACTAGCTGGGTTGGCCAACATGCAGCCACATCAGAACAAAGCAAGTCGCACCCGGCCCACGTTCTCGTTCTCGTCCGACTCGAAGGGTTGATGCGCGTAGTTATCTTCAGCTGTAGCCAGGACATGCTCTTGCAGGATGTTGATTTGGCAGGAAGTTTGTTAGCCACTATATGTATCTTATTTCTGATTTTGTCTGTTGAGGTGTAGCATTCAGATAGATCCAGTTACAAGACTTTGCAAGCTTTTCATATGTATCGTTCAGGCATAAGGCAAAGCTAGTTGATATGAAATACACAGCGAGGATCCAATCTGTGCTCATGAAATGAAAATCACATATGCTTTCATTTGAGCAAATCTTTGTTCCGGGACAATGGCAGCTTGAACAGGACTGTGGGTCGGCGTCAACATGTTCAGCTTTTTCCATCATTATGTTGCCCACATCTCTAGCGGCAAATGGAACTTATCGGGTTTCAATTCTGAGTAATAATTGATTTTCTTGTTGACTGTAATCAGGAAGATGATTTGTTCAAATACGCGTATAAAGCGTGTTGTAAATGCACAAAATACTCCAATTTATGATCCACTTGCCCACGCTCCATATTGACCAAATATCTCAGACGCCTATTCACATTCAATTCAAATAATCATTCTTTCTCCTGAATGCTCAATGACAAGAAAAGCCCCCAGTTGACACTGATTAGACCGAATAACGCTTGTCGCGAGCGTCAGGTAATCTCCCTGGATAGAGAAGGTATGCGGCCTTGCTATGCCGTGCATTGTGCTCGTCGATAACAATACGGCCCAAACAAGAAAGTATGCCTTTCAAGGAGCGGGACCCTTTACTGACCCCGACCCAGCATTTGTCTTCTGGAGCACACGGCCCTTGGAGGTACTTGGCGGGTGAACACCACCTTCGCAATGGCACGACCCGAAACCTCAGGAGAAGCGGCGGCTGCCATGGGTCAAAAGAGAGGGCATGTGGGAGCTCTGTCTTACCGTTTCGGAGCATAGTAAGCCGCCTGAGCCTGTCCCGTCGGACGGATGACGGGATTGCAGTATAGGTAATACTCGAGTGTGCTCTATGGACATGTGCTGAGCAGCCGAAGATTTGATACAGAGTGTTTGAACTTGGATCGTAAGTTCGGGGGCTACAACACAGGCGAGGACTCTGCACGGAATCCCTGTACGCTGAGTGGGCTGGTTGGCTTGCGTGGTCAAGAGGGTAGATATCGGCACCGGTGGTCACAATATGACATGCTTTCTTTTATTTGCGATGGGCTACCTGGCGATGGCCTAGTCATCATCCGCTGTGCTCGGCTTCTTCTTTGTCCTAGTCTTCTGCCCGCCCTTGAAGTGCTTCTTGCCAGACATACTCATCTGCACCTCTTTGGGGTCCAGCCCCCTCTCCAACGCAGTCATCGTTCTGGCTTTCCTCCCGCTCAGTTGCCTGCCCTCGGCCTGGCCCTGCTCAGAATACTTGAAGCTGAACGGCTTGTTGAGATGCCCGGCGTTGCCGCCCCCAGGGCCGAAAAATGTCTTATCCAACTTCTTGGACTTGGGCCCGGCCGGCATGTCGATAATGTCCAGGTCCACTGATTCTCCATCATCTGCAGCAACTGACATGGCCTCCATGGCACTGGAAAGGGCTAGTCTTCTCTTTCCGGTGAGATGTGACGGGTCGTAGAGCTCGCTGTTGAATTCCTTCGCGTCAATGTCTCCTGGTGGAGGCTCGACAAAGAGGAGTTTTCCGTTGACGTAGTCCTTGAGGATGTACCTCGCTGCCCGAGACTCGTCTGGGTTTCCTTGCCCTGTGGTTGCGAAGCCTCTGGCACGAGCATACGCCCTCAACAATTCCGAGGCCGTGACTGTTCCGGTACCACCCTCCTCCAGAGGCCTCATATTGATCGTGATACCGTACAAGGCCTCCAGGAAGCTCTTTGGTATCCTCTTGGCCACCAAAGCGGCAGGTCCAGTGAACTCGCGCAGCTGATCGATGGGCAAAACACCGTTGCAGACCAGCTCTGCCTTTGTGCTAGCGAAGTTGGCAAATACAAGACCAGGACAATCGCAAAGGATGACGTTCTCGCTCAGATGGATTGTCTGGAAATGCTTGGTCTTACCAGGTGTGGATGACACCGAGACCTTCTTGGCTCCGATGAGAGCGTTGATGGTGGAAGACTTTCCGACGTTGGGGTATCCCACCAGACCAATTGTCAGCTTCTGAGACTTCTCCGGATTTGTAGGTGCATGTTGCAGGAAGATGCCTTCCAGCTCGTCCACGGTCAATATTCTCGTGTCTTCGTCGTCTTGTTCCGGTGCGATGGCACTCTCGGTCAAGGGGAGATTGGGGTTGTTTTCTGCCGCCTCAGCTTCTTCCTCTGATTCCTTCTGTTCTGGTGCTTTCTCCGCATCCTTGGAACTGCTTGCTTGGGGCTCCTCAACGAAGTCTTCGTCAGAATCCTCGTCCTCCCGTGCCTCGTTGTACTCCTTTGCCAGCTGAGCCGAGAAGAACCTGTACGCAATCTTCGCGCCCTTCAAGTAATTCGCCCATGCCTTTCGTTGCTTGTAGGTCATCATGTCGGCCTTGTTGATGAGAAGCAGGTTTTCCTTGCGCGGGTCGACGTCCTTGACATAATGGCCCAAATCCTCAGAACGGAACATCAAAGGATTCCGCGCATCGACAATCTGCACGACTAGGTCTGACCTCTCAATGACACGCCAGAGCTGGCGCCAGACCTCCAGATTCCGCTCAAATGGGGTCATGAGCAGATCATGGTTCTCCTGTAGTTCCGCAAGGCCTCGCCTCCAGTTGAGAAAGTTCTGCCTCTCCAGTGCATCCAACTCCTCCGGTGTGGTAGACGCATCCCACTGCGGCCGTCTTGGTACAGTCAACTTGTCCTTGTTCTCCTTGTGCTTCTTCGAAGTGATGCGTTCTTCCGCTGACGATAGCAGGTATGGGTTCTTCTGGTCGGTGTGGATGATCTTGACGTTGTTCATCTTCTCGGCCGTGAAGTCGGTCCCAGCAAGCTCCGCCGTTGCCAAGAACTCGTCGAGGGCGCCCTGTTCCGTGACCGACCTCATCTTGACCCAGCTCGCCTCCTCGCGATCGTTTGTAATGTACTCCTCGCCGGTCGCGTGGTTGATGCGGGTGACTCCAGTGCCTTTTCTCCGATCCTTCCCTTTCCCCTTGCCGAAGCGATCGTGCATCAGGGCATTGCCCAGGCCGACGCTTTTCTGGCTCTTTGGCTGCACCATCGTGGATTCGTTGCCTGGACGGTGACTCGTGAAATGTTATTTAAGGGCGACCCTGGTTGGCCCTTCTCGCCGAAAAGATGATGTCTGTTGTTCTCTCCAGGGCGTGAGGATGAGGTTGGAGGGAAGGCGTAGGCAAAGACAAAATCCGGCGGACCCCTCCAGTAGAAAGTGACGAAATCAGACTCGGCTTAGAAATTGGAGTCGGTCGCGGGGCAAAGACTTTTCGAAGCACAGCACCAGACCGGCCAGCTGCTAGCAGTGTAGGTGCCCCGCGACGATAAGACAGCGCGCTAGGGCGATAAGTAAATTGGAAGATTTAGAAAGTGGAATTTTTGGCCTACTACAAAATTACCCCTGCGACCCTGAACTTTTCGACAGAAAGAAAAGTCACTTCCACCATTTTCATCACCACTACTACCAAGCCACTACTATCAAACCACTACTACAAAAACGCCACCAGAATACCATCAACAACCACCCTAACTTCTCACCTCAACTTCCCAACCACCTCAGGCCACAACAAGATGTCTCGCTCTAACTGGCAAAAAGCCAAGAGGGAGGGCGCTACCCAGCACTTCACGCTAGTTTATAGGCCCCAAAATGACCCTCTAATCAATGACGATACAGCACCGTCTATGGTTCTGAAACCCACGCCAGGCAGCTCCAAAGGCAAGAAGCTTGACGACCTGGCATCCGAACTGGGATCAGATGCTCAGAGTATACGGGACAACGAGGGCGAGGCGGCCAACTTCGGCGTTTACTACGACGATACTGAGTACGACTACATGCAACATCTGCGCGAGATTGGACAAGGTGCCGGAGATGCCGTGTTTGTGGAAGCGAAGCCACCACAAAGCAAGGGCAAGGAGAAGCAGAAGCAGTCTCTGGAGGAAGCCCTCAAGCGCATGGATCTGGAGCAAAACTCCGAACAGCTCTTTGATGAGGACATGTTGCCATCCAAGGACTTGCAGAGGTTGAACTACCAGTCCCAGCAAGATGTGCCAGATTCTATCGCGGGCTTCCAGCCAGACATGGACCCTCGCCTCCGTGAGGTTCTTGAAGCATTGGAGGACGACGCTTACGTGGATGACGACGGCGGCGACGACATTTTCCAATCATTGGCAAAGGATGCGAAGGAGCTCAAGGACCACGAGTTTGACGAGACATACGATGAGTTTGACGGTGATGACGGCTGGGAGTCAGACGGCACTGCGAAGCCCACAAAGGAGTACAAAGATGATGAGGTGCCAACTCTTGTGAACACAGCCGAAGCACCGGCGCAGGGTCCACCTGAAGACTGGCTCGAGGGTTTCAAGCAATTCAAGAAAGATCAAAAGACAGAGAAGCAGCCGGCAGTGCCCAAGCAGGAGGATGGGCTATCTTCCATATGGACAACAACAACGATGGGAGGTCGAAAGAAGAAGAGAAAGGGGGCCCTCACCAATCCTTCAGCCTACTCAATGACTTCTTCCTCGCTTGTGCGCACAGAGCAGTTGGGCATATTGGACGCACGCTTTGAGAAGATGGAGGAACGATACAACGACATTGACGATGAGGGCTCGGTTGTCTCAGGCATGTCATCCATGTCAAGTGTACAGGGCGCGATGAGACAGGATTTCGACGGTATTCTCGATGAGTTCTTGGGTAACCACAGAATGCAAGGAAAGAGCCGCGTCAAGCGAGGAAAAGACCAATCTGGACTTCAACAACTTGATGAGATCAGGAGTGGCTTGGGACCAGCGCGGATTCGAGGTCGAAATGCATAGAGGCATCAACAACACCCGGGGCAGGCACCTCATGACGGAACGATCCCATGGCTTTTACTCATAGTTGTGTGAAGACAACTACAATCTCAAGATACCCAAATTTTACGGCCTTTGCAATACACACCCCAATCGTATGTGCGGCACCTTGTGAAATGTCACCATGTGAAATGTCAAAAAACACAAACACTCGATGAAACAAAAGAACCGTACACGCCAGAGAACCATGTCGCTGCCCAGATTATTCTCCCGCTCAGCCGAAATCGAGATGCACCTACCGGTATTTATGATCTCACAAGCCTGGAGTTAGCTGAATGAGCTGCGTGTGACATGTCTTACCGATGGGCATCTGACTGTTTCCGGACTCCCAGCGAGACGGGGGCCCCATTGCGATCCATTGTGATTTGCCGTGAATAAAGAGTGAAGAACATAGCGGAAACTCCGCCCAGAGCGTGAAATTGACGGCGAGAGTTGCTTCGATATCAAAAACCAGGATATTGAGCCGGCCGAGTATTTCAAGCATGATTGGCGATGGTCTGTACTGCCAAACCTGCAGGAAGAGAGTGCGATGGCGGACGACATAGATTCGTTCGACGGGCCGCTGGACGAGATCCTGAGAGAGGTGGGCCGCAAAGCTGCAGGCGCTAAGCCCAAAAGGGAACCCCTGGCCGTCGAGCTCAGCACAACAGCTAGCAGGGACCGCGATGCCAACTCCAACAACGCCCGGCCTCCTCAGCCTCCAACTCAGAAAACACCACCCCCGCGTCGCAACAAAGGTCGGCCACAAACTGGAGCTGGCGTTCAGACTCAAGCAGAAATGGCAGGCTTCGGTCAAGCGCCTGCATTCGGAGCGCAGGCGCTTTCGACCGACGCGACCAACCGATCAGTCTCGCCATTTGGAGCTCCATTCAGTTCGCCCTCGGCCTTCGGCCAGCCACAACAAACACCTGGCTTCGGCGCGCCCGCGGTAGCAACGAGCAATGCGTTCCAGCAGTCTCAGCAACCGCCATCCTTTGCTTTCCCGAACAACGCGACCAATCCTCCCGCTGGAAATCTCTCCAGTGGGGCACCTTTTGGCGGCTCGAGTGCGGCGAGCAACGACCAGATGAATGGCAATCCTTTCGCGCCAGCGAGCACGGCATCCAATCCCTTTGCGACGCAGACGGCGACAGCGACCCCTTCGAATCCGTTCTCGAACGCCGTGCCTGCGGCCCCAGCTTTTGGAGCACCAGCAAACCCCTTTGCCGCAGCTACCTCGGCCAGCGGCTTTGGCGCCCCCTCAGGCAGCACGAATGGCTCGTCGAATGTGTTTGGAAGGCCGTCAGAAAGCTCACATAATGCCACAGCTTCCCTCTCCGGCATCACAGCAAACAGCCAGAAGAGGAAAAATGGATTCGGGGACACGGGCGCGATGAAGAGGCTCGCTTTCGATTCTACGACAAACTCTTTCCAGAAGCCTCAGACGACCTTCGCACCAGGTTCTGCCAGCAACAAGTCCCTGGGATTCGGCGTGAAAGACACACGAAAGAACCGCAACGGGTTCTCAGATTACTTGGAAGAGAGGGAGACGAGTGGCCTCGGTCCCAAGACAGCGCGCGCTCAGAGTTTGGTCCTCAACGGTGGGAAGAAGTCAGCGGCCGTCTACGAGAAGGAGATCCGCGACCAGTTGCACAAAGATAAACTCCAACCCCCCAGATGGCCTCAACAACCAGGGAATCCAGCCAATAGGCAAGCGATGGAGTCTCACAGTGAGAGGTACAAGAATTATCAAGGACGTGTTCGAACGTCGCTGATAAAAGCTGGACTGATTGATGACCCGGAAGTACGGAAGAAGCTGAGTGATGCTATCGATTTCAAGGGCATTTGTCAGGATATGTGTCCCGAGGGCGAGAAAGTGTCGCGAATAGTCGAGTACGATGTAAAGTTGGCAGAAAAAACCACGAGCCCAGATGGCCAGGAAATGTGGCCAAACCCGGATCGAATGATCAAGTCATTCAAGCGTTCAGCAGCCGGAACCGATTCGCCCTTGCCAACTGAAGTCAGGTCGCCGGCCGCGTTGAGACGCACTGTCGACTACCTCATTGATGACCTCTTGAGGTCCGATGAGAACCTACCCTCCCAGCACAACTTTCTCTGGGACCGGACCAGGGCAATACGAAAAGACTTCATCTTCCAAAATGCCATGTCGGCCGAGGAACGGACAGACCAGATCTACTGCTTGGAGAATATCGCCAGATTCCACGCCGTGGCGCTTCATTTGTTGTCACAAGACAACTTCGCGGCTGAAGACTTCTCCGAGCAGCAAGAGCGTGAGCAGCTCGGCAAGACATTGCTCTCGCTGATGCAGGTCTACGACGAGTGCGAGGATATGGCAGGCGTGAACATGGAGAACGAGGCTGAATTCCGAGCTTACTACCTCCTCTTCAACGCTCACGACCCATTTGTAATGCAACAGATGCAAGATTGGGACGACAAGTTCTGGTTCAACTCGTCTGAAATCCAGACCGCCGTCACGCTCATCGAGGCGATGCAGAACGTGTGGAATGGGCGTGGCCCACTCAGACCTCAAGTTGCTCTAACAACGGGATCGGCGTCTAACGCTACATACTTCTCAATTGTCGAAGACCGCAAAGTGTCGTACACCATGGCCTGTTTTGCTGAAATCCATTTCACCCAAATTCGGCGTCAATTGGTGAAGTCTATACACAAGGCATATGGGAGGGTTAGAGATGGTCCAAAGGACCTCACAGCAAAGGTTCTCAACAGCATGCTTCGCTTCGACACCGAGGAGCAATGCGTTGCATTTCTGGAGGAGCTGGAAATGGAATTCTCATCCGAAGGCGCAGATGAACCCTACCTTGTGGTGGAGCGCAAAAGGAGCATTCCGGGGAAAACTATTCGGCAGTCATTCTCGGGGGTAATGGTGGAGCGCAAGCGCGGCGATCGGCCGCTGCCAGAAGTCATTCATACGACTGTCTTCGAGGACACCTCTGCAGACGTTGATGGTTCTCGCAACATGGACAGCATTTTCGTTACGCAGCCTACGGAATCATCAGGCCAATTTGCGGGCGGCGACTCAAAGGCGACTCATGCTGAAGTCAACTTCTCCGACGATGAGACGCCTTCATCATCTCCACAGCCGCCTTCCAAGACGCTCTCGCCGTTCCAAAGACCTCCCACGACAAATGGCTTTGCCACGTCGGAAACAAACAAGTCCACCCTGGACTCTGCGCTCAAAAATCCCTTTGCTCAATTGTCCAGCAATCCATTTTCGCAGGGATCCAACACGATCGGTGCCCCTTCAGCAAACAGTCCTGCCTCAAATCCGCAACCTACAACATTTCCTTGGGCGTCCAGCCCATCCACCAACAGCGTTCTCGGCAACCCACCACTGTCCGAGTCCGTTACAAAGCCGCCGGCAGAAATGCCCAAGTTCTCTTGGTCGACTACTCCAGCGGAACCAACAGCAAATACTGCGCCTGCTGATGGCGGCTCAGGATCTGTATTCGACTTCTTGAGCAAACCAGCAGAGACGTCCAATATATCGTTCCTCCCTAACACTGCTACCACTACTAGTACAGCAGCGTCGAATGTCTCTTCGTCATTATTTTCGACTGAAAATCAGGCTGCAAAAATCAAAGAGCAGGCTCCGTTATTTTCGACAAAGACCTCGGATGCGTCGCCTGCCACAGTCAACAACGATCAAAATAATCTGCCATCACCCGACACTCCCTCCAGTCTAAACTCAGCTCTGACGCCCACACAACAGCCTCCTGAGGTCTCTCAACAGAAACCCACTTCACTATTTCCGACGTCCTCGGAAATGGTCAAGCCTCAGCTGTTCGCAGCGACTCCGCCACCACCGCCACAACCTCCTGCTCCACCCAAAGATCTGATGGGTGATTTCGCGAAATGGGTGGTGCTCGGAGACAATGGTCTGATGGATGAGTTCCAGGAGGCTCTTGTGACTCATCTGGTTCGTGCTGTCTTCAATCAGCATCAATTGGAGGAAGCAGAACGCAAACAAAAGGAAGAAGACGACAGGTCATGGGCACAAGCGCGAAAGTTCAGAATCTACAGTTTGAGGGTGCGATTCTTCTACCGGTGGCGGGAAAATGCGAGGAAGTCGGCTTTGAAACGGGTGGGCCGCCACAACAGAGCCGCGATGAAGCGTTACAGAGAAGCCAAACTAGCTGAAGCGAAGGCAGCGAAGGCGCAGGTGGAAAAGGAGGAACAATCCCGTGTTAAGCGACTTACTGCGCCGACGTCTTGGCTCGACGAACTAGAGAAAGACCGAGCTCTGAAGAGAGCTAGGCGGGAAAGCATGTCACTTGACACATCGAGAAGGGGCAGCATAACTTCAAGCAACGCAGACGCCTTGCTTGCGACCGGCATATTCTCGGGCATGGACAATCAGCGGGAGTTGGCCGCAAACTGCGTTCGCGACGACGACTCCCTGTACGATGCACTGGTGGGCGTGACCCTACACCCGAATCCCAGCCAACAAAGCATGGGACCTCCAGCCAGGCCCAAGGACCCTCTTCGATCTGTCCGCAACGCTGCCGTGGCCAAGCCCGCGCCAAGACCCAAGCTCAGTAAGAAGGCTCAGTATCTTCAAGACCTGATGAGCGGCAAGCATAGGGAGGACGACCTCATCAGCTTCAGGAGCAGCAACTCTTCGCGTCTGGCACGGTCTGTGCCCACCGGTGGCAAGGTCACCAACTTCTCCCGATATCAGTCCTCGTCACCTCGCTCGTCTGCCGAGCCCGAGCGGCCGAGAAATGGGCCAGGCAGCGGCATCAAATCATCCTACTGGCTGCTCAGAAGCCGAGGACTCTTCGCAACGCCCACTGGACATGTCCTTTCTGACAAGGTCCCTCGCCCAGTGGTAAACAATGCTCACGAAACTGGCTCGCAGTACTCCGGAGACTCCGACGCCGGAGACTTGGACGACCGCGTCCTGGAACAGGACGGGGCTTACCGAGCGAGCTTGGGACTGACGGGTTCCCGTCGGAGCACCTTCAGCGTGCCACACTCAGCAGCAGGATCGCCTCCACGGCATAGCTTCCTGAAGCCCAACGCACCAGCAACACGACAATCTCTTCCTGCCGGCATGACTTCAGCATCGCTGCTTGCCTCCCGGCAGACAGATGGCGACGCTGTGTCTCAGGCGGGCAGCGCCGTCAGCACGCTGCAACAAGACGCCGAGGAAAGCCTGCGGGAGCTGAAGAGGGTTGCTGCCGAGCTGGATAGCGAGACAGAATGGTATCGCGAACAGAACAAACAAATGTCTCATGGCCAGCAAGCCTTTGGCGCTTAGCGTGTGAACAATGGCGGAGGCGCTGTAGTGTTGGGTGGATTTCAAGTTGAAGAGTCAGAGTGAACAGGGACGTGGGATGGCGTCCTCGGGGACTGCGCGATCGGACGAGGTGTTAAGGACGACAGGTGGACAGCAAGGAAGGAATAATGTGGAAATGGGCAACGGGAGATTCCCATTCGGAAGTGACACAAACGGCCGGACAAGCCAGGTTTCCGGCGCGGAGAAAGTAGCCGCGGAGGAGCAGGCGTGTCATCAACAAGCCATAATTGGCCTCGACGACTCGGGTTGAGAAGGGGGAAATAAGGGCAATCACGGCATTTCAGGGCAGTTTTCCCATGTTATACATACTAGGGTCACGGTTTCGGCTCTTCTACTTGCATCCAGCCAGGCGTTCTTTCGGTAACGGACTATGGGATTGGGAGGAAAAAGGAGGGAGATCTATCGAGTGTGAGCAAGGCCAGTACGGGCACTTGGCTCAGAATCACAGCACATCAAAACCAAATTAAATTCGGATCGAGCCAAGTCGAGCGAGCGAGCGAGCATTGGGCAGGTTCTAGTGTATGTAGCGGATTTGTTTGTCTTCGCGTCATGTTTCTGGGCATAGATACCTCAACAATATATCATTGACGACGATAACGATGATGCAATGGGATCTGTGTTTGGCTTCTCGTCGAGATTAGTGATAAGTGCTAAGAGAAAGCTAGGCGTAGACGTCTTCGTGTGTTCGCTGCGAATGCCTGAAATGATTGTTTTCTCGTTGTAGTGAGCCTCGCGGCCTTGCTTGACAGTGCGGTTGCCAGCACAATGCGCATAAGCTGTTCGTCCCGTCCCATTTGCCGTGACGGATACTTGAGCTCTGTAATGATGTTCCCCATTTGGAAGTTCATCCTTGGATTGTCACCCTCTGAGATATTTTTATGCTTGTTACTTCTGCCCATCTCTCGTTTTCCTGCCTTTCACCCGCCCCTCGCGACACCGTGAGAACCCATGAGCTTTTCGGGGGCCTGGATCTATCTTTCCGTTGTCTGCTTGCAAGTATTTGGTACCGTTGAGGATCTGTCCCATGTTGAAATTGACTCCATTAAATCCATTAATCCCGCGGGAGTATTGGCCTCAGTGGTCTTCTCTAGACAGGCGTCTCTGGCTCATTTGAGCCAATAGTCTTACACGGTGCAAGGGGGAAGGGGGGTGTAGCTAACACTCCTCCAATCATTATTTGTCTAGCCCTAGCCAACACTTTGGTAACTTGGTCTCCGTGCCAGCTTTTTGAGGATTTGTCCGCGCGAATATGTTCAGAGACATCTTATACTAAGTACGAATCTCATAAATTTGAAATCGCTCCACGTGGCGCGAAGACTTGCGAAGTTGAGGCAAAGACAACTTTGTGAGGAGTTCAACACGCCTGACTGGGATTTTGCATGCGACATTCGGTCAAGGACTCCCAACAGCATGTCCGTGTCTGTGAGCCTGCGGGCATAGAGCCGCATATACTGTATCGACGGTCATATTCCCAGTGTCCGACGTTGTCAGCACTTCAGCCTGGTCAGAGGTCATCTGAAGCCAAGACCTGACCGGACCAGGCTGTGATTGGTATGAGCAAAGCCTCTCGCCTCTGATATCTTCACGCGTTATTGTAAAAACTTTTGCATCCCAGGGTGCTCCACCGCGTGAAATTGGTTTGCAAAAACGGTTCGGAGGCGCCACGCCGGGCGGACAGACGAAGAACACTGCGGGACAAGAGTCACCTGCCTCCTAGCTTTGTCACCCCGAAGGCTGCTGTTTCCATCAGGTTCACTGAATCCCTTGCGGAAGGCAGACCTCATATGAAAAATGCGATTCTTTCTCAAGATACACATTGGAATAAACAAGCAGCTGGGGGATTGTGATTTCACCGACTCTTCGCTTTACAGCTGACCTCGAGGACCTACAAGTGGTACTTCAATTCCTCAATATTTTACGAGTTGAAGTATCTGCTACAAGTGCTCATGGCATCTCTAACCTTTTCCCAAATAACAACATCGCTTTTATCTATTTCCAGGCATACTGGGTCAATCTCTATGTTCGGTAGTCGCCATTAATCGTGCTACAGGGGAGGTCAGCAACTTAGTATACATACAACGCAGCGTCGGGATGAACAAGAGACTCACATATACTCATGGCTGTAGTCACAAGTCCAGTACTTGGCCTCCTTGTCACCCGTGCCCAGCCTGACAAGGATATGCAGATCCTCAGCCTGCAGGATCTCAGAGGCGCGCGCCTCGTCCACGGCCTCGGGCTCGCCGTCGACGAGCAGCCTCAGCTCGGCGGAGCCATCGGTGGGTACGAAGGACACGTTCGTCCTCTCGGGGACGACCTCGGCGACCTCATTCACGGGCTCGCCTGGCTCAGAGAGCAGCGAGTAGCCGGTAGCGCACAGGATACGGCCCCAGTTAGCGTCGCGGCCATACAGGGCGGTCTTGACGAGGGGCGAGCGCGCGATGGTGCTGGCGACCTTGCGCGCTGCGGCCTCGGACTTGGCCTCGGTCACCTGCACCGTCACGAACTTGGTGGCGCCCTCGCCGTCGCGCACGACGAGCTGGGCGAGTTCCGTGGCCAGGGCGCGCACGGCGGCGGCGAGGGCGGCGTAGTCGGCGCTCTTGTCGTCGGCCACCTCGGCACCGCCCGCGGCGCCGTTGGCCAGCAGGGCGACGGTGTCGTTGGTGGAGGTGTCGCCGTCGATGGTGATGGAGTTGAAGGAGCTGTCGACGGCGGCGCGGAGCAGGCCCGGGATGACGGCGGGGGACACCGGGGCGTCGGTGGCGATGACGCCCAGCAGGGTGGCCATGTTGGGGTGGATCATGCCGGCGCCCTTGGTCATGCCGGCGATGCGGTAGGTGCGGTTGGTGTCGGAGGGCAGGGTGAACTCGCGCGAGATGAGCTTGGGGAAGGTGTCGGTGGTGCAGATTGCGATGGCGGTGGTCAGCCAGTGGTCAAAGGAGGAGCCCAGGGCGCCGTGGGTCTTGGGGATGCCGCCGATGATCTTGTCCATGGGCAGCCTCTGCCCGATGACGCCGGTGCTCATGACGATGGTGGAGTCGGAGGCGCCGGTGACGTTGTCGGTCTCGCGGGACATCTTGGCGGCGTCCTCGAGGCCGCCCTTGCCGGTGACGGCATTCGCGCAGCCCGAGTTGATGACGACGCTCTGGATGCGGTTGCCAGTCTTGGCGAGCAGGTCGCGGCTGAAGGTGACGGGGGCGGCCTGGAACTTGTTCTTGGTGAAGACAGCCGCAGCTGAACAAGGGGTATCGGATGTGATCAGAGCCAGGTCGGGCTTGGTGGTGTTGGAGGGCTTGACGCCAACATTGACAGCCGAGACGCGGAAGCCCAGCGGGAATGTGCCCGTCTTGGGCACATACTTGAGCTTCTTTGCCGGGATTTCCAGCCCGTGTGTTGCGTATGCACGTGACTGGATGTGGATCTTGGAGGCGAGCTGCCTGGCGATCCAGGCTGGGCGCTCCATGAAGACTGTTGGGATGTGTGAGTCTAGGGTTGTTACTCTTGTTGATGTGATGGTTAGGATGAAGGGAGGTGGGTACAATACCAGCAATACCAGCAGGACGACGCACCGAGACGTCCTTCCTTCCTTTGCGACGAACGAGATTGTATATTATATGAGAGAATTAACCAAATCGCTCAATTTATAGATAGTTGCCCAGGTCAAGTCAGGTCAAGAACAAGACTCACCACCGAACCCGGACTGGAGCATTCACGTATGAATCAATGTCCAAGGTCTCGGCGCGTGTGAGTCCCCAACTATGAGCAATAGCTCCGCTTTCGCTTTGGACTGCAGCAGCTTTCCCCATGTCAATTGGGTCCATCGATTGGCCCGTGCAGCTCTCAGAAAATTTTATATCTTTGCATGTCTGGATTGGAGCTTGCAGTCCAGACTTTTCTCCTTCTCATCCAAACAACATTTCGTTCATTCTGTCAACAAGTCTATTCCCCAGCTTCTTTTCTTCTACACAGTCGCGTTGAAGCGTCTTTCGAGGCAATTTCACGCCGTACAACGTCTTGTGCCTTTGCACTTGCAGCAGATCCTTTCCAAGGTGTTTTCTGAGCCCAAAATGCTTTGGGAAATGGACGTGGGCGTGGACCACGGAGTGTGAGGGCAGAAGGCAGAGGAGCAGCTCCTGCTACAACTCTCTACCTCTGGACCATCCTACTCCTACATCTCCATGGCATGACAGTTTGTCGCTGTACGGCATAACATACTCTGTCATTTGCACTGTTTAGGTGAGTCGCGTCACGGTAGGTTTTCCCGTTGACAGCCTCCAAAACCCGAGCCTCTTTCCCGCACGGTCTGCTCAAGGCAGGAGCTCCTACTTTGGGCAGGAGTGCACAGTTTTCAGCACTGTGGGGCTGTCAGCTGCAGGCTGCAGGCTGCAATTTTCAGGCAGCTAGCTCCCCTAAGCTCCTTTACCCGCCCCGCCACGGGCCTCGGAGCTCTGCAGTAAATTTTCCCTTCTCTTCCGCAAGCGGGCTCTGAAAGGCCACCTCACTCACCTCACCTCACCTCACCTCAAATCAATCATCAACAAAGCCGGCGCCAGTCACCACCACGGCCAGCCTGTCTGTATGATCTCCTGCGCCGTCTAGTCTACCAGCGGGAGCAGTAGGGGCCACGCAAACAGCTTTGCATCCTTTCCTTCGTCCACCCTTGCTCCTCTCTTGCATCTTGTTCCTCTTGCCTGTTTCTTTTCCCATTCGCGTTCTCAAGTCTGCAGTCTACGCCATGGCCGAAGTCATGGATGCCTACTGGCGCGCTCCAGGCCTCGCGAGGTAAGCACTCCGCACCCTCACCCTCGTCCAAGGCCGGCGATGCAATCCATTAGACAGACACAGCTCTAACATCACCACGTGCAGGACCTTCGCGACCGCTGTCCTGGTAACCTCGATCGCCGCCCACGTCGTGGGCATCGTTCCCTACAGCTGGATCTACTTCCACTACCTGGAGCTCTGGCGGCTGCCTCCCCACGTCTGGCGATTGGTCACGAGTTTCTGGCTCACTGGTCCCAACATCGGCATAGTCTTCGACACATACTTCGTCTATCAGTACGCGAGCCAGCTCGAAACTACGCACCCAAAGTTTGGGAGGAAGGAGGATCTCCTGTGGTACCTGGTCTTCTGCGGCGCAGTCATCATTGTAAGCTCAACACCCCCCAACACTTGCCTCATCTGCCCTACCCTGCCCTGCCCGCCCCGCACCCCAAACGCACCTCTTATATCTGCCCGGATAGTGAAGTGCCTCTACTGCTATCACGGTTCCTGGAAAGGAGGGAGATTACCCCTGCACTTCGGCCGGTCCGTCATTCGCAATACCTAGTTAAGGGCCGGTTCGCGGTGTGGGCATGGTGGGATGCCTCTATGGATGACTCGGGTCTCGATCTCGTGGACTCGGGTGGTTTTGAGCGCCCTACATCACTCCAACACTACTATCATCACTTGCTTGCTGCCATATCCCACGGTCAATGTCGAGATCACAGGGCCAGGGCTAACAAGTCAAAAGGTGCTCGCGCAATACTTCCTGGGCAGTGCATTCTTCCTACAGGCCATGATCCTGGCCATGGCCTACACTGCCACCCAGGACCAGAGGGGCCAGAAGGCTGGTTTCTTCTTCTTCACCGTCCCAGCTCAGCTTGTCCCGCTTTGCATGATGGGCGCCACTCTCCTCATGGCAGGGCCCCACGCCATGCTGCTCCAGCTGACCGGGCTCGTTGCTGCTCATCTGCACGACTTCCTCACCAGGCTGTGGCCAGAGTTCTGCGGTGGCACCAACTGGATCCCCACCCCTGCCTTCTTCTCACACCTGGTCACGACCCCTCGCTTCATGCGGCGTGAGTACGGCACAGCCATACGCGCTCCCCAAGGGACGGGGAGCACCACCGGAGCGCAGGGCAGGGGTCCACTTCCCGACTCTTGGAAAACAAGAGGCTCTGGCCACCGTCTGGGGTGATCAAGCACATAGCATTAGCGTTGCCCAAAGTGGTTATTTAATATTATTGGTTTATTTCTGGCATCAAGCCTTGACTATGTGGTCTGCTTTCCCACATTGTTGAAGTGAATAAATACCCGCCCCAGACCTGCATTGCAATTGTGCGGTGCACCTGCGATGTACCTAACTTTTCCTAGCTCCCAAGCAAAAGACCGACTTCCCAGCAAGATAGCCACACACCCAAGGAAACCCCCGACCTAAGTCCCAGAACGCCATACCGAAACCACCGCCGGAAAAGACATCAGGGCCTTCTCAGGGAAAAACAGAGGAAACAAAAAGAATTTAGATATGTGGATTAGCTCATCCGTAGAGATAGCTCTTCCCGCTCCCGATCGGCGCCTCGAACGACCGCCCGCCCCGGTTGACCGTCTGCTCGATGATGCGGTCCTGGCCCGCTGGCGGCGGCGGCGGCGGCGGCGGCGGTGGCGCCCGCGTCGAAAACCGGCTGCCGGGGAACACCAGCGGGCCCGAGATGCTAGCACCGTCCTGCTGCACCTGGATCCGCGGCAGCGGCTTCTTGCCCGGCACACGGATCCGCGGCACCGACGGCAGGATCAGCGACCCGATCCTCGGCGGCGGCGGCAACGACCCGCGGTGGTCGTCGTTGCTATTGTTATCGGGCGATGTCGCCCTGGAGATGCTGTGCTGCTGCTGCGACTGCGACGACGGCACGGGCATGGACGACGCCGAGAGGAGCGGCGGCGTGGGCTGCGGCGTGGCCTGGTGGGCGGCGGCGAGCTCGATCTGGATGTTGCGCGCGATCTCGGCGTTGCTGGCCGGGCCGCAGCGCAGCGGGAGCAGCGACGACGCCGCGGCGGCCGGCGGTGGCCGGGGCACCTTGGGGTCCTCGGCTGCGTTGAGGTACACCTGGATCGCGTACGAGTCGGGCCTGGCGCTGCCGCTGCTGCTCTTGCTGGCGCCGCCGCTGCTGCGTTGCGGCCGCGGGACGGGCGACTGCGTGCTCGACCGCACCGAGCAGGGCGTCGGGTTGCGGCTGGGCCTTGCGCCCAGATCGGGGGTGCCGCGGTTGTTGCTGTTCCTGCTGCTGGTGCGCGGGATGTAGGCCGGGTGCGTCGGCAGCGCGGTGGTGGGGAGGTTGCCGATCGTGTCGACCTGCTCTTGTTCTTGCTGCTGCTGCTGCTGGCTGTCGACGGGCTGCACGGGCGGGCTCATCGCCCTCAGGGGCCGGCCCCTGGTCTTGCCCTCGAGGCGGTCGTAGTACTCGGCGTTGCTGGAGTATTCGGACGGCAGCGGCTCCGGCGTCTCGGAGACGGAGGCCGCGCTGACCCCCGGCTGCGGCTTGTAGTCCGCCGCGTACTGCGGCAGCGCGTAGCTGTGGCTCGTGGCGATGGAGACCGGCCCGCTGCCCGGGTCTCCCTTGCAGTGGTAGAACTGCTGCGCCGAGGCGAACGGCGGTAGCGAGGGCGCGTTGTCCTCGCGCTCGTACTTCTTTTGCTTGAGCCAGTACAATACGAACAGCGCGATGGCGCCGAGGAACAGCGCCGTGGCCCCTAGGGCGATGCCGGCGATGGCGCCTGTGGTGAGCACCTGCTTGTCATCTCCGTCGGAACCTGCTGCGCTGGCCGATGTGGTGTTGCTCGCATTGGTTGTGTTGATGGGGAAGGCAGAGAATATGTTGCCTGTGATGCTGAGGGCTGCCCCTGGGGAGGGCCGTTCTTGGCAACCAACGCCGAGGGCACGAAGAACTGGTCTTTGGTTAGCTCCCTGGCAAGAAGGGGGGAGATCGGGGGAACGGCTTACAGTTTGCCAGGTAAGTGGAGGAGCTGGATTGGAGGCAGGTCACACAGTCATCGATGTTGGTGCCGTACAGCACGCCGTCGTTGGCTTGGCAGTAGCCGTACTCCGTGGCGTTCTCTGGGTCCAGGTTGCCATATTCGAGTGAGTCTTGAAGCGGAGCACAGGCGCTGGCGAGATCGCATGGTGTTGTTGTCGTCTTCTTGTGGGCTGGATAGTCGAAGAGACATACGGCCGAGGCGTACCGCAGGTTGTCTTGTGGTCCAGACGTTAGAGATCATACACCGTGTTTGGGATATCAAACCGCTCCGTGTTGTGACAGCTTACAGAGGAACCACGAGACATCACTCTCCTCGCCGCTGATGGCATTGCTGGTTTGTAAGCAGGTGACGCAGTCCTTGAATCTCAGTCCGGGTGCCGAGGAGAAATAGTCAACGTCGTTGCACACTATGTCCGAGGCATTGGTTGTTGACGCTGCTGCCCGCATGGAGTCGCCATCTGGTGAGTCGAGGCAGACAGATGAACATGATGAGCCGGGTGTCACTTGAATGGCTGTTGTGCTTGACAGGGTGAAGAGGATGATGCTCAGCGGCAGAGATGGCACCATCATTTTATTGAAAAGTGAAGAAGCCATGCTTCAAAGTCTCGCTTGAAGCAGGTGAGGGAGGTGAGTGCGTGGGAAGAGCGGTGATGTCTATGGCCCCCAACACATATCCGTAGGAGGAGGAGATCCCATGTAAGCCACGTCGAGCTTGATCGAAGCCAGATCTGGTTCATGAGACCAAGACTCGATGAGATGGAGGGAATAGTCCATAGGAAGGAAGCGAACCGGCCGTGGGCAGGGCTCCCAGAGGGAAATATCATATAGGGACCTGCAGGACTCATATAGAGCAGCGGGCAAAGGTTGGGCATTTGCCACCACGCTTCCGGGCTTGCCTGCGGGCTTGCAGATGCATCATTTTACCTAGTTAGACCCGGGGATAGAGGCAAGCTTTTTCGCAATCAATAATTACCGGGTTCTAGCCAGCGGGAACTTTGCTGCGAGCATGCGGCGTTGGCTGTTGTGCGAGCTTCGCAGGGACATCAAAGTCAACCAACAACCTCGACGGACAGCCAATGAGCGGCCGCGGGCGGCCCACATCGTCGACATGTCGTCGCTGGTGTGGCAGCAGATCCATAAGGCGGGCCAATGGCGAGGAACCCGATCAACGGGGCCCAGCGCGAACAGAGCTGGTGAGTGGCCTGATGGGAATAAACGGCATGGGGAAACAAAACCTGCATGCAGGTCATAGTTCGTTCGTCTCTTTGATCCCGCTCCCACCCTTACGTTCCCCCCTGCCCTTCAGCAAGACAGGTGGGCCCGAGATCTTGCTTTCGCAAGAAGGTTGCGCTAGCAATCTCGAGGGCGCGACGTGAGTGGCTCTGCAGACGCCGGCCTGGGATACGGCCATTTAGTTCCCGCAACGCGGCGGCCTCGCGGGCGACCACTCAAGGTGGAGAATGGCGGTAGCACGGCTGGCGCCCCATCCACCCCCATACCGGCTCGACCTCACCGGGTCACAGGGGTCGAACATATTGGGCAGGTGCTGCTTTGCTTCCGGACCCAGCCTGGCCTTTGTGATTGGATGGGTCGCTCGAGAGGTTGGTCGTACAAAGTTAAGCATTTGCTCTGCTGACGCTGAGAGATAGGGAGAGAGAAGAACCTTGTCCCTCGTCCAGAAAGCTTCCCACCAAGGGACCCAGGACCACTCTTTGGCCCTCACTGGTTATCCGGCATCCAGCATCCAGCATGGACTCGATCTGGATGCCGTCAAGTGGAGACACTTGTTCTTCTGACAACGCTCGCGGCTCTTTGAGCCAGTAGAAGCCAGTCATCCTTCCCGAGATGGCGCTTACTAGTCTCTATGTCTTGCAGTGGCGTATTCGCGGTGGGTGGAGTGCTTTGGACACGCGATCTTCGCGTCTGCTGGCTGTGCCTAGCTGGCATGGCTGCCTCGATGTGATGAAGGCTGCATCCGTGTGCTCCCACATGCATATGAGTAGTAGTCACCAAACTTTGGCCTGCCATCTCTAGCCTGGCCTGGTATGGCATTGCGTGGCATGGCATCATTGCCGAATCCAGAGGTTCTATCACAACTCCTCGGTCCGGCTTGCCATCTCGAAGAGTCTCGTTCCGTGAAGACCTCTTAAGAAGGGATAATCCGATGACCTCTCCGCCTGTTTCAAAAACTCAATGATGATCATTCGGCCGGGGTCACATCTAGGCGACCAGGACCACACTGCCCGGGCAGGACCTAGTGGGGGAACCTTTCATCATTGTCCTTCTCGAAGAACCCGTTGCGTAGTAAGGCTGGCGGCTACTGTGGTGGGTCAGCGGGACCGAAGCGAAGCCACTTTGTGTACACGTTAAAACCGGCTTCTGCCCATCATTCGCCCTGCTTCTCATACTGATTTGGCCCGTCTCTCCTCAATAGGTCATTCGGAAAATACATTGTACAAGGTGAGCAAAGGTAGCACACGCTGCCAAGAGAGGACTGATCAACATGCAGATTGGGTGCCACGCGTTCTTTCTTCTGTTCGTGCATTTGGCTGCTGAGGTCTTGTTCTGCCAGCTCGGGCTCACCCGAAACCCTTCTCAAGCCACTTAAATATCTTGGTTGCAATCTTCTCATTACTCACCCTCTGACTACCACCCCAGGTCCAAGCGAGATCGGTAAAATGAAGGCGATGTGGCACATGACACTAATTTGTGATTGAAAGCTCTCAACCTCGCATCGAGCTTTCTTCCTTCGAAACTATTTCAACGCGGCGACCTAAATAAGAAAGACGGGTGCGGATGCCCCTCGCTCACAGGAGCAACTTAGAACGGAAGCAAGTCAGGAAGAGGTGGAAGGTCTCTATCGTCGGTTTTCTGCTCAAAGCATGATGCCCAATAAAGTACTATCGAATGTCCATTGCCCTTGGCAGGAAGACGCAGAGAAGCTGCTGGTAATTGAGCAGCTACTATAATATTATCCGGTCCCACCACAGAAGCAGAAGATCACGGGTCAATTTGCACATGTGCCCCTTCAAACCTATTCCAACCGCTTCCTAATGTCATTGGGGTAGCTTCAAATGCACACTGGGATGCGCGCTGGCGATGAGCCAATGTCGGTTGGCCATCAGCTTCGGCGCCAGAAAATACCAATCTAACAACTATGATGTTGGTCTACGATGAAACATGAAAGTCTGATGATATTGTCCTCTTCGACAAAAGTTCCAGGCTGGCAGATGTTTCAAAGCGATGTTGGCCCTTCGCAGATATTCCAACAGAGGGACCCAACAGGCCCTGATGCAGCTGCCATGTGCCTGTTGGTCTGTTGTATCCGGGGCCGGTCGGCTCAGCGCGAATAATATTATTTCATTTCCGTGAAGCTTGAGCACATTCAGCTACGGTGTCATCCGGAATTGAGGCTACACGACTGGGTATGTTCGTCCTCCACAAGTCCTGGTCTAGGGCTTGCTGCAAGGAAAACACCCTAGATCCGACCCCCTGCCCCGTCCACGGCCAGCTTAAGCCCAATTACTCTGCGGAGGGAAAAGCAGGACGTAGATCTTTTACCAGCTCGTTGTAAATCTAAATGCCGTCGACATTTGTGAAGGTCTTCGTGTGAAGCTCAATCTTCTGAGTGTACATTTCATCATTCATGGATGTTTCTGTGGGCCGATCCCCCCGCGATTTGTGGTTGAGTGCAACCAGGGCCTACCCGCGGAGCCGATGTGACGGGCTCAGGCTACTCTGCACGTTTCTTCCACGCCAAGAGGAATCCATGTCAAAAGTCGTAGCCTTCGTCATATCAAGCCCCAATGTAAATCTCATCCCTCCAGTCGTCAGTCTTCTGCGAGCAATCTTGTTCTTTGACTTGGTCTTCCAGAGCGAACAGGGCACAGGCAATTTCACCGGCGCTTGGAGAACATGTCTGGGGCAGCAATCCTTTCATCGTCGGCGAATGGGAACATCGTCCGCCATCCTAACCAACGTGTTCGATCTTGGTCTCTCACGCTTTTCAGGCTCAATTACTCCTGCAGAAGGGCGGTCACGCAGCCACTGCTGGGGTCAACAGGTGCACTTTCTCGGCGGCAGAGCATCACATATTGAGGACAGCTGGCGGGCTATCTGACCGCCGCATCCCGAGATTGGCAAGGCGTGTCTTCGAGCGAGACGGTTTGAATAAGGTAGATAGATAGATAGATATGCATGGGTTGTTTCCCAGCCCAATGCCGGGCTGTGACGGCCTCCATTTGCGACCACTCGTGGTCAACAAGCAACAGCTGACAGTCCATGCGCTGACACTTGCGCAGCTCTAGGGCAGAGCCCAGCGTGAGACCGCCAGTTGAATTCTGGGGAACCAGGCTTGCTCGCTCCCTATTGGCGTTCCGACTTGGTGGATGTTGGCTGCAAGCATGAAACCCTGCCCATCCCTGCAGGATGGAGGACCACCAAGCAATGTGATTCGCATGGAGGATGTGGGCTGGCACGCAGGCGCTAAATGTGGGCACATCACTGGCCACTTACAGCTCAACCCTGCTACTTTTCGGCCGACTTACACGATATTGGTGGCCGTGAGTTGTGTTCGAGCAGCGCTGGGTGGGAAACAATCCCCCTGAGCCCACGGGTCAGCCCACTCAATTGTGACCTGGAGCCGCCGGGTCCCCCTCGTCTGGCCTGTCTTTTGCGGTCTGTCTTTCCTCTAATACCTGACATATCCGAAAATGCATAACGCCTTAGGCCCGTTCCGAACATGTTTGTGTCGCCGTGTTTGCTCCGCTTCTGAATGTCCTCGGTGTTGACAGCCTCGGTGTACGGTTCGAACTGGTCTCGGAGTCCTCGAAGGCATATCCATCCAGCACGTCTGGGGATATAGTCGGCCTATTAGGGTGCTTTGCTCGACCTGGTTCATCACTGGGAGCATCAAAGCCGAGGATTTTCGCTAGCTGCTAGGGTTCACGATGAGGATCGCTTGCCTCCAATTTGCGCCGCAGGTGGGGGACATCGACAACAACCTCAATCGTGCGGTATGTTTTGGCCCGAGCCTCTGCGACGAGACACGACTAATCGTAGAAATAGGACTCGGTACTTGCCAAAGCCAATCCAGAGGATCTTGAAGGATTGGACTTGCTCGTTCTGCCGGAACTGGCATTCACTGGTATACCTCTGGTTCCTGTTCTGCTCCACAACAAAGCTGATTTTGGATCAGGTTACAAATTCGAATCTCTGCAACACATCTCACCATACCTTGAGCATGCTGGCTCGGGGATCAGCTCACTATGGGGTAGGCATTAATCCTCCTTCATACGGCCGCCTCTCGATTCTCTGGCGAGCCTCCTGCAACGCATTACTTGGGGTCCTGTTATGGTTTATTGACATGTCCCAGCTCGAACCACCGCCCTCAGATTCAACACCACGGTAGTTGTCGGATATCCCGAAAAGGTGGACGTGAGCCCTCGATGGCCAACCTCTCCGGAGTACTATAATTCTTCCATCGTTGTCGATGGGGACGGGCAGACGATTGCGAACTATAGAAAGTCGTTCCTCTACGCTATAGACGAGACTTGGGCGTTAGAAGGCAAAGATGGCTTCTTTCACGGTGACCTCCCTGGCCTGGGCCGGACCGCTATGGGAATTTGTGAGTTTACTTTTACGCGAGAACGAATTGCAGGCATGCATACTAATACCTCATTCTCAGGTATGGATCTGAAGTATGAAACATATTGTATTCTTCAGGCCACTCGTGAGGTAGCCTCACTAACACCTTTGACAGCCCATATAGATTTGAAGCTCCTTGGCATGCTTTCGAATTTGGTTTCCATATTATCGAAGTGCAGGCGAACCTGGTCATCATCAACATGGCATGGTTAACTCGAGAAGAGGGCCGCATGTTCAGCCGAATGCCTGCAGAAGTCAGTATCCGTTGTCCTTCCTGCCACAGTGCTCAACTTCTGCACCGACCAAGAAGATTTACAGCATAACTAACAGCATACCTTGTAGCCTGATATGGAGACCCTGACTTATTGGGTCCAGCGACTTGAACCGGTCATTCGCGCGGAAGACGAGCACGAAACCATCGTCGTCTTTTGTAACCGCACCGGCTTCGAAGATGATGCCGTCTATGCTGGCACCAGCACAGTACTTGGCGTCGTGGATGGCGAAGTTAACGTATATGGCATCCTGGGCCGAGGCGTCAAGGACCTACTTGTGGTCGACACAGACGACGCTCCTTTCGCCAAACTGGTGCAGCGATCGGAAGGAGACACTGATACATCATCCGTGGCTAGTAGTCGTCGTAAGCCGGGAAAGGCCTCAAGAGAAAAGCCACCAAGACCGACAGCCACCGCAGAACAGACTTCTGCGATACCAAGAGGGCAAAGGAAACTAACCCCTACACCAAGTGCTTCTACAAAGCCCAAGAAGCCAAAGCCCATGTCTCCAAGGATTCATATACCGGAAAGGAGCTTTTCCAGACAGCATTCTGCCACTCACAGCACGCCCATTGAGGAGAGCCCGGGCGTCGCAACGCCTACCTGTCCCAGCCCCACGCCTTTCTCTGATAGACCGTTGGTTAACGGTCTTGGAGGCAGACCGACCAAAGAGCACGCAAACACACCTTTGCCTTACGACGACTACGATATGCACAGTTGGGGTGGCCAAATTTCAGTCGATCAACCGACTCCAAGCACGGCATCCCCAGGTTCCGAGCACTTGAGCGAGAAGTATTTTTGGTTGCCCACACAGAGCGCCTTGAAAAGTCCAATGGAGATGAAATTTCCTCAACACTACCCACCTCCTTCACCCACCGCGGTGCTACCGACCCCGAGCTCACTTATCAGGCTACCTCAAACAGAACGCCATGCAGTCAGAACACCACTCCCCATCAAAGGGGCGCCATCTTCCATGTCTGTCCAAAGCGACAAATCAAGCCAGTCGGGACGACTTGGACGTCAACAGGCAAAGACGCAAAGCTCAAAGGATGATGCGAAGCATGAAGATGGTGCCGCGCCACTACGACCTTCCTCGCCCAAGTCTCGCAATGCCAGCCGAACAGGAAGGCCTCTAGATCGTCAAACTTCCGATATGGAGCAGCCTGATATTTCAGACATGATCGACAAACTGGAGTCTTTTGTAAGAAGGCCTGGGTCAGCGATGGATTCGCGTCCCAGTGACTTTGAACAACCACGCCAAGGAAGACCTCGTTCCCCAAAGTCTCGTAATGCGAGCCGCACAGGGCGACCAATCGAGACGCCGCAACTTGATGGCAGGGCCGGAAACGTGTCACATACTGGGTTTCCATTAACGGCCAGCCCCGGCGTCTTCTCGGAGGCCACAGCCCGGCCCCATGCCGACATCTTCATGAAGGATGAGGCGCCAGCAAGTCGCGGCACTTTTGACCAAAGTACGATCAGACCCTGCCCCCGGGCTGGTGCCCAGTCGAGGAACAGGTCATCTAGTGGAGCAGGCTTCAGCCATTCACACTCCCGATCTGGTAGTACTTCGCGTGCGAGCCAAGATGCCGAACCTCACATCGAGCCTGACGATACCAGGACTCTGGTGTGGTCTGAGCTCTCCAAGATTGTTGGCGAGGTGTTCGATCGTCCTCAGTCGCGCAACGCAAGTCGTGGAAGACAGCCCGAACCGAGTCGTGCCACAACCGCCGACGGACCGATGCTGAACAGGACCACACGGTCCGAGAGTCGAGGGCCACAAGCTGTCCCGCGCATGGATCAGCGTTTCGCCTCCCAGGACCGACGTGGAGTCGCCGGACCTGCAGACATCAGGACCATCCCGGCGCCAAATGTTGTTAATGGCTCCTCCGTACCTTACAACTCTGACGACGAGATCGTGGCGGAAATCATCTTCCATTCACAAGGTTGTCCTACTCGCAGCCAGATCAACGGTCAGGGGCAGTCCACGCCTAGTCAAGCAGGCAACCCGACAAGCCCGCCATGTATTCCAAGACGTCCATCCAGCCAAGAAAAGGGCAACAACTCGCGCCTGAGCCAGCGCAAGAACAGCACTCCACAATCCAACAACCTACAGAGGCAGGGCTCCTGGCCGCCTAGGCCTCCTCACGACAGACGAGCTCCATCCCATAACTCCAACGACGAGATCGGCATCTACAAGGCCCCAGCTCTAGCCCCGCTGAACACAAAGGGCCGCACAGAGTCGAGCGACTCGTGCCCGACCATGGATGGCGCGTCCATCCACACGATCACGACGCCCAAGGACTCGCCCGCGACGCCGCCAACCAGGTTCTTCGAGCCGACGACGCCCAAGGCCATGAAGCTCCATCCGGACTTCGGCACCATCCTCACGTCCACCTCTGACCCTGCATCTGGCGGCGGCGGTGGCTTCCCCATGGACGCCCTTAGCAATGAGCTGCTGGGCATTGGCTTAGCCAGACCGAGAAGTGCGGTCTGGTAGGGCGGGGATGTGAGATTTCCTCAGAGTATTATTGACGCGTGGTCACTGTACAATTTTCTTTTGTCAAGCGAGGAGTTATGGAATACCCTCGAATATGCGTGGGAGAAAACACGGCACGTCTCTGGTAGAAACTCAGAATGAGTCTAAACGATGGCGCGTTATGACGCTTGGCTGCAACGGTATGGGATTCCAGCGTTTTGTTTCGCGGCATGTTCATGCAGCGTCCTCTTTATACCTTTTCAGACCATGTAAATTAGTTCTGCCTTTGATTTGAATTTTGAACATTGTTTGTTTTGCAGATGCTTCATCCTGGAATATTTGAGGGTCATGACGAGAGACAGTGTGTTATTACGTGCTGAATTCTTGCATTCGAGGACTTGAGAACGAAACACGGTAATAGGTTGAGTAACGAAGCTCTTAATAGAGGCAACGAGATACCGGCAGCTCCTGTGCGTATGGAACAAATTTGAATGACTATGAATGAGAACTTTGGAGTCATAATACCGAGAATTGCATTTTAAAAGAAAGTGAAAATGAATGATGGGCCACGCAAAATTCCAAAATTGCTCTCTTGATGAACCCCGACCTCGCGACGTTGATAAAGTTTCCCAGGTACCTGGGACGGCTGACAGGGACCTCCCTGCAGGCCTCGACCAAGCAGGAATGGCGGATTTCGGTGCCTCCCGACCCCTGTACCGCGAAATAGTGAATTCTATCAGTTCCTGACAAGCGCCCGGGCTGCAGCCGGGTTGAGGTGGTACTAGGGGTAGCCTATTAGGGCAATGATTACTGTCCCTCGCGCCGGCCCGACGAAACGGAATCTCGCCAATCGAGTGGAGTTCTCTGAAACGGATCTTCGAGCCAACCACCCAACTTGTGATGTGATGCCCTGGCGTCGGTCACCCCTCGACTTCCTCAAAACCACATCAATTGCAAGATGGCCAAAACCACGCCAGTTGAAAGATGGCCAACCCAGCACAGGGCTGAATAAGTCATTTACGTCGACAAGCAAGCAAATGCGTTATATTATCGGATCGGAAACCTTTACAAGGTCCAAGTGACTTTGGCAATGATCAAGCTGCTCCGGCAAGCACAAATGAGCCTCCTCCTGCTTCGTCGACGTCCCAAGACCCACCCCCAGGCCGTAGCAACGATAACGTCAACGATGCTGCTCATTGACCTCGACCTGTGCCGATGCTCCGCCGATCTCACCAACTATAGCCTCAACCTATCCAAACATTGTCTGCCCCATGGTCTGTCCCATTGTCAGCTGTATATCTCTACACCAAAGCTTTGCAGTGCCGAGCCGCTGACCTTAACGACCAGGCTGGTAGTCAGTAGCGGAATGCCCGCTGATATGGCCGACATCAGGCGCGGAATCGAATTGCGACCCCATGCCACGGAGTGAATCATCACGCTCGTGCTGGGTCATGCTTGCTCCAGTTCCAGTCTCGCTAACAAGTGCTTTTCCGACGGTCTGGGTTCCCACGGTAGCGGCGACGCTCGAGCTGGCCATACCAACGTAATTATCATCGACTACAGTACCAGACCCTGGAGCATGAGCTTGAGTGTACTCGTACCGGCCCTTCTCTCCAGAGTCACTGCGGGTATAGCACTCGGTTAAGACGTGGAGGCTGAAGAGCAAAGGGAGGATTCAGGAAAAGGTCCGGGCCAGACAAGCCGACACTCACGCCCGGACAAGTTGCTGTGAAAATACAACGGAATAGGTAATAAGGTTCGGCATGTCCATGTGTCACTGCGTGTGGGAATCTGGGTGTCGTCCCAAAATCTCAAGGCAGTGGACGATGGGATAGTCCAGCCGGGAAGGGTGTGCTGTCGTTCGGCAGGAGAACAATAGAAGATTCGAATGCAGAAGGAGAGCCGAAATATAGGTAAACAACACGAAAGACGAACTTACCCCGTCGGATGTGAACCCTGGTTGGCGTTCTTCGACATGTCTGTATGCGTCGTTGTAGAAGGCAACCTTTGGCCACGCAGGAGCAGGTTTGCAAGTGAGATGTGGTTTACAAGACGTGGACAGCCTTTGGAACTAGACTCTGGGTGCGGGATTCTTTGGGAAGAACAGAATGGAATTCGATTTCTTACGGAAGAGATGAGCGAAGCGAAGGCAACAACACTCGCTCTTTATAATCGCCGCTCCTGACGCATGTTGTCAGTGTCGGTCAGGAAGGGCTCACTCTGTCGACATCTGTGTTGGGACAGCTTTGATGATGTGTGCCGCATCGTGTCGCCGCCCATCTTCTCGAAGGGGTATGTACTTCCCTCGCCAGTTTCAATGGAACGGTACCTCAAAGTCATGCAGGATGAATGCGATTGTGAATCTTGGCATGCGCGGAGCTAGATGGCTGCATATTTCATACTGTGTACACCAAGACAGAGGGCCTGCTGGGAAGCGTCATTGGCCTATCGCGCCAGTGCAACCCCTTATGGGTGGGTCAGGGGTCGCGGGCTGTCACCTACTAACGTTGCCTTAGATGGACATAGCCCCGGGTCAAACAGGCCTGCTAGGGCGCATTATTAGCCTGTCACGCCTGTGCAGAGGCCTTATGGGAGGGTCAGGGGTCGCGGGCTTTTAAGCTACTGACATTGCCTGAGATGGACATAGCCCCGGGTTAAACAGGTCCGCTGGGGAGTGTCATTGGCCTGTATAGAGGCCTTATGAGGGTGGTGCAGGGGTTGCAATGGGCCTGCGACATGTGGAGCTGCGAACTTTCGATTTCGGGTCCGGCCCTTGACATGGTCGTCAGCTGAGCCCGCACCGTTGGAGGGCAGGGGTTACGGGCTGGATTTGCTGTGCGACGTGTGGGTATGTGGGTTTTAGACCGCCGCCACAGGCCTGGTACGAGCATGTCAAGGGACGTGGCTGTTTTCCTCCCATTCTCGCCGAAAGAGCCCGAAGCAAAATGGCATGCAACGGAGAATGCGATTCCAAGTCGAATATATCTATCCGGATGTTTCTGCTCACGGTTATTGCAACCCACGGCTTATAGCCTCATCATCCCAGCGCTGTGTCCCAAAAGTATCAACTTTTGCAGTGTCCATTCCAAAATCGACGCCGCGAGGATGATTAAAATTGATACAACAAAGGTCAATGAGAATTGACACAGAGAACCTTACAGTTCGAGTCAATTCTTACACGACACAGAAAGGGTCTTATATCCCTTTCCCTTCCCCTTTGTGAAGGGAAAAAGCACCGATATTTTAAGGTGCTCCGTTTCGAGACAGAGCGAGTTATCGCCTCCGTAGCTCGAAAGGCCTCCTTTTGATGTGTACATCTGGTTATTTCTAATGTTGCTGACCTGCAGCTGCACACCCTCAATGTATATTGCCTTGCATGGTCATGCATAGTCATACAAGTGCCCAGGCTCAAACACCGCGCCGAACCTCAAAGCTATCTATGAAGCACCGTGGATCACGAGTAGCGAGAGGTTCAGCGTAGATGAAAACGTTGTTCTAGCTGAATTTCTTTCCGCTGAAGGCGAGCCCTTGACGCTCAATTTATAGGGGCTCTGCCGGGTGCGCACCTACCTGCCGTGGTGAACTCGCACGCACGCCCAATTTGCGACATTATCACTGACAGACATCCATCTGACTAAGTATCTCACTTTAATTTTATCTGTCGAACATGGGGAAACCACGCGCCGAACGAGTGAGTTCGGCAACCCTTTCAAGGTAAATACAGTCAATTCGATTGATTACGTTGAGTCTTTGTGTGGTTTTGTGTTGAGCGGAGAAAACTAAGCTAAGGCGAGCGAAGCGCAGAAGTACAGATCTGCTCAAGTAGCAGATCACACTTTTCTGGATATCAAGAGCCCTTTGGTATGAGTGACGGCACAGATATTCAATTGCATTGTATTACAGAAGGCGTTCTGGAATTCTGACCTTTTCAATAAGGAAACAGCCTCGATTATAGTATCGCGGTCAATGCGCTGTCTCAATATTATAATGTATGGTTCATCGTTCATGCAACCTTGAATATTTTCAGACACTTCCTTTCCCTCTGAGAGCCATCAAGATTTCTGCTAGTCGGATTCCAGACCGCCCCGATTGAGAGGATAAATGGCCGTTTGGTGGCCGGGCACAATTCACTTTTCCTGGCCGCGGCCTTAGCAACAATACAGCTACCTTCACCTGATGTGCATTTGTAGATCAACATTTTTAAAGCACAATGACAAGTGTATTGAGCCCAGTAATTTTGACTGAATTGCTATGGTCGGGGAGTCTATTCACAGGCATTACGGCCGCTCTGTGATTTAGGCCCGTCCATGAGGACATTCTGTGCCCGTATCTAGTAGCATGTTCAACCCGAGTGGCACTCTCTACTAACATCTAAGCTTTCTTCAAGTGGTTGGTGGTCGGGTCTTTTCTCCACGTGTCTCTCCCCTTTTCGAGTCGTTCTCAATGGTACTGTCATCAACTTACCACTTTTCGAGGTGCAGAAATGGAATCCTGGAAACAAGTCGGTAGAGCCGATCTCGATCAGTGCTGTAATGCTTCTCTGAGACTACTGATCTTCATTCGACCGCCTGTCTTTTCAGCATCTGGACTCCTGGTGATGAATTGCAAGAGCGACTTTTACATACAGAGTTATAGAAACCTACCTACCATGAGGAGCTGAGCGATTACAGGAGTCTGAATCAAACAAGACTTCTGCGATTTCAAATTCTTCAAGACAAAGAGCTGAGGACAATATAAATCGTTGAACATAATCTTGGCCGGGGTCGGCTGGTATGGTGATCTAGTCTGCTCAATATGGGGCCATCGCCCCGGTCGTGGTATTTAAGCCTTGTCAGTGACATTCTTCTCTCGATTCAAGGCCACAGTATTCATTTACGGACAATTCGTCAAGTTGAAATCATGCTGCAGAAGACCAAAATCAGAGTGATTTGAAGTGTTGATACAAAGCTCGCATGTATTCTGAAGTGCCTGCATAGGATGTCGTCCTCTTGACCATGACCCACCAGAGCTTGGCGCTAAGACAGTCTCACACGCGGTTGGAACACCTGCAGGCCTAGATCGCTCAAGTTCGGGCGCCATTGACCCCGGACTGTCCCGAGCGATGCTTCATAAGATCTCACAGTTGCGACCTCACCCTCGACTACCACCCAACTGCTCATCTAAGGAAAATCCAACCCAACATTAGCCGCAGGGCTGCACTATGGCTGAGCAATGCGTTACAACTTACTTTCACGTTGAGACTCGTGACCGGCAGCGGAAACTCCCTTGTCAAGACCGATCTTGGGCACGCAATCGAACTGCGACCCCACGCCACGGAGGAGATCATCACGCTCGTCCTGGGTCACGCCTCTTTCGGGCTGGCTTGATCCCTTGCCAGCCCTATTAACCCATACCATTTCGACTGCTCGGGTCCCCATAGTAGCGGCGATGCTTGAGTTTGCAGAGCAAATTTGAGTTTCATCGACCAAGGTGCCAAACCCTGGAGGATGGGCTCGGGTGGTGGGCTCAAACCCACTCTTCTCTCCATAACTGATACTGCTGACATGACAGTGAGTTAGGGTATGGAGTAGGCTGATAAGATTTTATTCTCAAGCGGAGAGAATGAAACAGGTAGTCGAGGTCGACATCACTATGTGTTTCCCGCATGCTTGAGACTTGGTAGGGTCTTGAAATCTCAAGGCAGTGTGGTAAGTGGTTCGGGGATTCTGGCCGGGTAGCGTGCACTGCTGGCCGCGAAGGAAAACAAGAGTAGTTTGACTGCAAAAGGAGCCGAAATATTGCATGATAAGGCAATAGTGTAACTGAGAAGAACAATTTACTTACATCTTTGAAACCATGCCCTCGTTGCCATTCTTCGACATATTGGCTCTGGGAATTATCTCAGTAGACAGTATCAAGTTAGACGTTTCCAAGTAAGCAGTCGATTGAAACGTGAGTGACATGAAATTTGAGACCTTCGACAAAGGACTACAGGTGTGGAATTTCTATAGAAGACGAAGAGCACGAGACCATTATTTCGCATAGAACACGCAGTGGAGGTGAGAGCAGCAGCCCTTTTACCCCTCCCGCCAGCCTTCTTTTACCAGTGTCGGTCAGAAAGGTCTGACGGATCAGCTCGAACGCTTCCAAGTAAATTGCGATGACGCGGAATTGTCGAATAATCCTAGTTTCGTTGAACAATTCTCGGAAATCCATGTTCTCTTTAACCAGTATTATTGAACGCACACGCCTTCTGCGATGGTACTTGTCTCCTCGATATAAATTTGGCTGGTGCAGTACCTGCTAGGAATGTCGTATGAACGACGTGCATCTCCGTGCCGCACTACTGCAAGCCGGCCACAGCAAGGTGGGAATAGATGGATTCTGATCGAGTTCGGCTCAAACCATTGGCCAGACTTCATGCAACAACCATGCAAGTTTGTCTGGCCATTCCATATTCTTAGCGCCAAGTCTTTGCCGAGAGCCTACCAGCGGCATCAGCGAGCAAAGTTAAGGTTCGTCAAATCAGTATGTGAGGCCTGGCCAGGATTGAAAATGCACAATTGTACTGGCCTCTGAAGAGGTGAGTCCACCAGCTTGATATGTGTTCCATGCGCTGCGCTTGTTCTTGGTTCGAGGAGTTGCTTAGCTCTGTACCCAAAAATGGAAGCCGCCCTCGTCCCCTTGGGTCCTTGCTTTCTGTTGCTACATACTATCTTTAATATATTTCGCAGGCAGAGTTGAAAAATTCTCAGCACTATTTTAAAATAACCCTTACGTTCCTATATCCTAGAGGAGAAAGGCTGTTTCGATAACGTGCCATTGCCTAATAACTTCCGAAAAGCATATGTTTATGTAAAGCACACTTTGCGGATTACGAATCCCCTAACCCGAAAACCCACCCCCTAAGCATGGTAGGTTACGTACAAGGTGAATCATATCCGGGTACGAAAATGCTATGTTCAAAAGTTATACCCTCGTCGCCATGCATTACAATATCATAACAGAATGAGTGAGACCCACCAATATTGCTAAGAACTTGCCAGCCCACCGATTCAGATAATAAGTCTGACAAGATGAAACAGCCCTAAATATTTGAGGATCTTAATTTTCTTCTATAAATGTACTTAATCTATCCATTGAGTATCAGGCAGGCCTGCTGTTATATTCATTCCATACCGCGTACAGATTCAACCATGCTTCTTTATCACAGCTATTGTCTACTTACCTGCCTACGAGAGAGCACAGCTGACACAAAAACATAGATTGATGTAATTATGCAGAATAAGCGAGGAAAGTCTTGAGGCTAAGTGCCAACATTTGAATTGAATGTGTAAGAGGACGTAAATATGGTTTCTCATGACTGGGACAGGTGGCTATGCTCAGCCCAGCCAGCACAACAAAGAGGGAGACTTCGTTGATCTCGGTTGTCTTCCCTGGCCTTATAACTCAAATTATACTCCAGAGGATATGAATGCATCCATTTTGCTTGGCAAACACCAAGTGGCTGATGATATTGGCCTTCCTGGCTTTTGCATCCACGCGCGGTAGACATCGTCTCTGCAAGATGTACCTGATTCTCACAGTAGTTGCCTGTATTAAATTATAGTGCTTGGGACATCTCAAGCCAATATCTGTAGGGTCTGAACTGCATTTTCCCCCAAATTTGCGTGGCTCATCGAGATTTATCATTTATGCTCGCGCGCTGTGTTTTTTTTTCTTTTCTTTTTTCTGCGTCGGTAAGCTCAAGAATAGAGGTTATTTTCTCTATAATTTCGAAGAATGATGGTGAAAGCTATTGTTTTTAATCAATATCTTCCCAGATTAAGTTCTTGCTATCCTTGGAAAACGGGAAGAACTTGGGCGCAGTACGTGTTAGTCCTCTCGGTGTGAGTCGAGTTTCCGGTACCTATGCACTGACCTCACTGATTCCCATGTAGGCATAAGACAAGGTGAATTTCATTCCTTGACCTGCATCCTGAAAAAGCTTCAGATAATACAAACAAACTGTCACAAATGACCTACAAGCTGTGCCGCGCTGACCTGACTTGTCTCACGCGGCAGTGACCGTAACAGGTGCCAACTATCCGATTAGCGAGACCACTTGTTCTCTGCCACCCCTCATCCACCTGCAACTCCAAGCATTGAGGTCGCCCTTCGCGAGTTGCCTGCATCCATACGTGCCTGTCTTTGTACCGCTTAGCATTTCTTGCAGCTCCTCCCATTGAGAATACGGGCCTTGTCCTCAGCGATTCCCGCTACACTCTCGGAAGATGAGGTTGATCGAGGCAAATTTTCCTCGCCGCTCCGTTTTGTTTCAGTTTCCGGTGCGGCTTTTCAATACAGACTGACCACAAATCCATTTGCCCGAGTTCCTTTTCCGGAAAATTAATGCTGAATTGAGGGTCGCGCCCAAGATTTCCTTCAGATAATGCGTCCCAATCCGCTTGATCATGGACCAAGGGCACTCCCGCTCGTATGTGGGCACCTCAGCCATCGACGAAGACTAAAAGATTGGTTCTCAATGTAGTTCATAGACCAGGAGAGGGATTGCGCAGGTATTTTCTTGTGTCATCACGCGACCTATGTCTCAAATATTCCTTCATCCTTTCGCTCAGTTTTCGGTTTCGATCAATATTAGATATTTAGTGCCGAGGCCCACTCCCAAGGGAGCGAATTCCAAGTACAATTCTCAAAACTGTCCTTTTATTTCTCGAAAGGATAAAGTATAAATTCGGCATTAAAATATCTCTCATAATAGAAGCTGAGCGCTTCGACGAAGCATTTCCTTCGCAAGAGAAGCATGCTTATTTGCCCAGGTCTCGACCTGAATTTAGACCCAGTAATCACTTCGGCGCTTTTAAAGCGCACTGGTATCATTCAAATACCCTTCAGCTGAAAAGTTCATTTCCTTGCCTTCAGATTGACGCGTCAAAGCCTGATACCGCATGCTTGCTGTTTGTGCCTCCCCTCTTTAAATGGCGCCAGGCACTACTTGTGGCCTGCATGCAAGCAAACTCGTTTCAGGTCCGACAAGAGCAATAAAGGAGAAGTCTTTCCGTGATCGTGCATGGAGTAATCTGGTGACTGACTAAGCCAACACAGCTGAACAAGGAAACATGAAAGACTCGACCCTGCGCTCAGCAAGGTGCCCTTCGGCCCATGTGTTCAAACCAACAGCAGGAGCCCTGCGAACAAACAATTCCGGGTGTGACCCAGAGGGTTGGGTCTTCTAGTGTGTTCCGTCGCGGGAATCGCTAAGCGAGGGTTGTACCTTTCAAAGTGGTTGGCAGGAGACTGGACTGTTGTTACGAAGCCATCAGGCGAATGGTCAGCTGATCTGAAATGTAGTGGTGTTTATCTCTTCGAATGATTATTCAGGGTATTGTCTCTCGCTTGTGTATTTTATGACGAAAACCAACTCACCTTGTGGAAGGCTGCATAGTAGTGCAAGTTCGTAGACATCTACGTGGACCTTCACTTCAACAAACCTGCGTGTAACGGTCAGTGTATGTTGTTCGTGAGCTATAGCGATAATCCGCTGCTCTGCCATTAACTCCTATCTTGTGAAGCATGAATACGACGCCTTTGGGAGGATGAGACAATGTTTGCCTTGGTCATGTGGAAGTACAGGTATCCAGGCTGGGCCAGCTTATCACGTACGTAGTTTTTCTCAAGGCTGACCTCGTCTCCGAGCCCACGGGCTCCATTTTCTGCGTGGTGAAAACTTTAGCCACCGGGCTGCCTCTCCATGCCCTGCTAGCAGACACCTGACGCGGAACGCTACGTACTGTGAGCTCGACAGATCTGTAGAATGAGCCAATGCTTCTTTATCTTGTCATCCATCTTACAAAATAAGGTACGACATTGAGGCAGTCCGCCGAGTACTCGAATGTGCATATATAGTTGCGTCCGCGAGCTGATGAACGTTGAAGCAGCGATTAAGATTGTCCTCATCATCCTTCAGAATCCACCGGACAATCAACAGCGCCCAAATCTTGCACGAGATGATGAACCCAATTCACATTTTCTTCACATGGGCCATATTCAGCCTTAATACCTCGGCGAAATGGTTAGGCGAATGGGTGAGTCTGTACTGAACCCCATCTGCAAAGACTTCCTGAAGCTGAGAGTAAATGAACCAGGGCTTGGAGAACTTCGCCATCACCTGCCCAAACGACGACTCCTGCACGTACAACTTCAGGATCATCCGGGGTGTCCAAACCCCGGACCAGTTCTACCGACACACGGACTGCATCTTCACCATCAACAGGGACCTTGACATTCCTGCGTCCCAGGTCAACTTGACCAACCAGTTGTGTGAAGGGACGGACGAGTTCAAGGTCAACAGCCAATGGAACTACAATGGATCCATCAGCCTTTGCATCATCCACGAGATATCGGACAGCTGGGCGTTCTTCGGCTACGAGACCTCGCAGATCCTCAACGCCAACGCGTCGTGGATGGTTACCAGCCCCTGCTACCAGATCGGCACCTTCAATGACAGCGACCGACCCCCTGGGTACCCGGGAGACGGGAAGGCTGAGCTGTGGTCTGACAACGAGGGGCTGGGTGAGGCGGAGAAATCCTGCGAGCTGAGTGTCGGTAGAAACTGTGTCTGAGCGATGCATGCCCACATTCTGGTTGTTGGTTTTCTCAGAAGAGGTCCTGCACTCTGTCCTTCTGACATGGCGGTGCGAAGCGTGGAGATTTGGTGACACTCATTTCTCTTATGGCAAGCTGCAAGCTTGAACGAAAGCATGATGTCTGTGACAAAGAAGTACTTCGAGCCGTGATGTTGACGGCACTCTTGCAGTGTCTATACCATAGTTAGCCCAATTTGAATGTGTCTGCACGATGTCGAGTAGACCTTGGGAGTTGTCCTCGGCCGTTCCAGAGATTCATCAGCGAAGGCTGCAAAGGAATCTTGGATTTGCAGCATGCCAAGGACATAGAGCCTGACTGTGTTACCGAGAGTCATCGAAGAGGCGGAAATTCACGAGCGTGAGAAGACGGTGATATTGTTATTCCGCTTGTTTTAGCACAGTGAGGAGTGCAAACAAATTCACAGACGGGTACTGTGAAGGCCAGGTGGTAATTACCTCCCATCTGGGAGACGCCCAACATACTGCGCGGGAAGGTGTGGTGGCTGATTCGAGAAGGAAAAAGAAAAGAATTATTGAAGCTCTCGCGAATGGTGTCGTCGCCGCAAGCTTCATTTGAGCTTGGCGCGTAGAGGTCGGCGCCTGTTGGCTGGCGGAGGACAGGACGGGCAGCCACTGTGCGCCTCGAGCCTGCATGAGCGAATCTCACAGCCCACGTAATAAATCTGGGCCCTGCCGGCACTTGGGCGGCCGCGGGTCTTCGAGGCTCGCTCCCTCCCGCCCCTACACCGCACCCAATCATTCCGACATTCCGTGGGTAGGGATATGGGGACCCTGAGGACACTTGACGTGTCATGAAAACCTCAACAGCACTTCGGAGGGCGACTCTGCCATTTTGGGCTCGCACCTTTGGACGGCCTAACTCTCCTACGCTTGCAGCCCAACCCAGCCGTGCCAGCCTCAAGGTCCCCGTGGCAACCGCACGACTCCATAGCTTGTCCGGCTATAAGCTTCGCGCTAGTTCCCGCCCCGAGAACCTGTCTGTGGTCGCTGTGTCTGCGTCGCCCTCGCCCACTGCCGAAGGTCAGTTAGTTAGTTTGCAGCCTCAAGGCCCACTTCGGGTATACCTTCGTTCCGCTAGGGCGCTCTGAGACCTCACCCCCCATCTGGAGACCGCCTCTCTGTCAACGAAAGGCAAGGCTCATTTGTGGCTGGATCATCTTACTGATAAGTCCACAGGACGCCAGCGAAAGTCCAAGATGAGGATCGGATGCTTGCAGTTCGCGCCTCAGGTCGGCGACGTCGATGGCAACCTGAGTCGCGCCGATGCCGCGCTATCCAGAGCCGACCCCGACGACCTGGACAGCCTGGACCTGCTGGTAGTCCCGGAAATGGCATTCAGCGGTAGGCTTCTGAGCCCCTTCTCCTTAAGTCTCGCGCGTATTCTGTCTCACGCAGCACATGTCTGACGGAGCCACGTAGGATACAATTTCACCTCACTCAGCCAAATCATTCCGTTTCTGGAGTACGCAGGGACCGGCATCAGCTCGCTGTGGGCTCGCTCAAGGGCCCTCAAACACAACTGCCATGTCGTTGTCGGCTTTCCGGAGCAGGTCGACGTCTCCGATAAGTGGCCCACGTCGCCCGAGTACTACAACTCCGCCATCGTGGTCTCCAACGAAGGGGAGACGATAGCCACTTACAGGAAGCACTTCCTGTACATGATCGACGAGACCTGGGCCTTGGAAGGCTCTGGCTTTGGCAAGGAGTATATTCCCGGTTTGGGGCAGACCGCCATGGGTATCTGTGAGTGACCGTCGTCCTCTACCGGATGCAATGGGACTGACTGGTTCTTCGTAGGCATGGACATCAACCCCTACAAGTTTGAAGCACCATGGCATGCCTTCGAATTTGCCTTCCATGTCTTGGAAGTTCGAGCAAATCTGGTTATCTTATCCATGGCATGGCTTACTAGAGAAGACGTGGCGACCTTCACAAGCAAACCCGACGAACCAGATATGTAAGCCACTCACCGATGCCCTGTGATAAGTTTCTCCTGTCAAATTTCCAGGAGAGCAGCCCAGGAATATCGCAGATTCTGACTTTGCATGACAGGGAGACTCTGACTTACTGGGTGCAACGAATGGAACCAATCATCCGCGCCGAGAACGATGAAGAAATCGTCTTCGTCTTTTGCAACAGATGCGGTATCGAGGGCGATACCGTCTACGCCGGAACCAGCACCGTCATCTCGATCAAGCAGGGAGAGTGCCGTGTTCATGGCTTGCTTCCGAGGGGCCGTGAAAGTCTCCTTGTCGTCGATACAGATGATCCACCCCTGGGGAAGCTCATAAGTCGGGTAGATACGGAATTGGATTCGGATGCTTCACCTGAAGACGTCTCTGTGCCTACGGCATCTGAAGACGGCGCTCTTCCGAATGGCTCCCCTCACACCGGATAAGGTGATGCGAAATACCGCCTCGAGACCTCTCAACGAGAGATTCTAGGTGACCTTTGTTCATACGTTAAGGGTTGGAAACCAATGCCAACCCGGGAGGAATCAGTAGCAACGACCTGTGCTGTCCACAAAATGGTTTGGAGATGTCACGCAACAGTCAGTGTCCCATGGTATAGATCTCACGTTGGCAGGTAAGTCTTTTAACTTGGCCGGCAATCCGACTCGAAGCTGCTGATGCTACCAATGCATTCTAGTTTGTTCTGGAGTATGACCTCGCTAACGCACCTGGAGAGTAGTCCGACATGCTCGCCCAACGAGTTGAGTCAGTGCCCCAGAGGCAGCCAACAGGCAAGGAACATTATGGCAACGAGCCCCATCATCTTATGATTCTCCAGTGTGTACTGTTGGCCGCCAAGCGATCAGCGACTGGTACAATTGCCATTCTACTACCAGAGAAATACCACTGGCTGGAAATGGCGATTCGCCTTGGCTTGATGAGTGGCCAACAGCAGCTTTGCCGTACGATGCAACGCGTACTTTGGAAGTCTCTTTGAAAGACTCGAGCCTCCAAATCGAGCCAGCAACTACGATCACGAACCCGACGGCTGGAGAGCTAGCCAGGAGAATGAGGAAGGTGGACCAACATCATGAGATTCTGGGCCGACAAGCGGCGGCTAGCACTACGTTCGCGCTTAACTTGTGGATGCACTGCTGCATAGGATGCGAGTGCTTGGGAGTGGGCTTGTGGAGACTTGCACCGTATGGCCGTTTCTTTACACTGGACAGAAGGCGGACCATTAGTATTCAACTTGCTACAGCTCATGCTCGGCCGAGAACCTTTCTGCAGCACGGCCGAAGGACACTGCCTAGTGTTGGGTCGAGGAAAATGTCAAAGAAACTTCGCACCGGGGAGCTCATCAGTGCTTCCCGAGATGACATTCTCATGGTCGGCTTCGTGGTCTTCAGGTTGCCGCCTCCAGAGAGTCTGTGACGGTAGCTCGATGTGACCTGCTCTGCCGAGCTAGCAAGCCAATATCAACAAGACAAGTCAACTCATCGTGAGCGCCTCAAACATGCAATCAGACAGTGATCGCTCCTCGTGCCCCTGCATGGCAAGCAGCCCGTACTCAGACGGCACTGTCACTCGGTCGGCGTGCCCCCGTTTGGTCCCGGTGATGCAGCAAGTGAGCCAACCTGAGTCTTTGTTTCACTAGTGCTGTGATCACTTTCTCACCCAAGGAATCTGGAAGGCACAGCGCTTCGAAGGTCTCCCACAGTGGAGTGACACGCAATAGGAGGCACGTTGATATGGGGAGTATCGTGCCAGCACCGGCTGGTGCCGAGTCTGATTCTCAGGGGGTCGGGGTCGGGGTAGTCGTTGTGACATGGTATGCAAAGGATGGAAGGAAGATGCAGGAGACATTAATGATTATGAACAAATCTTGGGGGCCATTGTAAGTGGCTGGGATGGCAGGGACCAACATGCAGGTCGATCCAATAAGATGCTACAGATCGGCGTATTTTCTGGACTTTTGTAAAAACTTGACCTCTTTGGGTAGGACAGGGTTATGGCTGGCGCTTGCGGCAGACGGCAGGAGGATCTAGGATCTCCAATCACGGGCCCAAGAGTTCAGGCTCCCGCCTCGAGCCCGCCTCGAGCCCGCCTCGAGCCCGCAGTGCCCGCCAACAGGGGGCCCAACAGGATGTGAAGATGGGCAGGGGACCTTGCATCAGCGTTGCATTGCGGCAGGTGATATTGAAGCTTCTTGTTCCTCTGACTGGCCAATTCGCTGTGCCACACCCAAGCTTTCAGCAAAATGGCCCTGTTCGGGGGCCTCGAGTGGCCGAGTCTTGGTGGCCCCGACAGAGAGAGGAGAAGGTGTGGGAGGCCACGCCCGAGGTCACGAACATCCAAGCTTCCTCGTCATTCGCAGAGCTGAAAGAGCTCCGGGAGGCCGATGATACCTCAGCCCAGAGGTGGAACGTCGTCTTTGCTCACCTCCCTCTGCCACCGAGTGTGGAGCCCCTGCTGACTGGCAGCAACTGCGGGCGGGAATCTGTGCTCTTGGGTCGGCCCTTGGATCTATTCTCCCCACCGCGTGCCCGAGTTTGCCTCGATGTCACACCAGATCACACCCTACGATCGACCTTTCTACCCCATCTCGCCGTAGAGTTGGAACATTCAACGTGCGACGCTGGCGCTAAAGTCTCTTACGATCACAAACATTCAGGAGAACCAACACCGTTTTCCCGGGTCCAAAGGGGGTCGACTCAAGCTTTAATATCGCTCGACGCGCATGGCGTCGGTGATCTGGACCGTGACCGACCCTTCGAGCTGAACAAGCGTCATGTCCACGGTCGCACCGCAGAAAAACCACATGTGGCGATAACGGCTCCCAAGCCTCTGTGTCTCGTAACCTTTACTTATTCAACCCCCGCATTTTCCCTTGATTGCTTCTATCATCGAACACAGCCTCGCTACTACAGCGAGACGACAAACAACACAACATGAGGCCAACACCGGCAAGGTTGGCCGTGAGTGTGGCGCTTGCCAACTCTGCGACCGCTATCCTTGTCACGCCAGAGTCGCCATGTGACGACCAGTGTGGCAATGTCCTCTCAGCGACGACCGGCTCGGACATCGAGTGCGACCAGAACCTTTACGGCAGCGCAGCGGGCACCGTGTTCAGGAACTGCTTGAACTGCGAGCTGGGCAGCAGCTACTACAGCTCCGAGCTGAATCAGACGGATCTACAATGGATGCTCTACAACGCTAGGTTTGCAGTCTCATACTGCGTGTTCGGTGATCCCGGCAACAAAAACGCTGGCAGCAGCCCCTGTCTTACTTCGTGAGTTGTGTCCTGCCTCTGCCCGAGATAACCTAGCTAACAGCCATGTACAGACGCGCGTGTGGTAACCTCAAAGGCGCCTTGGAGTATAGCAACTTCAGCACCGACGTTGGGCAATACGACTACTGCGCCAAATGGGACTTCAGCGAGCTGACGAACGGATGCGAGAACTGCTTACGGGCGAGCGATGACGACTACCTCGCCAACATGGTGGCCGTGCTCCAGATCGGCTGCAGCCAAAAGCCCGTCGCCGGCGCGACCCTGTCCGTCGAGGGCGGGATATTCTCGACCACCTTGCTCAATGAGACCACGCCGACGCCGGAAGCCAGCTGGACGGGCGACGGCGACTCGGGCCCGCTCTCGCTCGGCGCCAAGGTCGGCATCGCCATCGGCGGGCTCTGCCTCGCCCTCGTCATCGCCGGCTTCTGCATCGTGTGCAACGGCCGCCGCCGCCGCCGCGCCTACCTGCGCAAGCTCCAGATGCGCCAGAAGGACGCCGGGTGGCCGCACCCGGCCGCAATGAGCGGAGGAGGCGGAGGCGGCGGCGGAGGTGAAAGCACAGGGGTGGTCCACCGGGGACCCGACATGAACGAGACGCCGCTCAGCCAGAAGCCGCTGCGCGGGTGGGACGACTCGCCGCTGTCGGCGACGGCGTCGGACCCCAGCTACGGGCGGTACTTCTCACCGTACTCGTCGCAGTACAACAGCCCCGTCAGCGCGGCCGGCACGCCCGCCATCATGGCGCAGCACTGGCCGCAGAACTTCCACGACGGCATGTCGCCGCAGAGCTACCACGACAACCTCTCCCCGCAGAGCTACCACGGCAATCTCTCCCCGCACGACTTCCATGACCACCGGGGACACGCCTTCGCGGCTCACAGCCAGGGCCAGGGATACCCCTCATCGTCGCAGGAGAAGGCCATGCAGGACCAGCACGAGGCCGCCACGGCCGCCGGGCCCTCGGAACGCCAGCCCATCCACATAGGAGTCGCGCTGGGCGGCGACGAGCCGAGCCTGCGGACGGAGCCGTCCAACCCGAGCTTCCGTGGCCAAGGGAAAGGCGGCGCGGCCGAGGAGTACGAGCTGCACGAGGTCAGCAGCGCGGGGGGGAGCAGTGCCGGCGGTGCTGGCAACACGGCGACGATCGGCCACAGCGATAGCTTCAAGAACCGGCTGGAGAGGGGCAACGTGGCGCCGGTGCTGCAGCATCCCGGGTATGGGCGGTATAGCCCTGATAAGTTCCCGCCGCCGCCGCCGCCCACGCATGGGACGCAGGATGGTTGACTGGATGATGACGCGAAAGAAAGGGATTCAAAGTGAGCCCCTCATGGACTGGGAGTGGTTTTGGTGTCTGATTTGTGATGATTTTTTGTCAGCCTGGAGTTTGGAGTTGCGGCAGTATGCTTGAGCGATTACTCAATGTAGTGACAATACAATAATCGAGGCGCTTTGATATTTTCATAGTGATGTTGGCGTATTCTCTGGTTGGGCTGCATGTATGTGGTTGAGAGCGGCATGCGAACAAGATGAGGCGGCTTGAGCCCAACCTCTCCTTCAGACAAGCGCACCTTGCAATGAAGTTTTTCAATTTCCCATGCACTGAAAAGCGCATCATCGATCTTGTCGACAACCTTGATTTTATTCATATTGAGAAACATAGCGGATGCTTGAGTGAGCCAGAATGGTGCTGAGTGGGTCGTATTGTCAGGAACGTGGTGCCGGGGACGTGGTACCGGGGACGCTTGGACGGGCTGGCCATCGGTTTCGTCACCGCATCGATCAACAGCTGCTAGTCAGTCCTTGTCACCCATACAAAACATCCCTGCGGAGGCAAATTAGTTCAATGACTCTACGCCATCGTTACTGCACAACCCTGAGATGTCTACAATCATATTGTATAGTATCACAAGACAAGTTATCCCAATACAGACTGTCCCATAGCAAACTCTCTCAGGCAGAGGATCCTATAGCAAGCTATTCTATAGCAGACTGTCTCATGGCAGGTTATCCCATCACAGATTACCCTATGGCAGTTTGACCGTCTATCCTGTAGTAGTTCATCCCATGACTGGTTATCCCACAACTGATTATTCCACGACTGGCTATCCCATAGCAGGTTATCCTATAATGTCATCTCGTAGTAGGTTGTTGTACAGTTGGTTATCCAACAACTGGTTATTCTACAACAGGTTGTCCCATGGTAGGTTATCCTACAGCAAATTATACTACAGCTAGGTTTTCCTACAGCTGGTTATCTTATAATAGGTTATCCTATAACTAGTTGTACTATCAGTAATCATCCTATGATTAATAATTTTATAAAAGGTTACTCCAGAATTGGTAAAGTGATTGTTCTATTGTTAGTTATTCTACGACTAGTTATCCCACAGCTGGTTATCCCACAGCTGGTTATCCCACAACTACTTATCCCATGGCTGGTTATCCTCAAGTAGATTATCCCATAGCAGGTTATCCCATAGCAGGTTATCCCATGCAGGTCATTCCATTGCAGGTCATCCTCTGGTAGGTTGTCAGTTTATCCTATAACAGCTTATCCTATAGCTAGTTATCCCATATTAGGTTGTCATGTTATCCCATAGCGAGTTATCCTATTGCAGCCTATCCCGTAGCAGATTATTTCCCCGGAAGGCTATCCCGTGGCAGGTTATCCGATGGCAGGTTGTCAGGCCATCCTATGACACACTATCCCATAACAAATTGTCCAACGGCAACATAGACTACTGAAGATGCCAAGTGAGCAAATGCCACATCGTAAACACGTCACAATGGATGGATGTGTGTACTGTGTTGATGTAGTCCAGCACTTGAGCCCTGGTGGTGCGTGAGTCGGCGCTGGCAATAGGAGGCGTGTAACAGCTTGTACCGTAGCAAAACATGTCTATCCCACAGTAAGTCATGCCGTAGTGGACTAACTCATGGTAGGCTATCGAGCAGTAAATCATAACAAAGCGGCTTATCATGTGGTGGACTGTGACGTATATACTCATGACGGTATATCCCAGCAGGCTGCTTATACACCAGGCCCGCCAGGCATAGCATTCAGCTAACCCTTACGGATTATTAAAACCAGGACATGCCAGAACATACTCCCATTCTTCTTACAGGTCTGACAGAGGTGCCCATATGCCCGGTCATCCACCAGGCCGGATCACCTAGTGAACATCATCAAATCTTCAAAACTATCAGGAAAAGGCCAAAAAGAACGGGCTCAACCGGGATTTGAACCCGGGGCCTCTTGCAGTGCGTGGTACCCAAAGCAAGAATCATACGACTAGACCATTGAGCCAATGTTGCTTGATTAGCGGCGTTTGAGACGGCTTATGTGGCGGTGTGAGACCCGGCGGAGTCGGATCCATGAGGTTGGCCCGAATCAGGCTAGGCCCGAAATTGAGTTTGCGGGTGGTCCGTGCTTCTCCACACTCAAAAAAATTTGGGCAACTCTGAAGAGAGCTTCCCTCACTCGATTAAAACTTGGTTGCGCCTACTTCTCGACACGACATCTTTACCCGAGAAGGACACCCACTCCTTCCCTCCATAACCACCAATCCTTTGGCTTGATTCGTTCCTGTTTCTTGGATAATCAGGATGGCGGACAAGGTCGCGGCTAAGGCCCAAGAGGAAGAACATATCATCAAGCCAGAGGCAACAACACCAGCCGCCAACACCAGCGACTGGCCGTTGCTGCTGAAGAACTATGACAAGCGTGAGCACACAACCTGCCAGTCTGCTTTGAACTTTGACGTGCAATATTTGCTGACACACGCGTAGTGCTCGTGAGGACGGGGCACTTCACACCCATTCCCCATGGCTGCAAGCCTCACATGCGAGACATCAAGAGCTACAGTATGTTGACTTCCCCAGGCACAACTTTTACAACCTCAATTGCACTCATAACTCATACTAACTTTCGACAGTCTCTTCCGGTGTCATCAACGTAAGAAGAACCTTCCGCCAATTCCCGTTTTTCGTACTGACATCAGTTTCCCCGTCCAGCTCGACAAGCCCTCCAACCCCTCCTCCCACGAAGTCGTCGCTTGGGTGAAGCGCATGCTTCGCGTCGAGAAGACCGGTCACAGTGGTACCCTCGACCCTAAAGTCACAGGATGTCTCATCGTCTGTGTTGACCGCGCCACCCGCCTTGTCAAGTCCCAACAGGGAGCTGGAAAGGAGTATGTTGCCGTCGTACGATTCCACGACAAGGTCCCCGGCGGCCAGGCCGAGTTCGCGCGCGCCCTTGAGCTGCTCACCGGCTCCCTCTTCCAACGTCCTCCCCTGATCTCCGCCGTCAAGCGACAGCTCCGTATCCGAACAATCTACCAGTCGAAGCTCATCGAGTTCGACAACGACCGCCACCTCGGTGTCTTCTGGGTCAGCTGCGAGGCTGGCACCTACATCCGAACTCTCTGTGTGCACTTGGGCCTGCTGCTCGGTGTCGGTGCGCACATGCAGGAGCTGCGACGTGTGCGATCTGGTGCTATGGACGAAAACAAGGACCTGGTCACGCTGCACGATGTGCTCGATGCCCAGTGGCAATACGGTACGTTACACGGTGGATGTGTACATGTGGGCCCGACTGTGAGACTGACTTGTGACAGACAACAACCGTGACGAGACATACCTGCGAAAGGTCATCCAGCCTCTGGAGACCCTGCTTGTCGGCTACAAGCGACTTGTCGTTAAGGACAGCGCGGTGAATGCCATCACCTACGGTGCCAAGCTCATGTTGCCTGGCCTGCTGCGATACGAGTCCGAGATTGAACAGCATGAAGAGTGTGTCTTGATCACGACGAAGGGCGAGGCCATTGCCATTGGTATCGCCATGATGTCCGCCGTCGAGATGACAACCTGCGACCATGGCGTTGTCGCCAAGGTCAAGCGATGTATCATGGAGAGAGACTTGTACCCCCGCAGGTGGGGTCTCGGCCCTACGGCCGCAGAGAAGAAGAAGCTCAAGGCCGACGGCAAGCTTGACAAGTACGGGCGACCCAACGAGGCCACCCCTGCTAAGTGGACGGACTCGTACACCGACTACAGCGCAGCTGGTGCCGAGGCGGCCGCGGCAAAGCCCACTGAGGCTTCTGCTTCCGAGCTGCCCCAGACTGTCGCACCAGCTGCCGTCGTCGCCGCTACTCCCAAGAAGGAGGATGGCGCTTCTGCGGACAAGAAGAGGAAGAAGCACGATGGCGAGACCCCAGACGAGAAGGCGGAGCGCAAGCGCAGGAAGGCCGAGAAGAAGGCCAAGAAGGCCGCCAAGGGGGGATCCAAGGATGATGAGGATGACAGTGACTAAACCATATGACTGCCCGTCTGTCCCGACCAGGAAAATTCTCGATACCATTATATCATCATGGCTGGAGTCAGTCCACCCGTCCGCTTGGCGTTTTTGCTGTTGTAGTATCACCGGAGGGGTTCATCCAAAAAAGGCGTTCAGGAGGAGGGTCTAATAGTTTTTGCATGGACAGTGCTTCCTTTCGTTGGGTAGGCAGACAGGATAGGGGCGAGCCAGCCCGCGTTTGAGGGCAAATGCAAGAAAAAAAGAATTCAAATGCTCTCCAGAAGCTTCATCCTTGCAGCTTGATGTGCAGTTGATCAAGTCTCTGCGGTTCGACGATCCATGACTCGATAGGCGAGGCGGAGAGGCAGAATAAGGTTCACGTTGCCGATGGCCATTACTCTGTCTGCGGAGGAGATCTCCAGAGCTTGGGGCACGAGGCCATAGCTCCTAGAGCCTCTGATTTAAACTCGGCGAGGGTTTGGACCACAAGCGTATGCTTATCAATCGCTCACAAACTTGGTTAGACTCATCTGCTGCGAGCTGTCTTTTGGAAATAAGTTCTGAGGGAGACATCAGTTGATCTGGGGAAGCTTCTTCTCTCGCTGGACAGCTTGGAGCAATCCTGCCGCCGGCGCGTATGGACGTTGGAGCAAACCTGTTCTAGTCAGTCACTAACACGACAGGACGACTGCTGTTGGTATATCACATGCCTGTTTAATCCATTCTTTCAAAACCCATTTGGTTTCTTTACCCACCGTGCTCTGACCTTTGGCTCCTGATTGCGCGAGCCACGTTTTACCCGATCCTCTCTTGGCGGTCTCTGAATACTAGCGCCCGTCCTCCGGGACGGAAACGAAAGAGTCGCGGAATCACAACAACCCAGGCCAATCGCACGACAAAGAGACCGCAACCACCCCATAGATAAGGAGAACGACGTTGTCTTAAGGGAAACAGAAAGAAACAAGGGAGCGCAAAACAGAACACAAGATGTCCCGGAAATCGAAACGTCGTTCGTGCCTCTCTGCCACCCCTGAAACTCGAGACTTACGAGTCCACCGTTTCGCGGGGCGCCGTCTCTCCCTCCCTCCGAACCCGTGGGCGAGAACACACCACCTCGTGCGCTCATCCAGTGCCTGCCCGCCTGCCCGCCTGCCCACCGACCTGTGAAGAGCGAGCAACGGTTCGTGTTTCGTCCGAGTGGTTCCTGGTGGTTGTTTGCGTGGAAGTCTGGGCGCGAGATGTTCCTTGGGGCTGAATGGATGTCTCTCTCTCGCTCGTCCGGGACATCCCCACGGGTTGCATCCTAGACCAGGATCTGCGACACTGCCTCGATGCATGCATGTCTTTAATCTTACACCGCGGCAGTCAAGTTCCTGGGCTCACGCAGTCAAGACAAATGGGGACGTGTCTGGCCCTTCCCCCCGTGTGAACTTGTGGCCATGTGCAGAGCGTCATTTGGGGGGCACGCATTGGTTGCCATGCCGCCTGGTTCGAGTAGTTCGCTGCTTAAGGTTCGACTACTCGATCATGACCGTCATCCCAGAAACTCGGCCGATACAACCGTATTCGGCCACCTCGGGCTCGTTGACGATAGCGAGTTACGACGGTTCCTCAAGTTTACATGTGAGCTAGGGCGGGATGCACGGAAGAAGGCAGTCGGGCTCGGAAACCGGAAGACACGATAGAAACGACCGCGTGTTCTACGAGATGGCAATATGATCGACCGGAGCACGGTAGCAGTTGCATCAGACGGTTTTGTTTCGACTGGTTTGGGTGACAGGAGCGACAACTAGCCTGTCACGTTATTTGACGGGAGCTCACCGATAAGGGGGTTGAGGTGCGGTGCGGTGGTGGTAGGTGATGTGCTAAGCTGAAAAAGAAAGTTTCCCAGAGGATCGGGTGTAGCTCGTAGAGTTTGGAAATTCTCCGACTCGGATCTGGATTCCAATCGGCTCCATTTGCCCATGCACGTCCAGCCTTAAGGCTGGTAGCGTCCTAAAACGCACATGCGAGCCACACGTCACCATGTGTCTCGGCACCCATGGCGGAAAGCGGGTCGCAAATGAGCGAATTCAGGGAGGGAGGCAGCCAGAGGAAGAGGAAACAGAAATAGAAAAAGATAAAGAAAAGATAAGGAAAGAAAAAAGGAAGTAAACTGAAGACCCGCCTACCACCTTGCATTCATTCTTCTAGAAAAGGAGGAAGGCCGGCTAGGACCACAGTATATAGTAGGGAGATCATAGTCGTCGACCAATGGGGTGCCAGAAGCGGGCAAAGTGGGAAAAGTACAGAGTAAAGGCTTAAAGACCTCATTTCAGCAGAGCCTCAGGAGGTCGAAACATGGGGGAGCTGGACCCGCCAGCATCAACAGGGAGGGCGGGCCGGGCGGCGAGGTGCCCACCCGCGTACGCAGGCGGCTAGTGGGAAGAGCAGTTTGTAAGTCGTATGCGTCCGCTTGCCCTCAGGTCGGTCCGGTTTCTTGGGGCCAGGGCCTGGGTTCATGGTTGCAAGGGCACGGGGCTGTGGTTCAAGGATTTGGCATATGCTCAGGTCCTGTTAGCAACCCGGCACTAGGAGCTCGCATCCTTGGGACCTTTATGCCCCCACCTGTGTCGCAAGTACGGGCGCCTCAGACAAGGCAAGTCGGGATGAACAGCCAAACATGCCAACGGGGGAACAGCTCAAGACCGCATGCCGGTTTGGTGCCCATCTGCATGACTTTTCTGTAATGACAGCGGGCGAGGGCTTCGAGATGGGGCAGGGGTTTGGTCGAGGAAGGACTGTGGTCGCTCGCCGAAGGCCATTCTTGTCCGTGCCCCCGTCTCCCAGGACTGCGGCCGTGGTATAAAACGAAGGGGAGCGACTACCCACCACTCGCCGGTGCCGTACATGTATCGCATGCCTTGCTCCGACGGTTGCTCTTGCAGATGAGACAGACAGTTACGTCCTCACCTCTGGAAAGTCAACATCCACACACCCAGGTCAGGACCGAGCGTCGTCTCAAGGGGCTATTATCGTTGAAGACTCACTCTCATATCCATTTGTCCAAATCACTCACTCACCTTGATAAATACTCGCCCTCGGCGACCTCTTACTTTCCCTTAAATAAAGATTCGTTCGCTTATGAAAGCTCCTAATCGATCTAATTCATCAGTTAAAATTCTGGCACAATCATGAATACTCTATTATCCAAAGCATCTCTGGGCGCCGCACTGCTCGGCTTATCCACACTATGGGCTGGACAAGCAACAGCCGCACCCAGGGCCGGAATGTTCTTCGTCTGGGACACCTTAATGCCCAAAGATCCGTCGATAAACCGGGACTTCCCAGATCCATCAATTATCCAGGGTGGTGATGGCTGGTACGCCTTTGCGACAAGGCCGGTTGACGGCAGCCAAAGAAACGTCCAGTGGGCAAAAGCGACAGACCCCGAGGGACCATGGACATATATCGACTCAGACCTCCTGCCTAATGCGGGAGCATGGCAAGACAATGAGAACGTCTGGGCCCCGGATGTGCGCCAGGTCGCCGACGGGACGTACGTAATGTACTATGCGGCGCAGCTGAAGAACAGTACCCACCATTGCATCGGCGCGGCGACAGCAGACAACGTCACGGGGCCGTGGACGGCCAAGGACGAGCCGTGGGCGTGCGACCTGGCGGAGGGCGGCTCGATCGACCCGTCCGGGTTCTACGACGAGGACACGGGGCGGCGGTTCGTGGTGTACAAGATCGACGGCAACTCAATCGGCCACGGGGGCGACTGCAACAACGGCGTGGAGCCGATTGTGCCGACGCCTATCATGCTGCAGGAGGTCGACCAGGACGGGATCACTCGCATCGGTAACGCGACGCAGATTCTGGACCGGACAGACGCCGACGGCCCGCTGGTGGAGGCGCCGAACCTGATCAAGACCGACGAGGGCACGTATGCCCTCTTCTACAGCAGCTGGTGCTATACCGACACGCGGTACGACGTCAAATACGTGCTCTCCAAGTCGGTGGAGGGCCCGTACAAGAGGACGCGGTCGCCATCGCTGGTCGAGACCAATAATTTCGGCTTGACGTCGCCCGGGGGCGCGACGAGCATCATGGGCGGCGGTTTAATGGTGTTCCACGCCAACTGCGACGCCGAGACCGGGGCTCGATGCATGTACACTGCCAATTTTACCGTAACTGGCACCAACGTGCTCGTGAACTGATCTGTCTGTGTGCTTGTCAGAGCTGGACGGCCCTGACGTGGGTGATTTGGTACTTGCATTGGCACTGGCGTTGGCGTTGTTGGCATTTGCAAAAGATTTCCACTATTGTATCAAGGGAGAGGGAAGCATCATGCTGGCCAAAGGAACCCCGGCAAAGCTGTAATGACTGTAATGAGTGGCGTTCAGGTTCAAGGACAGGGACATGGCCCTTGTCGTGGTCATGGTCATGGGCATAATGAATAATGGCCGGCGTATTCGGGAATCAGCAGACTTGGCCGAGCCGAGAGCTTATCTCAGAGGATTGGAACGAAACACTTGGGATACCACAGGGCGATACCTAGATAGACAGAGACAGCGATCATTAGAAATATTGATACGATGGTTTGGTCTCGAGCATGAGAAACGATTCGGATGTCATCTTTCCCAGCTGGCGTGGTGCAGAGCATGAGGCTGATCGACCAGTGTGTTTCTGGTGTGCCGACGCATCCTCTGCCGACGGCACCGTCGCAAGGAAGCGAAGATCTTGACGATCTTCTATTCAGATGAGAGACGAGGTGTCCCCTAGAGAAGGGTTGGCATCTTGAAGACGAGGTTAAGTTCGGCACGGGTTCCTCTGCGTTGGCAGTGTGCAGGCGTTGGAAATGTGGGTAAGGTGACGTTTGGGGAGGTTTGAGGATTTGCAGCAGCCAGAAACGGCAGCAAAAAGATCCGATCCAGTCTGATTGCCTATGCCTGGTTGTCCCATTCGGTGCCTGCCTTGCCCTGCTGCAGATCTTGTCCCACCCAGCGTTACAGTCGCGGGCACGTCCCGCAGACCATGGCAGCTCTGCCGCTGTAGCCCAGGGCTGGCAGGCCTGGACCAGATGGTCCAAGTGCCTAGGCGTGCTAGGCTGACTGATGGACCGACCGATTGACAGCTGCCGTGCTCCCAGGGGGCCCCCATGTAATCTCTAAGCGCTGGGGTTGACCAGTAACGGGCCAACAGTAGTGTGCAGTCGGAATGCTGGATGGCAAGCACGGCACCCTCATCTTCAACCGTCACATTCTGGCATCCACTCATCGAAGAGCTGATCGCTGCAAAAGCTGCAACATTTTCAGCAATACTTCTGTTTGAAGACTAAATTCTCAGTCTCGTGTATGAGGAGCATCAATACCTAGGTAATATGACAACGCTACCGTACACATCATCGTCCAAATCGCCCAGATGGCAGCATCTCAAGTCGTTTCAATCTCTTATGTCTTGAGATGTCACCAGGGCAGAGCAGAAGCTCGCAAGCCTCCTTTAACCAGACCGCAAGTCCAAAAACAGGGCTCACAAGAAGGAACTTACGATCTCTCAAAGCCCAATACGGCTATGGTCGTGCAACTATTGCGCCTCCTCGACCGATTCTGTGGGGGTAGCCCCAAATGATGGATTCATGGAGGGCTACATTGCTTAACCGCCGGCGGATGGCCAGGCCAATCAAGGCACACATCGCCCAGTGCACCTCAACACACAATGGTGGACCTGCATGCCCTTCCCACGCCTTGGCCCGATCCAAGGCCAGAGACTCGTCCGATGTAGGATGAGTCCCGAGTTATTGGTCTTGTGGGCCAGGGTCCACTGGCAGCCACCATCGCTAGACTGCATCGCGAGAAACTCTCCCACTGGCCCAATTCGGGGGATCACCATCGTTGGGCTCGCTCAGCGGCTGGATACCGTGTGATAGTGACTTCTGCCGACATGAGATGCGCTTTCTCTCCGATCGCGAGCGGTGTCCCGGGGGTTGTACGACATTGATATCATGCTGTTCTCCCCGGCTGGATTTGTTTCTCGTAGCTGGACTTGTCTTCTCGTTCTGTATACCATCAAGTAATTCCGGACTTTCTGTTGTCTTTCGTTTGTCCTTCCTTCATCGACTTACTTACCTAATTCATTTTAATCTGCAATATCGTGGAGTTCCTCCTGGTTGAGGACACTGTTTCGATTTTCCATTCTCGCCCAACGATCCATCATATTTGCGACGGAGACTTGAATTTGAAGCCATTGAAAACATTCCCGCTTTGATTACATATCGATCGATATATTCGTCATGGCAGTCCACTCTTTATATTTGCTACTCGCTCTCATCCTTTCTCATAATGTTGTCGCCCTTCAAGTGACACCCAACTCTCCTTGCTCCTCCGTATGCCTAGACTCGTCAACACTGGACGAGTCAGACCCGAACTCATCTAATACCGAGTCGACGGATATCGTGTGCGAGGATACCGATTTAACCAATACGAGCACGGGTTCGAAATGGAAGCAGTGCATGACCTGCCTGCAAACCAGTACCTTCGAGCAAGGCTCCGAGAGTGACCAGTACTGGTTCATCTGTAAGTTCCAATCTCATTGGGAAAAGCAATGTCGCTCATCTCTAATACAATGTTCTTAGATAATCTCCGCTATAGCTTCGATCATTGCGTGTATGGGTTCCCTAATGGCACTGGCTCGGGATCAAACCCATGCGAGACCTCCACGGCCTGTGGTGCTCTTAAGACTGCTCTTGAGGACGGCGACTTGAGCACTACCGGGTCTCAGTTTGGTTATTGCGATGACGGTGCCGTGACTGGAGAATTCTACAGCGCATGCTTGACCTGTGTGGGCTCTAGTGGCGATACCCGCTACATCGCAAATGGTAAGTGGAACAAACCTTTTCTTGTAGTAGCGCGAATGCTCATCCGCCATAGCTCTCGTCGCTTTAGAAGCTGGGTGTCTTCAGAGGCCAAATGTCACGAGTACCCTGGGCCTTAACGACACCGTGTTCTCCGCCGCCATCATCGGCATCGTCGATCCATCGAAAAAGGATGAGTCCACCGACTCCGTACAACTCAGCACAGCAGCCATCGCAGGCATAGCAATTGGAGCGGCTGCCCTCCTTCTTGTAATTGCTGCCATCATATTCATCCGCATGCGAAGGCGCAAGAATCGCGCGAACCTCGGCATCGAGCCCCGCTGGGGCAGAAGCAAAAAGTCTCACAAGAGGAACTCGTCTTTCTCCTTTCACTGTCGCAAGATCCTGGCGTCACCCATGTCTCCGAAATTCTTCAGAGATGACCTGACTCCGGTAGAAGAAGAGCAACAACAATATGGCTCACTCAACGGGATGGCCCAGTCGCAGGTATCGGGAGTTATTCCCGCCAGCACTGATCCGACGGGAAGACGTTTCATCGAGTCAAAACAAAAACCATCCAGGCCAGCATATGAACAAGTTTGGAGTCCCCAAGACCCGCCACCATCATTCAATACCTTCGGCGCGCCGGTGATGACGCCAGAGCAGCCTGATCGCCAGCCCGCGCCTTCATTCTCAGAAAAGAAGGGCTTCCCAGAGAAGGGGTCCCTTAGCATCGATACCACCCTCGTTGCGCCACCACCAGCGCGTCAGTCACCGAAACAAGACGTCTTCGCCGCGCTGATCGCCTCCTCGCAACCCATTCCCCCCGGTCTGCCATTCAGGTCCTCTCACGCGCCCTCCAGCCACGGCAGCATCGTGTCGGCCACGTCGCCTCAGTCGGCCGGCGGCGGGAATAAGCTCAGGGCCAAGCCCAGCACCACCACCATGAGCAGCCAGGGCAGCGGCTACCCCAGCATGATGACGCCCTGCTCGGCGTCGCCGCTGCTCAAGCAGAAGCACGGCTGGCCCAGTCCCCGCGAGGCCGCGGAGGTGCCCTGGTTCCCGCCGCCGCCGCCCGGCCCGCCGCCAAAGTCGTCGGCTTTGAAGAGCGGGCGGAAGGGTGCCGGGGGTTCAGGGAGGAAGAGGAACAGGGATAGCGGGAGCCCTGTCGAGACTCACCAGATCCAGATTTCGTTCCCTGCACCGCCACAGAGATAAATTGAGAATTTGCGGTGTCCATGTATGAAGTGTGTGTCTGTAATGCAATGTGTCTATGTACTAATATGGACGAAGCGTTGCTGCATTTTGGGATGCTGGGAGATACCACTTTAACGCGGCGTTGTTGGATATATATGCATTACCTATATAGTTGCCTTGCAAATGCTTTTTAATACTAAATTGTATAGTCGTTCAATAGCCACTTGTCTTTCCAAAGCCGAATCAAGAGCCATGACTTGATGATCCAGGACCCTGCCTTCAGATATGCTTCAAGAGATTTTGTCTTTCTCGATTTGACCAGGCTTGACCAGCCTGACAAGCCTCGCTCAACGTACTTTTGATATGCAGGAGGAGACAATGAGTCAATTAATTTCAGATGCGATGTGTATGTGATTGAAAACCATCTGTGAAAAATGTATACAGAACGTGATGGTCGAACTTCTTGTCTTTGAATGTAGTATGGAATCTCTGACTGGTAATCATTCATCCCATCCCGTTCTAATGCGGCCGATCTCTTAGCGGGGACCCCTGCAGATCGGCCCTGTACCGCGCCGCCTATCGACAGCCGCGGATTGACAAGGATACGTCAGAGCAGCAAGCGATTTTTCGTCCGGCAAGAACCACTTCACAGGCACTATCTTTTCCTCCGTGACGGATTCTCTTTTCCCATGCCAAGAACCTTGAATTCTTTGGAGCACATATATCAGCCATGAGCGCCTCGACCTCAGCCCCGCGGTGGACAGCCCTCTCGCGCGACACCAACGAGACGAGCATCCAATTGGCCTTGAACCTGGACGGCGGCGCATTCCCACCAGAGACAGACTCGAGGCTCACCAAGGATGGCGCAGAAGGGCACGCTTCGCAGTCAAGCAAGTCGCAAACGATAAGCGTCAACACGGGAATTGGCTTCTTGGACCACATGCTCCACGCTCTGGCAAAACACGCCGGCTGGAGCTTAGCCATCGTCTGCAAGGGCGACCTGCACAGTGAGTCACTGCTCCGACCAGCCCGGGCCAACGCAAGACCAATTGGCCCCAATGTGGTACCCTTTAGAGGCTGACATCTATTTTCCACAGTCGACGACCACCACACGGCCGAAGATGTCTGCATAGCGCTCGGCAGCGCCTTCGCCACGGCGCTGACCTCGATGGCGGGGCTCGCCCGGTTCGGCTACGCATACGCACCCCTGGACGAGGCGCTCAGCCGCGCGGTGGTGGACCTGTCGAACCGGCCGTACAGCGTCGTGGATCTGGGCCTGAAGCGAGAGAAGATCGGCGACCTGAGCTGCGAGATGATCCCGCACTGCCTGCAGAGCTTCGCGCAGGGCGCGCGCGTCACGCTGCACGTCGACTGCCTGCGCGGCGAGAACGACCACCACAGGGCCGAGTCGGCCTTCAAGGCGCTGGCTGTGGCGATAAGAATGGCGACGAGCAAGATCCCCGGCAGGGAGGGCGAGGTGCCGAGCACCAAGGGGACGTTGAGCGCGCTGGGTTAGGGGAGCGGTGCGAGGAACGAGGAAACTGAGGGTAGTCGGGCTACGGAATCTACCACCATACGAACCAGGCTGTCGGAGACCCCTTCGCGATCCAGGATTCCAAGGGCAGAATCCGCGGGATTTTCTTCCATCCAAGCCAGCAAGCAGCCGCAGAGGCTAGCTACGCAGACTCCTGGATGCGAGCGGCACAGATTCTTGAACGTGAAGACGTGTCTGAGGTGCTCCACTGATGCGTGAGGATGATGCACAAGAATACCAAGATGGACATGCTTGTAACAAAATCAGCTTAGACCGCATGAAATTCAAAAGCCAGCATGCAATCCACCATGTGATACGTTATCAGTGACAACTCCCCGAGGCCCGCTCCGTAATGTGCTCCGTCTCGGCCCTCCAGGTACGGCTCAAACGGCCCCACTTCTCCGAGCTCTCGTATGACGCACCTATGCATTTTGCCGGGCCCAAGCTCCTCCAACTCACTCCTCGCACTCGCAGCCCAGCATTCCGGATAACTCACGCGACCAATTCAAGAGATCGATCTCTCTTTCCCTTCTTCATATCAATCCTTTCAATTGAGTGAAAACAACCTGCACTCTTATTTCTTCGGCCTGGCGCCAGGCCATGAGCCCAAGATGCGGTCCCATGGAGCAATGAAAGATGAGGAGGCGATCGATGCAGCGAAGGAGGCGACGCGGGGAGCTGTCTACGGCGCCATCAAATGGGGTGCTCTCACGGGAATTCTCGGCGGGGTCGGATATCTCACCTCGCCGCTGTACCGAGGCTTGACGATTCAATTCAAAGTGTGAGTGGCTGACTGGCCGGCTGCAGGCCATGATTGCTGTGGCAGCACGTTGATTGACCTCGCATTCACAGCTATATTCAAATGTCAGGCATGGCATTTGGGTCCATGGTAGAGGCAGACCACAGGATACGGCAGTATGAGGCCCATGTGAGGATGCAGCGGCGGATAGCAAGGGACAGAGCCATGTGGCAGAGGTTTGAGGACGAATACGGAAAGGACGACGACGAGTGAAGATAGGCCGTGGATGTTGGAAGAAAAAAGGTTCACGATGTCTCATTATAGACGCCTTGTACAAAGCCTTCATGTACATTATCAGATGTGCCCAAGCTCATCAACCGTTTTTGGATTTTGATATCACCCACCTTCCCGAACCCAGAGCCAAAGCCAACGCCGTGCCATGCCAAACAATACCGCCCGTCGAACACGTTAGGCAGTTCATCATTTCGATTTCTTAGGAACCTCAAACTTTTTCGGGTCCATGTTTAGCTTGCAGAGCCTGACGACGCAGCCGCTCAGCTGCAGGAGCGTTTGCACGCCTTCAAGAATCTTCATATGGGTTGTGCCAATCTCCTTGATGAACTCCAGCTTCGCGTGCTCGCTGAGCGTCGGTATCGTCTTGGTGACCTTGAACATCGTGCTGATAATGTCGTGGCTCGAGTACCCCAGATCCCACAGCTCCCTCAGTGTGTCCAGTGCAGAGTCAACGTTGCCCTCGAAGCAAGCCTTCAGCATCGCCTGCACCTTAATAGGATGTGGCGAGTCCACCACCTTGAAGACATTGTCTCCTGAGACCATGCCAAAACCGGCGTGCGTTGACTGCAGGTTGTTGATGGCCTGCCGCATGTCACCCTCGGCGCTGAACACCAGCGCCGCCAAGCCATCGTCGTTGTACTCCACCTTCTCGGCCTCGATGATCTGCATCAAACGCTTGACCACCTGGCCGTCCGTCAGCCGAGCGTACCGCAGGATCGCGCACCGCGACTGTAGCGGCTCGATGATCTTGTTGGACTGGTTGCACGCGAAGGCAAAGCGCGTCGTGTTCGAGTAGATCTCCATCGTCCGCCTGAGGGCCTGCTGCGCGCCCGACGTCATGCTGTCGGCCTCGTCGAGAATGACGATCTTGTGGCGCCCGGCGGGCAGCGTGACCTTCTTCTGCGCGAAGCCCTTGATGCGGTTCCGCACCACGTCGATTCCTCGCTCGTCCGATGCGTTGAGCTCCAGGACGGCCTCCTTGTAGGCGTCGCCGAGCAGCTGGCGCGCCAGGCAGAGCACGCTGGTCGTCTTTCCGATGCCTGGCATGCCGCTGATGATGACGTGCGGCATGTTGCCATCTTTTGCTATGATCTTGAGGCGCTCGATTGTCTCGACATTGCCGACGATGTCGTCGAGGAAGATGGGGCGGTATTTCTCAACCCTGTGGTACCAAGTCAGCCAGGTCCTTGCGAGTGTAGTGCGCGGGGCAGGGTGTGCTCACCATGGCAATTCGTAGTTGGGATTGCCGTTTGTATTGGCGATCAAAGCCTTCTTTGCTGCTGAAGACGAGGACTCGCCGACCTCTTCAACTCTTGCGGCAGGCATTTTGTCGTTGAATCGATGGGCGCGCAAAGAGAGGAGTGGTGGTCTTGATGTCGAGGTGTTTGGTGGGCTGGATTTCAATTAAGGCGCGTCCACGCCTGGAGACGCGACGGCGTGACGCTGCGGCAGGTACCGACAGGGGTCCTTGCCTGTGCTGCATCCCTGCATATCGATAACCAAGGATTCTGTCCGCCATTTCAACCCTCATATGTATTTTACGCTCTTTCGTCTTCGACTAAATCACTTCAAAGCTTTCAGGCTTTCATCGTTTTCGTCGGACAATTCGTTGGAGGTCTTTGAGACACTCTAACCTGGTCACCTTGATAGGGTTTCTCCACCTGATTACAACATATTCGACACCAAAATGGGCAAAGAGCGACCCCTTCTGGGCGTGACCAAGAAGAAAGTCTCCGAAGACAAGGTCTCTAAGCATGAGGCCAGGCACAAGAAATCCAAATGGCACAATGTGAAGCCTCAGGAAAGCGACGACGAGAGTTCAAAGGTCGGCCTCAAAAGCCCTAAACTGGCTCAGAAATTGCGCTGGCTCTACGTCCGCACTCTTCAGTGAAGGGGTGATACAGATTTCAGGCCCAGTGGATGGAATCGCTGTATGCTCTAAGAACGTAAACTGACTTGTCCTGGCATCAAAGGGTTCGATTGAGGAGGAAGGTGGCGTGTCTCTGTTCCAGTATGACGGTGAGAACGCTGCCAACAATGAGACCCTTGCCAAGCAAGAGAAGAAGCAGCGCAAAAGGCTCCGCGAAGAGGCACTCAAGCGGCTGATGGAAAACGAGCTGGGTCCCTCGCCAACTGCGTTTCGTCTTCATACAGAGACTGGCGCGGAGCGAAGGAGCGAGAACAAGCATGCCAAGCGGTCGCAACAATCACAGCGAACTAGAAAACCTGAGGAGGCAGGAGTCCATCTGACAGAAGTCCACGAGTCGTCAGATTGTGAAGAAATATTTATGATTGATGTCAACCCCTCGCCGGCCAACCGGGACAAACTGCGTGCAGAGTCTGAGGACGAGGACATGGAAGACGGAGGTGCCCTCTTGCCAGGATACACCGCACCACCCTCGGGAAGTAATAGAGCGGTGAGGCGCCGCGCAAACTTGATCGACAAGGAGAAAGCAAGAATCCGAAAGGAACTCGGTGTGAAGGAGGGCTCTGATGAGAAGGCGAAAGAGGTGCAGCAGCTTCTCAATAACTTTATCGAGACGTTTGATGCGAAGACCGGCCAGCGGGAGGCGAAGAAGAAAGAGCGTAAGATGAAGGAATCCGCGCGTCTTCGCACTTTGAGAGGCAAAGCTTCCGAGCGGCCGTTCTTGAAGGTGCGCCACAAAAAGACTCGAGGTTCACGCAACGGCTAGGAATGTCATCAAAGTTTGGATCCGGTCTGGATCATTTGATCGATTAGTGGCTACGAGCAAGCATAGTAGTGAGCGCCCCTGACAGGGTCCTCACCATGTCAGAGTCAGCGGAATTGAACAGGGCTTCGGCGACGTGAATGAAGTTTGCGGGGTCATTAGTCCTCCGGCTGTCTTGGGAGGTGAGAAGCTGTATGGGGTTCAGAGGCGAAGAGCCACATATTACTCATGGCTTGATATCGAAGTCCTTGAGAAGTCAGACATGCTGTGGGCTGCGGTTTTATTGGAAGCGGTGGTAATATCGAACCCCGTGGAAGCGGCGCTGTCATTCCACATGTTTTGGAACATTGAGACGAGCTTAACGCTCGTGCCATGCGCACCCAAGGTCACCTGGAAAGTCTACCAGTAGGCGTAGATACCAGATTTTCAAAATCGCTACGCCGGAGGCGTGTAGTTAGTCATTATTTACATTTTGATACAATTTTCCTCAATGGTCAGTGATGCAATGCAATCTTGCCGGGTCATGCCTCAACCCAGCTTTCCCATCCGAGCCGCATAGGCAATGCCCTATTTCTTGCTGTCGTCCTTCTCAGACTTGCCTTCTTTGCCCTCCTCCCCCTCTGCCTTCTTGGAACCGCTAAAGACCTCCCTGACCTGGTCCATAATGAGCGTCCCGTAGCCCTCTCCGTTCTCCAGCGTCTCTTTCTCCTTCCTGGCCCTCTCTTTCCTCCAATCGTCCTTCTCATCTCCCATCCATAACCTCGACACGATTCCCCGGGATGCAATCTCTTTCTTCTCCCTCGCCTCCTGTAGCGCCTTGCGCTCCGCCTCGGGCAGCAGGGCCTCTCTCCTCTCTCTCTCCAGGCGCATGAGCTCTTGGTTCCGCTTCGCCTTCTCAGGCAACCCATTTGTGAATACGGTCTGCCAGCGCCGGTCGAAGCGCTGCGTCATCGACTCGCCCGTCCAATCGTACGCCAGCACGTTGGTTGCCCAGAAAGTGCCGCCAGATAGGAGCAATGCCTGCAGGCCGACCCGCCTTGGGGGCATCAGAAGGGCTATTGGGCCGAGAATCGCGACACCGATCGCGCTGTTGTGTAGCCATGGTGGGGTCTCGGTCTTGGGCGCTGTTGTGTTGTTTGTTGGTGTCTCGGAGGACTGTGAGGGGGACGGTTGCGCCGAGGGCGGTTGTTGTGTCGCCATTTTGGCTTATGCTCGATTTTTTTGGACAATTTGGGCTGCCCTTCCCACCTGAAGCTTCAAACAAATAATACTTGTCCCCGAGAAGATGTGAGAGTGTATAACATGGCGTTGTACAATGAAGTTTGCGACCAAGAAACTCTTGAACTCATATGACGATCTCGAAAAGCTCCTTATCTTATCGCATAGACGCAGGGGCCACTTGCAGGGCCTCCCCTCCGTCAATGCAGGCCGTGAACCCTCGTCTTGGCCTCAACTCTCTGAGATTGACGGCTGCACGCCACTCCCGTGTCACGATGCAACACCGAATGACGTCCGTAAATCTCATCACAACCTGAAAGCCTCAGTGATGGTCGATCCATTGCACCACCAGATGAAATAGGCGCGTACGCAATGCAGCTTTAGCAAGCTCACGCACAGCGCCAGCAGGTTTTCTTTGGTTTCCATCTGACCAAAACAGAGGCGCCGTGATACTGACGAAGAAAACTAATCTCATTTTCACCGTGAAGAGGATATTGCCCTTCTAGATCATTGCATTACAAATCTTTAGCGAATGCGCCTGTCTGCTCGCGATCCAAAACATACTCCAAGAGGTGCTTGCGTGTCCATCCGACCTGAATCGCTTTCGGAACGCAAGTATGTCCCCGGACAAGGCTGGTCGGAGAATTGGGGCATTTATGTCTTGGCAAAAGATGAAACCAACCGACCAATGAGTAGACGTTCAACCAATTCAGCAGTTTGATCTGAGTTCCTCGTCATGCCTCTGCTACTTGCCGTATACTATTCTGATCCAAGCGACGTTTCATCCTGCCTTCATCCCTTCCAGATCGCCAAGACGTCGAAAGCGAGCTCATCTGTTATGAAGAGCGGGATGTGCATCTTTTCCACTTCAATATCACAAGTGTCATTCTCTGGGAGATAATATCTAATCTATACGGACCTACAAGCGCTGTGCACTTGTGGCCTACTACCTAATCATCATCAACCTCCCATACTCATCCAACATGCTGTCCAAGACCCTTGCTGTGCTGGCAGCAGCCAGCCTCGCCTCAGCGCAGTCGCCTTCAGGATTTCAGCCAGGCTCGACCACGGACCTCATCGTCTCATACAATGGCGTTCAAGCAAAGAGTGGATCTGTAGTAGCTAGGGATGGTGAGCGCTCTTTTGCCCACTGTTGTGGAGAATGATCAACGCTGAACCCGATGCATAGGAACCGCAAGTGAACCCAAGTTGGCTACAACACAGCGTCTAAACGGCACCTCGTACGCTGTTCTGATGATCGATCTCGACATTCCGACGAACAGCCCACCACAAACCAACACACTCCTGCACTGGATGCAGACTGATCTCACACCCGCGACTACAGCAACCGCTCTCAACAGCAGCGGCGGAAGCGGGAACTTGTTCGCTCTGCAGACAGGCCAGACGGCAGCTTTTGCAACCTATCTGCAGCCCAACCCGCCAGCAAGAGTGCCGCTATCTCACCGATACACGCAGATCCTTGTGGACACCACTGGCGTCCAGCAGACAGCCCTCGACAGCCTCAAGTCCGCGGCCCAGAATCGTCAAGGCTTCAAGGCACTGGATGTGCTTACCTCAGCCGGCCTGCAGAACAAAGTAGTCGCCGGAAACTTTTACAACGTCACGAACGCTGGCCCTGCTGCTTCATCGAATTCCTCTTCCTCGGGATCCAGCTCCGGCTCAGGCTCTAGCTCTGGTAGCAGTGGCTCCTCCGGCTCGAACAGCACCTCAGGAAGCGGCAGCGGCAGCAGCAGTGGCAGCGGAACTGGTACCAACTCCGGTACTAACTCAGGAACCAACGGAACGAGACCCGGAACCAGTACAAATGGAGCTGTCGTCCAGGAGTCTAAAAGCATGACAGCTCTGGTCCTCCTTGTCGTCGCCACACTCTGCCTGGGAGTATAGAGAGGCTAGCGAGACCCGTTCAATCGGTCATGAGCGACATACTGTCTTTACTGGCTGGTTATAAATGCTGCGACTTGAAAGTCACAGCACCCGGAACATTGAGCTGCCAGATCACTAGTCTTCCATGTTATGGAATGTAAATAGTTCACGATAGAAAAAACAAAAGGAAAGCCGATGAAGCCATGCTTAGAGTTATGGGGCCCACTTACATGTGTGGACCTGATCCTTTGTGCTCCGCTCTAGCCTACCCCTGGCGGGACACTAGCCTTCGTCTCGCCCTGCCACATTGGAGAATTCTCGGCTCGCCCTTCCCTGATTCGAATTAAACTTTATCGCTACGCTTGCCTCTGTGTCTCTGACCACAAGGACCGATTATATCTGTGCGTCTGTTACCTCGCGCGCGGCAATTCAGCCTCATCCAACATACTTACTTCGAAATAGGAAGGCTCTCGTGGTCTTCAATCACCCCGTGCCCGAGATGAGTAATGTGTTCTGCGTGACAATAGTGCAACATCGGAGATGGATTGTAAATATGTTTGGATTTCCGTAAGGCATGTCTTTGATAAGTAAGCTTTGGTTTGCTTCCTGACAAATGGCCCAATTGCGAGATCCATTCTGGACTTGCACTTTCTCACCATATATCCTGGGCTGAAGCCCAGCAGAGCGGTAAGCCTGGGATATTGCTCATTGAAACACGCCTTCTCGGTATCAGCAAAACACTTACGTTGAATTCCTATACGTCGCAATTGCTTTTGACATCATCATATAATCTTTTTGCTCAGCTGCCACTTCTTAAACCCATCAAACAACATCGGAGCCATGGGGAAGACTGTTGTCATCCTAGGGGCCTCTATGGCTGGCATCCCCATAGCTCATTACCTTCTTGCCCACACGTCATCCGTCGTACCCGATCTCAAGGTCATACTCGTATCTCCAAACACGCACATGTACTGGGCTTTCGCCTCAGTACGTGGCATCCTTCCAGGTGGTCTCGATGAAGATAAACTCATGCTACCGATTGCACCGGCCTTCAAGAAGTACTCCTCCGACAAGTTTGAGTTCGTTTTGGGCAAGGCTGAGCAGCTGGAGCCTTCGTCCAACTCCGTGACGGTCCAGACGAACCATGGAACCGTCAGGCGACTGGAGTACCATACTCTTGTCATCGCGACTGGCACGAGCGCGAGGGAGGAGATGCCTTTCAAAACGGTGAATACCACCGAGCAGACAAAGGATGTGTTACACGAGTGGCAACAGCGTATCAAATCGGCCAACTCCATTGTCGTCGCCGGCGCCGGTATCACAGGTATCGAACTCGCAGGAGAGCTCGCCGAGGCGTACGCAAAGACAGGACAGAAGAAAGTCACCCTCATCGGATCCTCAGACCTCCCCCTAGATGCAACCGTACGGAAGGACGTCCGGCAGGCCGCGAAGAAGAGCCTCGAGAAGCTCGGCGCCCAGGTCAAGCTCAACGCGAAGGTCACCAAGGTCGAGGGACCGGACGCAGGACCGAAGACGATCAGTCTGTCGCTAGGCAGGGGGAGGGACGAGTCGATCGAGGCGGACGTGTTCATCCCGACCTACGGCCTCCAGCCGAACTCGGCTTTCGTGCCTGGCCCGCTCCTCGACCACCGTGGCCACGTCAAGCAGACCAAGTACCTCCGCGCCGAGGGCTACGACAACATCTTTGTGGTCGGGGACGTGGGGAGTCTTGAGACTCCACAGGGCATACACACGGAGAACCAGATGCTGCACGTCGTCAAAAACCTCCAGGCGTACCTGAAAGGCGAGGCAGTGACTGAGTACACTTTCAGCACTGATCCTCTATTCATGGCTTCCATCGGGAAGGGAGGCGGTATTGGCCAAGCCAAGGGCTGGAAGTTGTTCAGCTTCATGGTCAAGATGTTTAAGGCGCAGACCCTGGGAACACAGAATTTCCCGGGAATCATCGCAGGACAGAAGACCATGACCAAAGGGAAGTGGGCATGAGCGTCCTCGGAGACCAGTGAGGTATTTCTGCGGTGATTTTGCGATGTGGAGTGCGGATTCCGTTTTTAAATTGGAGTAATGACTACAGCTGCAGGAGGGTTGGCACAGTGATACCATAAGTCTGAGCTACACAGTACTTTTTTCAATCATAATTCCGACATGGCTTCTATCATACTGTACTGCTTTTTTTCTTCCAAGTTTGTCCACTTCATTGGTGCAAAGGTGCCACCCAAACCTGAGACAGTATCCTCGTTCTACGTGCTTGTCGGGGAACTGAGCCCTTGACCATGGGGTGCAGACGTATTTGGAAACATGAAAATTGACGGACCCATTTTGTTTCTGCCTTTCTACACTTCTGCAGAATCAAAACCATTACGATCATGCTTTCTACCCGCATGTTGCGCTTGTATCTTTCCACATTTGTCTGGGTCCAAGATTGTCATGGAGTGGCAGCGATGTTTGACAGGCGCTACGCTTGGTTAGCAGAGCAGATGAGAGAGAGAGCAAAAAGTGTAGAATCAACACGCTCAATATTCATATTATCTGGAACAATGGGAGCTTCCTCATAATGCTGTTCCATCCGAGACTATCTCGTTGGTTTTAGTTTGCATAGAAGAACAGCCCCTGAGGACAGCCTTTGCAAGCCGTGCAACCTAGATGCAGATACACTTCAGACTTTCTCAATATGTTAGCCTGATTGGAGGTTACCGGCACTTGGTATGCAAATCAAGCGTCATCGGGTGTCTCTCATGGCATTGAACACAATGTCCGCTTCTGTGCTCTCGCATGGTGGTTGTCCTGACCGGTTAGCAGTATGTTGCCGCTGCTGCGAATCTCTTGGGCATACGAAGTAAGAAATTCCTCAAATCCATGTTTCGTACAGGCCTATGCCACATATGCACATACCACTAGCCGCAGATATAAGGCGTTGGCACGGCTGGAGGTATCCTGGCATCTTATGGGTAGGTATTGAATCGATGCAGAGCACCCAGACTATGTACCATAGCCAGTCTCGCCCAACAGAGACGTCGAACAGTGACGTACCACCCGCGAGAGCCATAATTCTCTAGGGTAAGACGGAGATGAGAAGACAAGCGCATTGCGGCTCTTTAGTATTATTTCTTGCGTTCTGCCGGTCAGTTTCCGGATCATACGGTACCGCTGTAACTCGTCCATCACTGCTTAGTAGCTGGAGCCCATTGGACTGGAATATGCCCTTTTACAGTGAGATTCTCTCAAGGTTGAGACTTGCTAGCCGTGCGTCATAGTGAGAGAGACAAATAAATATGTGGTTTTCTCGATCATTCTGGATGGCGAATGGAATCAAAGGAACAAGGTTGGTCGAACGCCGACCTTCAAGGGCGCGAATGGCTGACTGGGCTGTCGGGTGTAAGTCTCCGATGTTCCAACCGGTATTCGGCGCGGACGCTGCTGGCTTGTTAGCTTCCCATAGTTCATTGTGCCACACATTTGGCTTGCATACGAATTACACTGTCTGTGACAAGCGAAATGCTATCCGCATTCTAACTGTCATTTGGATCAGTCCCGTACACACTACCAAAACTTGTAATGCTTCACCGCTCTTGATGATTCAGCAATCCTGTTTGATTTGGACAACTTTTTCTTGAATCGATAGAAAAGTCTGTATCGATAAGGAGTCTACTCTTTATGTTACACCCAAAACCGTATATTCTTTTACCAAACAAATCAAGTTTTTCTTTGTGTCAGGTCATGTCGGGCTTTAGAAGACACTATTCTGGAACAATGATACATCGAGAATTCATTCCTACCGGAAAACAGTTTAAAAAAAATAGTGTCTTCTTCATACTCACCCTCTTACTGTATGCAATACGTGTTGTTTCATTCATTGGTCAAAGTGCACGACAAGATCGTCTTTGTGAAATCCAGTCTCTGAGTGGTCGGATTCCGCGAGCTGGTCATCGTGAATAGAGTAATTATCAGCGCCGCAACGTGGCGCGGTCCACCCTTGGGATACTACATTCATAGGGCCAGCTCCAAAATCGGCGCACAGGATAAATTTAAATTGTGGCTGCTCCGCTGCTTCTTCTTCGGGAAACGGCCGGGGAGGGGGGCAAGAATGCCTCGCGCAAGCACCTGCTCATAGCGGGACATCTAATGGATGTACACTGGCTTAGCTCGCGAGGTTCTCTCCGTATTTTCTGCGTGTTGGCCTTTCCAAAAAGGGAACGATCTGTGGAGCCGCTGCGTCTAAATTCTCCTTAGCAGTGAGTTTTTGATTAGCTAACGTGGTATACACGCCTGATTAGCTAACGTGGTATACACGCCTGATCATTCCAGGGGTATGCATTTGGTGAGCGTAAAAAATGCGTCAGATTTTCTGGGCGCGACCGGTCGATGGTGCGCATTTTCGGCCCCCCGGCTTTGATTGGACAATAGTGCAACATCGAATCCTTTCTTTGTCTGTCAGTCCAAATATGAGGCTGACATGCAGTGACCCACATAGACCCGAGGCCGTATCCTGCACTAATAATGCAGTCTCATGCACAGCCATTGCAGGAGACGAGGAGCAGACAACCTAGCGCGCCTCCACAAGTTGCTCCTGAGACCGTTCAGAACGGCCACATTCAAGACTCAAATGGCGGCGGCAGCCCTCTTAGGCTCCAAGGCAACGAAAATTAGGTCTCTACTGACATGCAGGGAGCGCATTCTTGGAATCGCAGGTCAGGAGGCGACTTGTGCTCTGCAACCAGGATGTCCATAAAAGGCTGCTGGTCCTCCCTGGGTCTTCCATGATATCTGCTCTCCCTCGTTCTACGGCGGCATGAGACAGGCATTCAGCGCTTTCCATAATTAGTGAACATATATTATTTCCGTGTTTACATGACATCCTACAAGGTCCTACAGCCAATTCCCTGTCACACAGCCAGCTACCATGTCGAGCCACGCGCAACAAGCCCCAGCCAGCACAAGGCAAGACTATCTCTCCTCTGTCCACTTTTTTCCCTTCAGTCACGCCTTCCACCCACGATATATCATGTTCTCTCATGTTTTGGCCGATAGCCTAAAATCTCATTTGTATATCACATCACACTGCGGAAGTAGGAACGCTCTCAGGCTCGACGCAACATGCGTCATTCACACCAAGGCTAGCTCCGGATCTGGCCCAACAAGAAAGCACCTTTCCTATAATAATATCTGGATCCTGATTTCTACGTAGTGGTAATAACAGCACTGGAGAGAACCATCGAAGTGTTCCTGAGCAGCCTTATCATATTCGTTTCGAAGCAATTGAGGGAAACTGTCTCTACCGCGCGGCCAACTCCAACAAGACTGCCGAGCAGAGGATCCAGTGCCAACAGGCCATGGTTGGCTCACAGCTTCGACGCATTGACGAGTCTCTTGGCCATAATAACAAAGAACCTACGTCTGTTCCTGGTGGAGCTCAACCTCAGCGGGGACTTGTCGACGATACTCTGCAAGGCGTTGGCTCGCAGTTTGACGGCGCGTATAGTCCCATCCAGGGGACTCCGGGCCAGGGTCACCTAGGACGTGACTAGACCAGTAAGCATGCATCTCCTCAGCAGAGAAGAAGATGATGGTAAAATACAAGCTCGTGTGGTCTCGACTTTTGTGACTGACATGAAAGGCAGAGCCAATCACAGGCTGAGTGGTTGCATGTGGGGAGTGTCGAGGTCGAGATGCATGAGTGGGGCTGCGCCCGGACCCGAGTGAGCCGGATCCGAAGTCACCCCTTCAATGAGCTAGGATGATCCCTGTTCGGGGTCCCGACACTTCGGAACACTTCGAATGGCATCAACCTTGACTGTGGCTTCGTCTACGCAGGACCTCTCGAGTCTTTCTCATCACATCGGAGGTCATGGTCATTCATGAGGAGTGGATCGATATTTTTCAGTATTCTATGCTCTCTGATATAGTTAGCCCCAAAGAAAGTGACTTTGCGCGCGCTGGAGTCATCCCCTGTCGGAGGACAAGCGAGCTTTCTGCGGGATGGCATGTAGAGTCTCACAATTAGCATATATATAAATGGCAAATATGTTTGTTCCCTCTCTGAGCTATGCGGCCGCTGATTGATGGAGTGACCATGATTATTGCCAGCCAGGAGATGCTTCAATACTGCGGTGATGTGACAGTCCAGTCATCACTCCTTGCCTAATGCAACCTATAGTGACCGTTCTCGTCACTTTCAGGGAAGATTTTGGCTTCATATTAGTTAATTCAGGCCATACATACTACTAAGCCTACAAATCAACATCAACTGGCTTGTCAGGATATATCGACTGTGTCGAGAGCTAGAAAGAGCCAAATCTGCAAGATCAATCCCATGTGAAGCCTCTACAAAATTTCCTGCCACGCATGGTAGATGGAATTTATACCGGACCTGTGAGGGCGTGGGGCTGAATGCCAGCGGGGCCGTCTGGGTGGGAGGACGTTGATCGATAGACTTAATCTATCAGCCCACCACCGTACTGTAAATAGCTTCGAGGGCACGCGCAACTGCGCTGCCTCTGCCTGTCTTTTCGATAGGCGAACTCAACAAAAATGAACAATTTCTACAGCCAAACGGAGCCTTCGTGCCTTCATCTGGTTATATCTAGTATGCGCCCACAGCGCCTTCAGCACTACCACTACAATTTCCACCACTCTGCTGTTCGTCTATCCTTCACGCTTTTACACTTATCCAAATTCATTGCAATATTTCGTTTGTACCTCTACTACACCCTCCTCGCAAGCCGCGCCATCTCGAGTTCTATGCGCATTTCACTTATCATGGGGCAAATTTCGGTCTTGCGTTCTTTTCGCGTGAGATTGATCATCCCATTCCTACGAGTCTACACCATGTGGATTGCCATCAAGCCGTTGCGACGCGATAAAAGTCTGGCCCAGTCAAAGTACTCGATGCGGTGCAAGCGCCTGCTCATACCCTCACGGGAACCCGGCCGTCGCATCAAAGCGGACCTATATCTGCCGCCGCACCCAAACCCAGGCGACAGAGATCGTTTCCGACCGGTCCTCGTCAACTACCATGGTAGCGGCTTTGTTCTGACTGGTCTACTTGGAAGCAAAGTGCTCTACTGTGCGCGCATCGCCTGCGAACTTGGTATCGCAGTTCTTGATGCAGACTATCGCAAGGCGCCCGAGCACCCGTTTCCTGCCGCGATCCACGTCATCGAGGATGTCCTGCGTTGGGTTTCGAGCCCTGCTACTGAGAATACCGATTACCTGTTCGATAGACGGCGGGTTATGCTCTCGGGCTTCAGCTCGGGAGGCTCGCTCGCTCTGGTTGCAGCTTCGGTGCTGCGCGCGGATACATACCCTTCCATCGATGCCGACATTCGTGCTGTAGTGGGAATATACCCATCAACGGATCATGTCACACCACTGGAAGACAAGAAGCCACCGAAGGAGGGTATTGGGAAGTCATCCCCGGAATTTTCGAGGATATGTCTCGATTGCTACATGCCGGACTAGAAACAACGAGCGGATCCTCTGGCATCTCCAGGTGGCGCGAAACCAGAACCATACCCCCAAAACGTGGCGATATTCACATGCGAAGGCGATTTGCTGGCTCAAGAGGGAGCTTCACTGGCGAAAGGACTACAAGATGACTCAAGGTATGTTGTGAGTGAGATGATGTTGGGCCTACCCCACGGTTTCGATGCAGGTACAGAGCAGGGACAGGATCGATCGCATGGGAAAGACGAGAAGAGATGTACGAGACAATTGGCCATGCCGCCCAGGAACGCTCACATCAGTAGAATTGTCACCAAGATGTCAGATTGGGTCCGAAACTCATGTCTTTATTGCGAAGTAGAGTCATGGACAATCGCAGAGGTCTATAGCTTAGGTGGAAGATGCAAGGAGCACCAGATAGTTGAGAGGCACATTTGTATCAGGATAAACTTCGCAAATTTGGTGCGCACCTGCACAAACCGTCTGATCCCGGGCCCATGTACTACAGATCACGACCTTTCAGTCTAATCCATCCAGACTGAGGAGCCATCCTCCATTGTGATGTCGTTGAAAGAGCATCTCTGGATCATATCAAAACTTATCTCACCCAATCTCTGCGCCATGCCAGATCCATAGCTTGACAGAATGTTTTGACCGCTGTTAGGGTCATTCATGAAACGAAATGCGAGCGTTGAGCCATGAGCATCAGCTGCGTGGCTGACTGCTTCTCCCATTTGGTCAATCAAAGCCAGCTACAAGCCAAGCTTGCAGAAGAAACAATCGATCGTCATGCTTAATCTCAAGAGGACCGTAAGATTTCAAGATATTGAGCACGATGTTGATTTTTGCTGTCGTGCTAGCCGCAGGCGGCAAACTACAATCAAAAGAAGAACGGGCTTAAGACTAAGTTACTGCTGTAACCGTAATGTAAATTAATAAACAAAATTCTTAGAGGATGAGATGATCGCATTGTAGCAAGTACCAGATAGCAGTCGGCTGAGCCAACAAGTTGAGCTCAACATGCTCACCCGTGGATAGAGAGTCTAGGTCGGGATCCTGGATTTTCGCAGGCCTCCCCAGGCGGTATTTGAAAATCTCCTCGCCACTGCCTTGACCCCATATGCACTTCCCTACGTGATCGAATTTAGCTTTCATCTTATGCGAGTGATTGCGCCTTCGCTGGTGATCTACAGAGGACCACATGTACTACTTAAATACAATGAATCATGACCCGGGTCTCCTGCTGCATTTCAGCCACTCCTACCAGAGGCCAACGGGACCTGGATGTTTCTTGACTTGTCGAGCTAACATCAAGATGCAACATCAGGCAGGTGAGAATGCAGCAGGGCAGGGGCAAAGATACCGAAGCGGAAGAGCTCATTTCGAATGGATCCAAACAGGAGAGACTTTGAAGACGCGCAGGCTCATGTCCACTTCGTGGCTGGACTCCGCATCGAAGCCGCAACGGTATCAATCAGGCAGGTGTGCGGGCAGCCCGATTGACTCGGCAGCTTGGATCTTGTGCCGCCCCTGGTGCATTCATCTGCAGATCACTACAAGCCACGCAAGCTTTATTCCCGGGCTCGGCCGGATAGATGTTTCTTCGGAGTTACGGACCAAGACGATCGCCAAGCTACACATTGAACCCACAAGCCTAGCTCCCGAAAATCGTGCACTCTACGCAGTACGTGCTGGTTAGGGCAAGTACCATGCTACAGATGTTTCATGGGCCATACTGCCTATATGAGTAGCCATTCTCTCGACTTGACTGGCTGTAGTCGGCAGTGCTGCATGAGCAAATCCCCCGCTATGGGACAACTGCGATGTACTCCTGTGCGCTTTGTATCTTACGGTGTAGAAGAGTCACGAAAATAAGTGAGGCTCGTCGCTGCCATGATAAAAGATTTTCATTCCAAATGATATGATGAGAATTTTGCTAACAGCTGTGAACGAGCTTCGAAGCAGCGTACAAGAGATCGTTTCAATATTTGCGGAAAACCCTACTATATACATACATTTCAAGGGCCTCGACCGTTCCAATAGTGAACAGTTCCTATATAGCACTCAGGGTGGGGAACCAGCTCTGGAACAAGCTGATCTGCTCGGCGTCGGCGATGGGAATGGGGCCCCAACCATCTCCAAGCTCCTGAGTCACCGTCGTGTTGGCAGAAACGCTGTCCCACTGGACCAGACCGTCTCCGTTGGGGTCGCCGTTCTTGATGAAGTTGACCCAGTAGCTGTTCATAATGGTGGCAATCTGGTAGTCCTCGGCCTCCCACTCGCCGTAGTAGACGTTGTACAGGTTGTTTTGCGTGTACTGGATCTCGGTCATGTGTGCAGCTCCGGCCTCTTGTCCAGGAGGGGCGTGGTCCCACAGATAGGTCCATACGGGGCTGGTCCTGTTGCTCAACCAGTAGGCAGCGAAGTTCTGGGTACCGACCTTGGAGCGGTCGGTGAACTGGGCATTCTCGGCGGCCGAAGCGGTGACTGAGTCGTTAGCCGGGTATGCAGCCAGGAACTTATCGACGAAGTCTCCGGAATAAGTGGAGTTTGCATCATCATAATACTCGTCCAGGGTGATGTTAAGGCCGTACGATGCGCCACTCTCATCCTTGGTGTTTCCGGTCATGACGGGAACGTCGTTGGCGAGTCCTAGCTTGAGTGTGTTGAGGTATGTGTCAGGCATGGCATAGTAGTCCAGAGTACCCTTAAAGGACGGGCCTGTCGCGCCAGGATTGGCAGAGTTGTCTAGTGTGTCCCACGGCAGGGCACGCATGCAGGCAATCGTGCTGCAGTTCACAGACTCCATGAACGACAGACTGTAGTTTAAGGAGACGTCGTAGGTCTGGTATCCCTCTGCCAGGCTGGTGGCAAGAGGATCGTGAGGGTCGCGAACACCGCTCTGGATGATAGCGCCAACAATCTTGCCCTTAGTCAGGTGACTGTTGAGAATATGGTACGTGGCAGCCGAACCAGCTGACTGGCCCGAGACGGTGATGCGGTCCGGGTCACCGCCAAATGCGGCGATGTTGTCGCGAATCCATTGTACGGCGGCGAACTGGTCCAACATACCGTAGTTACCAGAACTGTTAACACCAATGCTAGCCAGGTTCTCCTCGGTCAGCTCGGGGGTCACGAGCCAGCCAGTCGCGCCAGTGCGGTAGTTATAGTTGACAAAGACGACCCCTTTGTCGGCCATGCCAGCGCCATCAAAGCGAGGATCAGCATTGGAGCCTCCTGCCGGGTAGCTCCACATAACGACGGGCAGCTTGGCATCGGTGGAGTTGGCAGCGCTCCAGACGTTCACGTTTAAGCAGTCCTCGCCAATGTCGGCATACGTGGTGCCGGAAGCAACGCAGGCCAGTCCGTAGTCCTTGGCGTCAAATGTCGTGTTCCACGGCGTGACGCTCTGGGGAGGACGGAAGCGGTTCTCTCCCGACGTGTCGGCGGCAAAAGGTATGCCCTTCCAAACAGTGATGTCTTTCCAGTTGGTGAGATTCATATTAGCAGGACTGCTGTTAAAGGCCGCGTAGCCTTGCACCGGCCCATTGGGAGTCTGGAGCACACTATCGTATAGTGCTGCTTGAGCCGCCGGAGCCAGAAGCCCCAGGATCGAGGCGAGGGCGACCTCACGAGATCGAGTGACGCCCATGATAGATTGAATGTGTGAAGAAAGAGCGAAACAGGGAAAAGAAATAGGGTGTTTGTTCAATCGGAAAGAATGTGTGGTGTCCTGTAAAGATGGGAAGTTTATAAGAACATGTGCGAGAAGAGATGAGGACTTTATATTATTAGGCTATGTTCCTTACTTCAATAATAGTCAAGGCTGGTGGCTGAGGGCAGTGGCGCAGGTCCTCCATGCCCTGTTGCTAATCTGGGCCTGATGCGAAGGAGGACGGCCGCGAGGACGAGCCTGCCCCCCAAATGAAAGACTTAACTCCGAGCTGGCTGCGTTGCCCCCCACAAATCACAAGAGAGCTGGCGTGGTACCTTGCTTTAATGGAAACTCTTATATCGAATGACAAACGACCGACAGCCGTGGAGCGGGTCCTATTACATTAAAATCCTTGGCTATTCATCATACCGAATACGCTCTCCATGGAACCCACACTCCGCAACCTCGGAGCACACTCGGAGGTAACCAGAAGGCGCTATTAACTTACGTTTCGAGTGGCACTACAGTCAGTCATACGCGGCTCGGCCTCGTGGTCTACGGGAATAGCATGACTAGCTTGTACGAGTCATCAGTTAGCAATACCGGGCTTATACGAATACGATGAATAGTACCCCTATTAGAGCTGCTTTGTAACAGTTCCAAATATTAAACGGCTCAGTTCTGGGAGCGGTTCAAACCTCTAGAACCGTGCACGCACAATTCATTCCTAGGAACCGTTCATTTAGGAACGAAAGGGAAGGGAATGAAGGAGAGGATAAAGAAGAAGTTGAAGAAGAATTTATTTAGGTTAGAATGTAGTTGGAATTCAAGAGAGCCCTATATATAAAAAAGAACGAGGAGGTAATTCCAAGTGGGCTATTTTAAACGCCATCATGCACACTGCACCCTTCCCACTCCTGCGCTCTTCATGCACCCTTCGTGCACCCTTCCCGCACTCTATACCGTTCATGCACGGTTCCTATCTTGAACTGCTCCAAGAATGAGCCGTTTACTACTTGGAACTGTTACAAAGCAGCTCCAAGAAATTACACGGTCTGCGATCGGAGCGGTGCTGGCACGGTGAAAATACTGGGAACATACGGTTCAGGTGTACACCCAACAGACCATCTTGAGACGTGCCCCCTTTCTCCCCTTGTGGGGAATCTTTCTATATTGACGATGCTGTTCGAACTTTCGCTAACTAGCCTCCTTCACCTTGCTGTTTGTACGTTAGGGTACGATTTCATCTTGATTTTCCGGCCACATACCTCGCAGCATAACTCCGTTGACAATAACAGGGCAGACTAGTCCATGATGTGAACCTCACTGGCGCACGACGAATGGCATGTTGAGGCCATCGAAGTTGCATATCAGGTCTCCTGGCACAAGGCTGCTGTTTCCACACCAATCCTCCCGTTGGTTGTGGCAAACAACCTTCTCCTCATCAGTATTGAAAAGATGCTGCCGGCCTCTCTCAGTACGTCACAAATTCTATCCACATCAACCTCAACTTCCATCTGGCTCTCAGCTTATCGGTTTAATTAATACCACTCGGAATTATCAGCTGCAAAAATTCTCCCATGGTGTAACCTGAAGACTCTTCCAGTGTGAGTTGTTCCTTACTAGCCTCTTTGAGAAACTTTCGGACGATGTTCACTAAATTTTTCGCTCGTCCCCTGCGGTCTGAATTGTAACTGAGTCTGTCACTGACGCAAATTCTCACCTGGCTAAAAGTTTCCTAAAGAGCCTGACTCGAAGTCCATCGTCGCTGAAGGGTGCAGGAAGATGAGTCCAGTGCCCCCAACTGTCAGCTCTGACGGAAACAAGAAACCAACTCTCTTCTTTTCAAGAAATCATCCCAAGCGTGGTACAGGCCACCTTCAAATGCACCAGTCCAGTCTATCGCCCATGAAGGTATGCTATAGGGCTCTTTCTATGGCCTCAAGACATTATACATCTCGTGGCCTCTACTTGTGCGCATTTGACGGTGAATGGCCGTGGGCAACCAGATATGACGTGGCCATGGACAGGGATCATAGAGTAATACACTTACGAGATATGGGAAGAGTAAGGAGAATTGGGTAGACGCATATATAGGACCTACCAGGATACTTGGTTGGATTGTACAAGCTCGTCCTCGGTGATCCAGAGCAGGAAATCGCTGTGTTACGAAAATATCCAGTGGTTACACGTGAGCAGCAGGGCTCTCATGATGTTGATACAGGCTTAGTCCACGCGCAGCCTTGCAAGGGTTACCAACTGGCGCGGCTTTGTAAGTGCCGGGTGACCAGGTTGAAAGATTACGACTGTGGTGTATTGTATCCAATAGTGCGAGTCTTTTTCTATTAAATCTGAAAGTATCTTAATCCTACGTTTTACTGTCTGCAGCCAGACATCGCAATTTGTATCTCCGCCTTAACATAGTCTCGCAGCTCGTCGATCTGCCAATGCGCAACATCCACAACTACAGTGGTTTTCCAATCGTGGTCCTGCAAGATTGCATAGCTGCCTATGATCCGGCCCAATCCAGCATTAGCACCAAACATGACCATTAGCCTGACGGCATCTGAAGCTGGAACCATTGTCATACCGCCTAGCACGGCGGTGGCGTAAGCGTAGAGAGCGATATTCGCGATAGAAGTTATTGCTCGAACGGCCTGCGGTAACATCTCCTCACTTTGATGTCTCAAGATGACAATGTGAGGCCAGGGTTGGGATGCAGCACGAGCATTGTTTTGGGAGGCGGTCGAATTTGGTGGTTGGCGTAAAAGGATTTTCTCGGTTCGCATGCTTACAGTCCTCAGCAATACGTTGGAGAGTGCTAGCAGCTGTATCAAGGCTATCCCTAATACAAGGAATATAAAAGTCAGTCGAGATCTAATACACGAAAGATAATCAAACATTTCAACTCGACTCACAGATCGGTATGTGAACCCAGAAGTGGCAGGAGAAGACCACAACGCCATTTCTGAGAATCTCCACGGCAGGATACCGGATCAACGCAAGGTTTGCCACCAGGAGTGCGAGAACGACTCCGAGGACAGCAAAGTATAGCCACCGTGGTTGTTTTTTGGGGGCTGGATTTGATTCTTCATAGGCCTGCATAACACAACGTTCTAACTCCTCTTTCACGGCCGCTGTTGACTCACGGGGATTCCGCGAGTGAACGTTGTTATCTGATATCCTTGAGAGGCTCTAAGCTAGGACTAGTGGCACTCATGCGGTCAGCGTTGGTGCCCGGAAGGGCTAGGCCGCAAGGATCCTTCTAAGTTCCACCCTGCCTTGAATCCTTACATCCACAATCGCATGTTTCTTGGCCAACTTCAGGTATAACAGGGCTCTCAGCAAGTCACTCTTACGCGACTCGGAGGGTCTTTTCCTCCGAGACTATCTACGCCACCAGTAGTCAATTTGATGTGGAATTACATCAACACATACATCAACCTGCTTGCCTTGTTCCCATCTCCCCGTTTCGAATAACAATGGATGCACATTGGCATTTTCGTCCGAGTGTATTGTTTGTGTTGGTCGCCGCGCTCGGGGCTCTCGCGTGCGTGTCCGTCCGGCGATACTGGATCCGCCGTCACTTCGCAGCCCGCTATGGGTGCCAGCCGGTTGCTAGATCCCTCAATAGAGAGCCCTTCTTGGGACTCGACACCATCCCCGGCTTGCTCCGCGCTATTAGACAGCACACCTTGCTAGAAAGAACCTGCGGATACTACCGTGTCTACGGCAACACGTTCAAGCTGAAGGAGCTGCAGAGGCGTGCGATCTTGACCATCGAGCCGGACAATATAAAGACAGTCCTGTCGCTCAAGTTCGAGGACTTTGGGATCAGCTATCGACTGGACGCGTTCAGGCCGCTCCTGGGAGAGGGCATCTTTGACACGGACGGCGACCACTGGGCTTCCTCGCGAGCCCTGATCCGGCCTAGCTTCGCGCGTGACCAGGTCGCCGACTTGACGACGTTGGAGGACTTGTTCCAAGACCTATTACTGCTCCTCCCGCGTGATGGTGAGACCACCGTGGACTTGATGGACCTCTTCTTCCGCTACACCATCGACTCGGCCACCGAGTTCCTGTTCGGAAAGTCCGTGGGCACGCTGAAGAAGCTGATAGCTCGGTCGGAGGACCCCGACTTCGCCCAGGCATTCCACTACGCCCAGAAGGCCATCCTGACGCGCGGCACGCTGGGCTTCCTCAATGTCTTCTACCGTGACCGCAAGGCCGAGGAGTGCAACCGCATCTGCCGCGAGTTTGCCCAGCGCGCCATCGAGGAGGCACGCCATGCCGTCGAGGTGGAAAAGGGAAACACGAAAGGATTCGTATGTGGGTCAGCTCGCCAAAAACATGTGTTTGCACAGGAGCTGGCATCTCGGACAACGGATAAAAAACGCATCCTGGATGAGTCGATGAACCTGCTGCTGGCTGGCCGTGATACAACTGCTAGCCTGCTTACCAACCTCTTCTTCATGTTGGCCAAAAATCCAGAGATGTGGGAGAAGGTGCGCAGAGAGGTGGCGGTCTTGGAAGGCCGTCCACCAACTTATGAAGAGCTTCGGAGTTTCAGATACGTCCATTGCTGCATGAATGAATGTAAGAAATCCCTTTTAGTCGATTTTTGGTATTCTCATTCTTCTTGAATTCAGCTCAACTGATCATTTGTAATAGCGCTCCGGTTGCATCCAGTTGTGGCACGCAATGAACGCATGGCGGTACGAGACACGGTCTTGCCACTTGGGGGAGGCAAAGATGGGCTATCGCCAGTCTTGGTGACAAAAGGGACCACAGTCTCGTATAACATATACGCGATGCATCGACGGAGAGATCTGTATGGGCCGGACTCGGAAGAGTTTCGTCCAGAGCGTTGGGAGGATGGAAAGTTGCAGCCGCGCTGGGGATACTTGCCGTTTAATGGCGGCCCGCGCATCTGCATCGGCCAGCGGTATGCCTTGACCGAAGTCGGTTATGTCCTTGTCCGGATGGCCCAAGAGTTCCGGACCTTGGAGAGTATGAATCTAGCCCCTTGGGAGGAATCGCTGGCCTTGACCTTGAGCTCCCGGGATGGAGCAAAGGTGTGTCTCACTCCTGCTTGAATCCGCTGAGTCACATAGGAAGAACCGTGCTGCTGGTTCTTGTCTCCATGATCCTAGTAAACAAGGACGAAGAACTTTGCTGGACTCAATATCGGTACTCGATAACAGCTGAGACAAATATCTATGTTACATCATCCTTCGAACATATCTCTCAATCCATCCACGTCACCGTCTTGTAGTACAAGAACTCGTCCAGTCCTTGGTACCCATTGAAGCGGCCAAACCCGCTGGCCTTGACACCACCGTGTGGCAGGGCATATTCATCGTGTATTGTCATCGAATTGATATGCACGGCACCGGACTCTAGCTGTCTTGATAGCCGCAGTCCTGTCTGGAGGTCCGAAGTAAAGACAGCAGCACTAAGCCCATAGTCGGTGTTGTTGGCGATCTCCAGTGCCTCCTGCTCCGTCTCGAAAGTGAACAATGAGACGCTGGGCCCGAAAGCTTCGGTCTGGTAAATATCCATCGTGCTATCAACACCAGAGATCACTGTAGGCTGCATTCGTGTTGGCACCTGACTCTCAGCCCCCTGAGAGCCATATTCCAAGGAAGCTCCCCGCTCCAGAGCATTAGCTATGAGACCACGGTTCTTGTCCGCGGATGCGGTGTTGATTAATACAGGCCCCATGTCAGGCTTGCTCAGAACTTCCCTCTCGATTGCCGCTGCAAAGGCTGTTTTGAATCTGGAGACCACTGACTTGTGCACAAGAATCCGGTCGGTTGACATGCAAATTTGTCCTGACTATACATGCGAATGTCAGCTGAAGTCAAGGTCTGTGCAGTATACTGAAGTTACTTACGTTCATGAAGGCTCCCAAAGCACATTGTGTGGCAGCCTTCTCCATGTCTGCATCTGGTAGAACAATAGCACTGTTCTTTCCGCCAAGTTCCATTAACACCGGCTTGAGATGTCGTCCAGCACTGGCCGCAATGATTCTACCGACACGTGTGCTGCCAGTGAAGTTGATTTTCTTGACGCTCGGATGTGCTACCAGCTGCTCCGTTATGTCCGCTCCGCCAGATGGCTTATGAGTTATCAAGTTCAAGCAGCCTGCAGGGAGTCCCGCCTCGCGAAAGGCATCGGCGATTGCCCAAGCGCATCGCGGCGCCATCTCAGGTCCCTTGAAAATGGCGGTATTGCCTGCAGCTAGTGGAAATGTAAAGGATCGAAGACCCAGGTGGAAAGGAGCGTTCCTGCTTGAATGTGAGAAGACAGCAGCAATACAGAAGATACAACCAGGGCCTTACCACGGACCTATACCCAATACCACACCGTAAGGAACTTTTTCAATGATCGCGCGCATCCCCTTGTGATTCGATTGAGGCACTGTCCCGGTGACGGCGCCAGCGATGCGCCCAGCAGTATCCTTCAGACCTTCTATCGATAGACCAAAGATGAAGTTTTGCATATCTTCACTAGCACCGATCTCTTGATGCATGTAGGTAGTGAACTCGTTCTTCCTCTTCTCCATTATATCGGCGGTCTGTAGAAAGATATCCCGCCTTTCGCTAGGCTTGGTGGCTGCCCACGCAGGGAAGGCAGCCTGGGCACTGCTGACAGCATCTTCAACGTTTTGCGGAGAGGCAGCTGTCGCATTCCAGATTGGCCTGTTTGTCAATGGTGTTTTGATTTCGAACTCTTCGCCGTGGACATCACGACCATTGATGATGAGCGGCACCACATGATGATTGAATCGCCTGTGCTGAAGCGCTCGGGCAGCGTTCTGCGGCGTTGCGCTCTTGCGGATAAGTTTCATTTGCAACATGTCGCAAAACGGTGTCTGAGGTGACGGATCGAATATCAAAATGAGTGTATATCCGCGTCGTGACCATCTCCTCAGCCTGTCTTGACAGTCCAGGCTTGCAGTCTCCCCGCATAAGTTCCCACTCGGTTCCGATGGGCTTGTTTCCGATTCCGTTCGCTTCCCGATACCACAAAACCTCTCGGTGATCAACCTGGGATCTTTCATTGGGCAGAACCAGCGGCTAAGGCTGCAACATCACCTGCTTCTCTCAATTCAGCAATCACTCGTTCCGGAAAAGTAGGTCCGTTTGCCTTGCAACACATTTTTTTTGCTGCAACTTTTCTTTTCGACCATTTTGAAACAGCTTCAATTATTTTGAGGTATACATGACAGAAAAGCTCTTTCTTTTCTCATTATAGGACCACATTCAATTTCAAACCTGAAGGTATTTTGAGAGAGTAATGATTGAAAGTGCTCTTTGAAAAGAAGATGTAGCAGCAAAAACGTGTGTTGCAGAGATGTTGCCAACCCCCCCCCCCCTTTCTTTTTTGTTTGTTTCAGCTGATGTCACTGGCTATTCCTCCTCCCATGCAGCCGCCTGTGGCAATATAGATTGTTTTTATTACTCTCCACTAGATACGCATCCCATTCACATTGAGCTTTCTACAGCAAGAACGTCTTCTTGAGAAGAACGAGCATCTAGACGGATCAACAGTGTATGTTGGGGAACATTACTACTGTAATCACCAGTCCATATGGTGCATAAGTCACAATATCCGCACTTTTGTTGTATTAGTGAGGATGGATCAACTAGACGCTGATCTACAATACTTATAACACGACATATTTGCACTATATATGTATCAAGTCTACAGCCCTTCATTCATCTGCTTTGGCTATTGACCTTCGAAGTACGCAAAATCAGATATTCGCCCTTGGGTTGGTTTCGTCAAGAAGAGCAGCGGCTGATCTTGCGGCCTTCTTGCCGCTCTCCAACGCGCCATCAATGAAGCCTCTCCAGCCGTCTGCCCAGTCCGAACTTGCAAAGAAGATCAGTCCATGGGGCTGCTGGAGTGCTGTCAAGTGCTTAGACATCCCCTCGCTTCTATATGAGCTCCACAGACCCTTTGAGTAAGGATCGGCGACCCAATCGTGAGACACATAAGCCGTAACCTTGCAACCGGGCTTGAAGCACTTCTCGAACTCGGACACGACCGCTTGGGCATCTTTAGTGTTGGGTACCGAGTCATTCTTGGTGGCGGCAACGACATAGGTTTCGTCTTTCCCTGAGGTCTTGGTACCATTGTGGTCCGCGAAAGCCAGCAGATAAGGACTCCGGCTCGTGGTACTGACAGTCGAGAGCCAGAGGGGCTGAATCTCTTCAAGTTTGAAGTGGAGCTTTGCGCCCATGTTGTGGTGGGCGAACTTGACTGATTGTGCGCGCACCCCGGGGAGCGGTGGGAAAAGTCGGAGGTCCCCGAGACAATTTCTGCAGGGAACGTTAGCCTTTATACCCGAAGATTTGGCATACTCATACTCACAGAGGAATCGTGCAGACCACGGTGCGGGCGGTAAGCTGCTTGCTGTCGGTCGTTCGAATGTGAACCCGGCCACCTGCCTGCGAGATTTCGGCCACAGCCGTATTGAATAGACGGTCCGCGCGAACATCATTCAAAAGGGCTTTGGCAAAAGACGTCGTGCCGCCCTTGCCGAGCTTGTACACGCTGGCTTGTTCGTACATGCCCGCCATACTATGGCCTGCCAGTGCATACCAGCGGAGGACTTCGGTGAATCCGATGTCTGCCGGCTTGCCCAGACCACATAGACCCAGGAACGTTTCGAACAGGTCTCTATCCTGCTTCGGCACATCTATCTGGTCCAGTCTCTGGGCCATTGTCAAGTGGTCATATTTTGCCCACAATCTGGGCTCGCGCTGAGGGTCCAGGGGGTAAGGCATCAAGGTGCGGCTCGTTTGACCGTCTGGTGAAAGAAATTCCTGGGCGACGCGATCCGTGCTATTGAACGTTTCTATCGAGTCGACTCTCTCTGGCCGTTCGAAGTAGCTATGATAGCTGACTTCAGGAGCCATCATTGCGACGGTGGGCTTCAAATTCTTTTGCAATCCATAGCGGATGAGCTCGCTGTACACATGCGGCTGACTCCTGCAGATTTCACGCATCAGATCACGAGGAGTCTCAAATTCCTTTCGGCTTGCAAGAACTCACCAGTGAACCCAGGTTCCCCCCATTTCGATCTCCTCGCCGAGCTCATTCGCAGTCCAAGTTCGACCGCCGATGCGATCGCGCGCTTCAATGAGCAGCACAGATCGACTTCGCTGTGCTGAGAGCTCGCGTGCTGCAATCAGTCCAGCAAATCCCGCTCCAATGACGACTACATCATATAGCTTGCGTACGCATGAGGAGCTAGACGTCGCCGCTTCCGTATGCAGGCCTTCGATGGACGAGCCATCGTTGGTCCAGATGAAGCCATCTGTTGATCGGGGTGTCATTCTTGAATTCAGTGCGTCATGAGCAATGCCTAGCAAATAAGATATAAGCACAAGCAGTGTATGTTCTGGAGACAATGAATCCATGGCGAGTAGAGAATCGATTGGTCAATTATCAAGGCATCATTACGGGCCAAGTTTATCCGCAGTCCGAAGCCCCGGAACGGAACACCATTCCGGTGAAGTCGTCCTTTGGGTTCAAGAAGTGTTGAGACTGGTGGTCACAATGGATCCGCGGGATCAAGTCGGAGGCCGGATCGCACAGGGTTGCGCGGGGTCGCGCCGGCATCCTGCGAGACCATGCCCGCCAATTTCACGGAACGGAACACCAGTGTTCCTACCCGGGTACAGATGCTTTAGATGAGTGGCTTAAGACGCCTCAGTCACGTCCCTTGAAACCTCGACAGATAGAAAGTTACCAAATCGCCTACACCGCATCCCGCATCCGTAGCCACCAAGCGCCAGCATGCCTTTCGAAACTAAACCTCGTGCGGACGTGTTCAAGATTGAACAAACACCCGGAACAGACAACGTCTTTTACAGTGAGTGCATCCAGCTCACAGGTTTTGACCGTTGTGGGCTCCGTGCTGACACATTCTCTGTCAGCTGAGATCTTCGGGAGCGATACAAATGCAGACATCAAAAACCCTCTGACCGCCGCTTATCTGCGCATCGAGAAAGGCCCGGCCATATCACCGCCCGTATACGATTTTGAAGAGGCGGGTATTATCCTTGAAGGTAACCATATCCGATCTGATGATATCCCTGCTTGCCCACTTACACTGTGCGGCAGGTCAAATCACCTTTGAGGACGAAACTGGCAGAAAAGAGACATTGCGGCAGGGTGACAAGTTTTTGATCCGCCGAGGCACCAATTTGACTGTGTCTTCCCTCACCTATGGCCTCATTTTCAAATGTGAGAGTCAATTCATGGGCCAAGACATTCCTATTACAATTCACTCGTCCAAATTGTAGATATCACTAGTTGACGATGTCTCCTCGTCTGTATCAATCTATTATATCGAGCAAGATCTTCTACCCATTATAACCAATATACACAGCATCGCCGTGGCTTACGTAGTCGGTCAGGTTTTGGCGATACGCAAATTGCTGTAGGGTGTCGCATAAAACCAGCCTGATAATGCAACCAAAGGTTCTAATCAGATAGATGCGTATTTTGTAGAGTATCTTCATAGAAGTGCACTTTGGGAGAAGTTGAAGGCCAAGTAAATGCCTTGTCAGTGCTCTGGGTGGCAACCTGTAGACAGCCTAGATCACGGGGTGGGGTTAGTCTTTTGCAAACAGCCCCTATACGCCATGTCATGTGTTGCAGTCTGTCAAGATATTCCAAAAACAAGATTGAAATCATCCGCGTAGTGAAGACTAACAGCAACGATGAGAATCGCTGCTATATCTACACCTTATTAAAGCCCCCTCGCTGCCAGTTGCTCTCAATTCTTTCCCGGACGTGTTTGGGATAGGATTTTTCGAAAGAGACTTCATGAAATTGACAGCCTGTTGTGTACTCTGCAGGCATAAGAGCATCACAAATCGCCTTTCCGCCCTTCGTTGGAGGTCCATGGCCGCCATGAGACATATAAGGTGTCATTGGGAAACCCGGCACGTCTTCGAATACGTATTCATCCCGGCCGGGGCGACATCTTGTGGCCAGAGCCCACATGACATCTCGGAATTCGTACACATTCACATGATCACCTACCAGGATGATCTTGTTGATCAGCATGCAACTTTTATGGTTGAAAAGGATCTTTCCAAGTTTGTTTACAAAGTCCTTGGGATTTGTCTTGAGGGCTCGCAGCTTTTCTGTGTCGATTTGCAGCGCGAGCCATGTACCCATGACTTCCAATGACGCACAAGCCTCTTTGATAGGAATATCGTAATCTCCGCAGAGGGAGAGCACCTCTCCAGCGGCAAGCGCAGCGGTGGTATGCTAAAGCAGTGACATCATCAGCGACCATGGCCCAAGGCTGCGAAGTTTTGCAGTACTTACCGACTCATCTGTGATCCGCCCGGGCACAGAGATTGGCAGGATAGCATCATCACGGTACGTGATTTTATCGACGCGAAATAGCGGTTGCTTGTGCGCATCGCCATCGAAGACTACGCCAAGGAAATCCCCGAATGGCCCTTCCATTCCCGTCTCCTCCAGCAGAAGGGCGCCTTCGAGCACGATCTCGCTCGAAGCCGGTACGAGCAGGTCGTTGTTGTCACATTTGACAAGGTCCAGGGGCTTCCCCACAAGGGCTCCCACATATTCACCTTCTGATACATTCTTCGGAATCGGTAGAGCAGCAACGAGATTCGCGGCCGGTGGGACTCCCAGCGCCAATGCCCAGGGCATCTCTTTTGCGCCCATCTTGCGCCACTCGTCGCGGATCATCGAATTATGTTGGCCCGATCCAACAAGACAGCAAAGATGGTTGCGATCGTGTACCATGCCGCGGAAGATGGACCAGTTAGTCCAACCTTTGTTTGGAGTCTGGAGAACATGGATGCCGTATGTTTGCATGTACTTTCCTCCATCTTCAGCGTGGACCTGAGGGACCGGAAGTTCGTGCAGGTTGATCTCCTCTGCACTGATAGAATTCTTCTTGCAGGGAGCAGTAGGGAGAACGTTGGGTTTCAATAGGGTTCTCTTTTTCGCCGCGATAGTCTTCTCCGTCAGCTCTTTCCATGTAGCGGTTGGCTCCAATCCAAGGTTCCTTGCCAGGCGTCCGTATTTTTCTTTCTTGTCCGGTCGCAAACTAGCTGCATTACCGAACATCCTCCAGAGTCCTCCTTTTGCCCCTTTGATATTGTGGAACAGAGGCGCCAGATTGTCTGTCTCGCTGACCCTCCTGACTATAGCTGCGGCTTCAAGGTACGGGTCAATCTCATCTTTGATGTCCACAAGGTCATTGTCCTCTCGAAGCTTTTCGAGAAACTGTCGGAAATCCAGTTGAGCCTCGGTAGGTTTAGCGTGAGAGGAGAGAGCACGTGTGCTCACGAGCATTGCACGGCTTTGAGTTGTGTTCCGAAATAGCTTCGATATCGCGATCATTTTATAGTTGCGGGATAACGAATGTGCATCGGTAGGCAGGAATCGGGTGCCCTGTCTTATTCGTACTAGATTGAGGAATAAGCAGCCGTAGTCACCTTTTGTACATAACATATATTGCTCGGACAAAGACGCCTAATTTCAGGACGGGCGGATCCAATAGAATGTCGGAACCCGTTGATGACACGGGGTTCCGATTCCGTAGCATCGTTCCGTGCCCTGATTTGTGTTTGTTATGTCCGCTTCACAACGGGCGCTTTTGAGAAAAGTGAAGCACTGTGCTATGCGAACAAACGGATGATTACCCCCGCTTGCGATAAGTTTATAGGGATCTTATAGTTCTCCACCGGTGCAGCACTTCTGCCATTATCGTAACTGCACCCTGACTGAGCAAATATTTCTGGCCTTCGACAGTTTTTAACTTTTCGCAGTGCTCTTCCTACGAAATGTACAATATTCTCGCGCGTTTAACAAGGCTATTGGCCGCTCGTCCATTGAGCGGGGAGATCACGACAGACAGTACTGTGCGCTTTACATCGCTTCGTGGTAGAGTCTCTTGGCACCTAGCTCGACCCATTTGTGCCAAACCCAGCTTTCGTAACCTGACGTTCGCGGCATCCAATTCAACGCTAGTCCGAAATTTTTCTTCGCTCACCCGTCCGAACGACGACAGGTCGCACACTCGACCAAAACGAATAGTTGTCGGTATCACTGGTGCAACTGGAGCAGCATATGCCATACGACTCCTCGAGGTTCTTCGCGACTTGGGGGTCGAGACCCACCTCATCATGAGCAAATGGGCTCTCGCAACCCTCAAATATGAAACAGACTTGACAGAACAACACATCCGAGGATTATCCCACACGAATTACACTGGTAAAGACCTGTCCGCGCCGATCTCGTCTGGCTCTTTCCAACACGATGGTATGATAATCGTCCCTTGCAGCATGAAGACGCTGGCGGCTGTGCGGATCGGCTATTGTGACGACCTAATTGCTAGGTCTGCCGACGTCACCTTGAAGGAAGGTCGAAAGCTTGTCATGGTCGTACGCGAGACCCCGCTCTCCGAGATCCATCTTGAGAATATGCTGTTTCTCCGCCAAGCTGGCGCAATCATCTTTCCGCCTGTACCGGCGTTTTACACCAAACCCAAGGGTCTGGCCGACGTGGTCGAACAAAGCGTTGGAAGGATGCTGGATTGCTTTTCTATACATACCGACGGTTTCAAGAGGTGGTCCGGGTTTGAAAGAGCCAAGCCATCAAAGGACGGCACAAACAACAGTGGATAAGGATAACGTGCGTCTTAGGACGCCAAAGATATTCCTGCAGCGGGGACTCCGCTATCCTCTGGAAGGGATCGGCTCGCCTCTTAGTGGTGGCTGGGAAAGCTATTCAACACAACAACCAGTCCGCTTAGAAGATATCGAATTCTTTCCACAGCCAGTCGCCAGGCGTTGTCAAGTCGAGCGCGTTTAGATCGCCCAAAGACGTGGCGGCGATGCAGCTGTCAGAAGGGACAGCAGAGTTGTTGATCTCAGGAGGGATCAGGGTCTTGAACAACTCTGCAATTGGCCCACTGGCCCTAGCCACAGGGCTGCAGTGGACGGCATTTGAGGACTGAGCTTGGGGATTGGCCACTTGACCCTCCGAATCCACATTTTGGGAGGCCTGGTGTGTTCTGTGCAGCGCACCTTCAAAACAGTTCAAACGCTTCCAAAGTTTCCATGAAGCCTGTGAGGTAGATGCATGTGCTGCGGACAGATGGAGTGCTGTCTGGAAGTTATGTCCTATGATGTCCGCAAAATCCGAGGCCGACCAATCAGGGGATCTGTCCTTCTTGAGCTTCACAGCAACAAGACAGAGCAGGGAGCTGGCCGACGCCAGGATATGCTGAAAATGTGGGCGAAGTCGACGATAGATGTTGCTCTTGTCATCGAGCACCTTGAGGGTGTCTAGCGTGTCTGATACGAGACCAAGAGCAGACTTTGTCTTATCTTTCGAGACCACGCTGCTAGAGATGAACGACGATCTAAGCAGTAGCCCTCGAACAGAATTTGCTCGAAGATACATAATTAAAAGTGGTACTGGAAGGGTCTCTGGGGGACCGGATGCGATCCATTCGCAGGGCGGTTCGAAATCCTCCTGGTTGAGGACAAACTTCCTTCGCCATTGATCGATTTTGAAGTCAGTCAATTCCAACTCGTCTTCATTGTCAAAGCTCAGACCTTGGGCTACTTTTGTGATGGGTTCAGCGAATTTGTCGCTGATCATACAAAATGCCATCATTGCATTGAGGTAATGGGACAGAAGCTATAGAAGGAATCAGCGCTGCAAAGTCAAAGATTGAATTGTCATCCAAACTCACTGGCAAAACCGAGGTTATGTCAAAGCTCGTCTCGACGAATTGGTTCGGTAGACCAGCAGATGCACTCCATTGACGGTCAAGGATGAATATACTTGATAATAGAGTAGACAGCCTGTCCGGGCGTTCATCCTCATATGATGTAGTGGGGTTCGAAGTATCGTAGCAATGCAGACCCAATTCCATCGCTATTCGCCCAGCAAGCCCGCACATTCGCCACGCCACTTGTATTTCGTCGCCGAAAAAGGCATGGAACCCCTATAAGACAACAAGTGAGACATATGGAAGGCCAGAGGAGCTATTAGACGGACCATGAGAAGAGCCATCGTGGCTTGCATGTCTCTAGTTGCCGGGGACATGACTGCTTGATTTGCCATGTCATAGATGCAGCCAAGACGTGACCTCTCCAGCTGTATCGATGATTTGCCATCTGCTATCAACGCGATCGACTGAGTCAGGTGTAGCGTGATGAGGTCGTCTTCATCGATTGCCACGTCTTCACAAGTAGCCTTGCTGAAATAATGTATCGCCTGTTGCTTCAGTCGAGAGATATCTAGAATGGGGTGTAAGTCCCCAATGATTTCTTGGTAAGTCTCGAGCAAGCGGACCGCTTGATCAGGAGTGGCGCAATGACGAAGATTGGTCAGAGACCGATCCAAGAAAACTCTTGCCGGCGTGGCATGCAGAATATATGAAGGGTCCTCCATGGTGCAGTCGCTCTCGTGGTCGTCGTCCATGGTGGGCATTTTGTGCATGCGAGATTGTGTGCCGCCCTCGTCCTCCATGAGTTTGATCAGCCATATTCAGGCTGAAATTCGGACTGGTTGGCCCGCAAAATCGTAGCGAGGGCCGCTCAGGGGCACTGCCGCGGGTACTTGACCAGGACCTCACCGGCACGGCGGGCAGGACCAAGGTGTTAACCAATTCAATTACATCCACTAAACTTTCTAGTGTAATTAAATAGGAAATTTTCAGCTCTCAGTTAAATTAAATTAAATTCTAAAGGCTATTAGTATAATTTAATTAAATATAATAAAAAGAAATAAGTTTTAAAGCGAACATTTTTTAAGCACTGTGCTTTATAAGGCGCACTAATAAATTTAGTATATGCTTTATAAGGTACAGTGCTTAAAAAATATTTACTTTAAAATTTAATTTAATAAAAAAATATATATATAAAATTTAAACTTTTTATAGCTAAATTATATATTTAAATATAATATATATTTAAAAATATTTATATTAATTTATATATACTTTACTTATTTAATTATAAAAAATAGCTAAAAACTATATTTTTTTAAGCTTATTTATAAATATATATTTAATAAATTAGCTTACTTATAAGTATTTAAAACTTTTTTAAAAACTATTTTTTATATAATTTAAATTTAAAGTTTTATTAATTAAAGTAATTATTTATATACTTTAATTAAATATTTAAAAAATTTAAGTATTAAATTTTTTTAAATTTATTTAAAAGTTTTTAAAATAAGTAAATTTATTAAGTTTAAATAAAAGTTATTATAATACTTTTATTATTAAAATTACTTTTTATATTAATATTTAATAATTATTTTTATTATATAAATAACTTAATTTTAAAATAATTTATAAACTTATAATTTTATTATTTAAAAAATAAATAAATAAGAATAAATTATTAAGTTAGGTTAATATTAGCTAACTTAATTAATAATATTAATATAATTTAATTTTAAATATTAAGTAATAAAAAGATAAAATAAAAAAAAGTAATATAATTAGTAAATTTAGTAAACTTAATAAAATTAATAAATAGTAATAAATAGTAAAAATATAAAATTAATTAATTAATTAATTAACTTTTTTAATATATAAATATTAATATTATAAAATTTAATTAAAAATACTTATTAAGTATTAAGTAATATTTAGCTTATAAAATAATAATAACTTTTATTACTTAAACCTTTAATATATAAGCTATATTATAATAACTTATTATAAAATTCTACTTTTAAAATAAATTTAAAAAAATATAATTTAAAAATATAAACTATTAATTAATATAAACTAATTTAAAAGCAATAAAATTAATTTAAAGTTTTACTTTATTATACTTTTTTTATTTTAAATTTAACTTATATTAAATATTAAGTTTTATTAATATAAATATTTTAAAATAATAATTATACTTTTTTTAATTAAATAAATATATAATTAAAAATAATAGTAAAAAGATTAGTATTATTAAAAGCAATAGCTATAAAAGTAAACTTTTCTTTAATTAGCAGTTATATACTTAATTTAGGTACTTTAATACTAATAATAATAAACAAGTTTTTTTAATAAATTAACTATAAATTCTTAATTTTCCTTATACTTTTTTTTATTATAATAATTTATTTTTTTCTTTTTTAAATAAGTATTTATATAATTATAAAAAAGCTTATTATTATTATTTTTCTCCTCTTTTTTAAATAAATAATTATATAGCTATAAGGAGCTAATTTTAGTTAATAGTTAAAGTTTTTTTTTTAGCTAAAAAAAAGTTTATTTTTATAAAATAAACTTACTTATAAATTTATTCTTATATATAAGGGTTAATAGTTATTTAATTTTAATAGTATACTAATAGTTTTTTTTATAAAAGTAAATAATAGTTTAATTATAAGTTAAAATTATAATTTAAAAAAAAGTTATACTTATATTTATATAATATTTACTTTTACACTTAATAAAGCGTACTAATAAATTTAATATATACCTTATAAAGTATAAAAGTAAAAATAAAAAGTACTTAGTATAGATTAATAAATATAAAAGATTAAATTTACTTACTTATAATTTTATAAAAAAAAATTATAAATATAATATAATTTTTTTAATAAAATATATTAAAGCTATAAAGTTAAATAATATAAATTATTTTTATATTAAATATTACTTTATTATTATAATAAGTAAAATATTAAAATATATATATTAGTATATAAACTAGTATATATTGCTTAAAATTACTTAAATATATAATTAATAATACGTTATTACTTTAAATAAGCAAAAACTTACCAAATTTATTAATATTTTTATTTATAACTTTTAATATATATTATTTATATATATATTATTTTATAAAGGTATAATATTAGCAATATAGCTTATAAATATTTTTTTATATATTAAATTTAAATATAATATTTAATTTAATATTTTTTAATAATACTTTAATATTTAATTTTATTTAAAAAAACTTTTTATAAAAG